ATAGCGATTTCGAACTCTTCACGATGTCAGATTCCGACGCTGATGCCGAACTCTTCGAGATGTCAGAAGACGAGATGTCACCACTAAGTTCACCATTCGTTAGTGATGCCAAAGACGAAGACGATCTTCCCGACCTTATCTCTATTGCCGACTCTGACTCCGAGGACAACCGGGAGACCCTAGTCAACTTGGAAGTCCCAACACCGAACCACAGGATGTACACCAATTACAGCACAGCATTTTTAGCGTTTGAAGCTGCGATGCTAACTCGATCCAGCATGATTGATATGGATGTCGACCTCTACGACTCTGGAGCGTCGAACCACATGTCGGGTGACCGCCACCGATTCGTCAATTTTGAAGAAATCCCTCCGCACTCAATCACCGCTGCAAACAAGCAAAGCTTTAGCGCAATCGGGAAGGGGGATATGTATGTGGTCTTACCCAACAATGGTTCTTTCACTCGAGTCCTACTTCGGGGAGTCCTATTTGCTCCTGCGATGGCCATGACACTCGTATCCATCAGTCGCATCACGAAAGCAGGTTCCTCGGCAGTCTTCAAAGATGATTGTTGTCACCTCTACGATGGAAACGGCAAATTGCTGGGGAGTGTACCGGTGAAGGATGGGCTGTATCGTGTCTTTACCCCTCAAAGCCTAGGCCAGGACTACGCTGGAAAGGTCGCAGAGGTTCTAACCATTAATGAACTGCACCGTCGCTTGGGTCACGTATCTCACACCGCTGCGCGAGACATGGTCAAGAAAGGATTAATCCATGGTGTTGAGCTTGATGAGTCGAGCTCCGCCACGCCGTGCGACGCCTGCGAGTACGGGAAGATGACCCGAAAACCAATTCAGCGGGAGAGGGAAGAAACGGAGAGGGCGAAGGCGCTGGGAGATGTCGTGCATGGGGATTTGTGGGGACCGGCTTCTACAGAAACCATCGGTGGACGTCGATACTTCTTTGGCCTTACAGATGAATTCAGCCGCTTCTCTCACGTCTATCTTCTACGCTCCAAGAACGAGGCCTTCCGCTTTTACAAGGAGTGCGAGGCTTGGTGGAAGACACAGAAAGGTGTAACTATCAAACGGTTCCATTCTGATCGAGGTGGTGAGTTCATCAGTGATGAATTTGAGGAACACCTGGCGAAGCAAGGCACAACTCACCGACTCACAACTCATGACACCCCCGAATACAACGGCATTGCTGAACGACTCAATCGTACACTTATGGAGCGTGTTCGGGCTATGTTTCATGACAGTGGCCTTCCGAAATTCCTCTGGGGCGAAACTCTACACCATGCGGTCTATTTGAAGAACAGGATGCCGACACGGGCTCTGGGCGACACGACTCCTTTCGAGGTGGTGTTCGGGGAGAAACCCAATTTGGCGCAAACTCATCCATGGGGATGCAAAGTTCGTGTTCACTCCCGCGATCCAAGCAAGCTGGATGGTCGGTCTTCGACGGAGCGCTGGGTTGGCATTGACCAGAGAAGTATGGCCCACCGCATTTACTTTGCTGATCGTCGTATGGTGAAGGTCGAACGGAACGTGAAGTTCAACTTTGCGGAGGAGGATGAAGTGCCGATTGGGGGGGAGTGGGAGATGATGGGCAATCGGCAAACTCAATCTGAAGCTCGTCCGATGCCTGCGCCCGTTACCGCTCCCGAAATCAAGCATTTACCTACGGAGGAGAAAACAGATGAGGTTAATCATCAATCAGAACCAGAAACTGATTACCTTGGTCCAGATTTTCAGCCTGCTGCCCCAGAAACCACCGAAGAAACTGGCCGCACTCGCCGTGTTCGAAAGGAATCTGCATATGTACGCCGACTTCGTGAAGGAGAAGGTGTGGCTAGTGAGAGACCGAGTGCGCCCTTGTTGCCAAAGGGGCTTCAACCGGCCGCGTCGGACACTGCTAGCCTTGCGGAGGACCTGGGCCTGGTCTCCACCGAAGACTATGCTATGGCATCAGTAATGGGGGGGAGTGAAGGTCTTGAACCATCCTATGAGGAGGTGAGGCAGCGTCCTGACTGGCCGAAATGGCTTGAGGCTATCAAGAAAGAAATTGCAAGCTTGGAGAAGAACGGCACTTGGACGCTCGTCGATGGGCCTCCCAACGCCAATGTAGTTGATGCGAAATGGGTCTTCCGCATCAAGAAGAACTCCTCTGGTGAAATCGAGAAGTACAAGGCTCGCCTAGTAGCTCGAGGCTTCACTCAGATCCACGGCATGGATTACTATGAGACGTATGCACCTGTTGCTAAACTCTCGTCGTTCCGTCTCTTTCTTGCCATTGCTGCTCGTAACGGTTGGCCGGTTGAATCCTTTGATTTTGACAGCGCATTCTTGAACGGCATCCTTAGCGAAGACGAGGTTGTCTACCTTGAACAGCCGCCGGATTTCGAGTATGCAGACCGAAAGGCGAAGGTGCTACGTCTGCACAAAGCATTATATGGACTGAAGCAGGGAGCGCGAAACTGGTACGAGGCGTTCTGCAAGGCTATGGCTGATTTGGGATTCTGTCGAACAGAGGCAGATCATGGGGTTTTCTATCTCAAGACGGAGCGAGGTTTGGTAATCTTGGCAGTGCATGTGGATGATTGCATGATTACGGCGACAAAGAAGGAGCTTATCGAGGAATTCAAGAAAGGAATGGGGAAGAAGTATAGTTTCACTGACCTCGGTCCTATCCACTGGCTCTTAGGGATCAAGGTCACTCGAAACCTTGCGAACCACTCCATTTCCCTCTCCCAACATTCCTACATCGATTCTATTCTTGCTCGCCACAATTTCCTCGATTCCAAACCCTCGTCTATACCCATGATTCCCGATAAACTCCTCAGCCGCTCTCAATCTCCTACTTCAGTTACGGATATCGCGCGCATGAAAAATGTTCCATATTGTGAAGCCATCGGCGCGTTGATGTATGTGGCCATGGGAACTCGACCTGATATCGCATTTGCAGTATCAACGTTGGCGCAATTCTCGGATAATCCAGGCTGGGCACACTGGGAAGCGGTTGGCCTAGTTTTCAGGTATTTGCTGGGAACGAAGAATTTGGAGCTTGTGTATGGAGGAGACCAGAATGGATTGGTTGGGTACGTCGATGCTGACGGCGCGTCACAAGATCATCGCCGTGCCATCTCTGGGTATGTCTTCTTGGTGGATGGCGGCGCTGTGTCGTGGATGTCGAAGAAACAAGGCTTGGTCACGCTGTCAACAACCGAAGCCGAATACGTGGCTGCTACCCATGCTGCGAAAGAGGCGCTCTGGATTCGGCGCTTGATCGGCGAAGTCTTTGGCTCACTCCCTCATCCAACAACGATGTACAGCGACTCGAAGTCAGCAATTGCACTTACGGAAGACGGCCACTATCACGCGCGTACCAAGCACATCGATATTCGTTACCACTTCATCCGTTATACCATTGAAGCCGGATCTATCCGACTTCTTTACTGCGCTACCGACGAGATGACCGCGGATATCCTTACCAAGGCATTACCTAGCTTGAAGGCGAAGCACTTCGCATCTGCACTGGGATTGCGCACGGTTTGAGGGGGAGTGTTGGAAGTTGAGGTTAGCGCCTGTGCAAACCGTGCTACATGTGGAATGGTCCAGTGTCGAGGAGTTAGAGATTAGGCTCATACGGTACATTTTCTCTTTCATTCTCGGTGTCTCGTAATGTGTATTTAATGTGTAGTTTATTATCTTATCACCTCAGTCCGTTTACCCCGAGACTGAGGTGAGTATCTAGTATTGTCCATACCATCCCATGTACTGACATATTTGTAGTTTACTTCGTAATAGGTACTTACGGCCTGAATAAAGTCCGTTTACCCCGAGACTGAGTTTACTTCGTAATAGTTTGGGCGTTACCGCTGGTTGGGCGTGGGGGAGGAGGGAGATGATCCCAGGAATTGCTAGAGAGCAGTGATTACGGCCTCGACGACAATCCAACGCCTGCTCGCATTCCGACACCCAAGATCCTATTCTCGACCTTCAAAGCTTCAACCTCCAAACCTTCGGATCGTCGGCGCGGTTCTGCAGCTCATTGGCCATGAGCATATCGCAGCGCCTATCGAGAAATCGATAACCATCCATCACACACGGTACGTCTTCCATTCTACTCGTGTGATGTTGTGCTAAGAATACAGCTGTATGTCGACTTTTTGCGTTGTTGGGAACAAGGCTATGCTGTCTCGAGGCGCTGGCTGCTAGTTCGTGATTAACGCTTTCTGGGGGCGCAGAATGGGTATTCTTGAATACTTTAGCAAGTTTCTCTGGAGAGTGTCGCTTATGCAGCGCGCGACCTCAGCGTGAGTGTGTACGCACTGGAAGCTCTGGGAGGGGGCGCGATACGCGGGTTGGCGCTTGTCCTCTTCGTGCATCGGCGAGAAGGCGGGGGTTTGTACAGCTCTGGATAGCCACCATCAAATGATGGCGCGGTATGATTGGTTGAGCAGCGGGTGACATCCGTGGGATGTTTGAGGCGCGATTATCGTGAGGCAGCGTGAGGTGAGCGCGACAACCACAGCCTTTCTCCCGTTCCTACTTTCCCTGCGGTCTTCTCCAGCGGCTTGCGTTCAGTCTGAAGTATGCGTTGGCCTTATGACGAAGAGACCGGAATCCAGTGAGTACGGAGTCAAGGACTTGGAGGTTGCGTGGCTGATGATTGGATCGGTTAAAGCACGTTTTGCGACTTGTATATTGAAGGCAGTTATTTTGTTTGAGTTCCACTCGCGTAGAACTTGACGAGTGTGTGACAAAACATAGGTGTTCGAATCGACTTTGACGATAGTTGGTGTCCCGGAGCAACTATCTCATTGTATACGCTGGGAGGGAGAGAGCTGCTGTATACAACGACAGACTGTCCGAAAGTGTTGCATTGGACGCCACGTGAACCCGAGTGAGTATTGAGTGTGTTCCCTAGATGCTGCAGCTAAGTGTCATAGGGACCTCGCGAAGGACCTCAAAATAGAATATTTGGCAGGTGGATATATGGGCCAAGAGGCGTTGGCAACTGAGGAGGAAGCTGATGAGATAGCTAAACGAGCGGCGCATGATGAACGGCATCAGGCTCATATCATGGTTACGCGCGCATTGTCCGTTGGGACAGCCACTGTCTGGCTCAAGGTACATCGGGTGAGGACAAGTGTTCCCGCGTGTGCAAGCCTAATGCTGATAGACGTAGATTCGATCGTACTGTACAACCAAAGTAGTCGAAGCCCGTTTCTGTATTGAATTTGCGAATTCAGAAGAGTGCACTCGTTTTCTTCACGAGGATATGGTGCGTTGAATTTCTTGCTCTGTGACACACTCTGATTGCATGCTAAAAGAGGAGATTGAAGCTGCGACACGTCTCCGACGAGGATACGGACGTCGCTGTCATCGGTGACATCCTTCGTGCTCTTCTCCCAATCCATGACGATCATCGGTCTGGTATGGTTTCACGATGTTTGGCTATTGTCGTCTCATTTGCGATGTAGCAGAGAAGAACGCTCTTCGGCGTGGGATTCCCGAGTCTCAGTTCATCGACGAATATCCTGAGCCTGAGACGCAGCTGATAAGTCATCGAGGCCATCATCGACCGTGCTGTCTCTCACTCTCTATCTCTCTCGTCTTCGGCAGCATTATCTGCGTTGATTGGAGTGCCACCACGATCCCCCCAACTTTTCCCTCGCCCTCTGGCGCTTTCCAGTCCCTCAACAACCTCCGCGTCATATTCCCTTCGCACGATCGCAATTCGTCCCCCCAAGACGACCTCACCATCACCATCTCAGCGGGTGAGATGTCATTCTCAACTGGTACAAATCCCATTTCGCTCGCGAACGGACTCACTTTGAGCAGCGCGCACCGCACCGTCAACATCAACTACATCAATGCCATCATGGGTGATGCATTCATAGGTACCATCAACGGCGGCAATAATGGTGGAAGGAATAATACCAACACCAGTTCGTATTTTAAAACATCCACATCCATTTACTCAGATAGGACAATCTGACCAAACTGGTAGTTCATATGAAGCACCCAAGCAACTCACGCTTGCCAACGGAACAATCTCGAGCTCAAGGTCTGCTGCTGGCCCAGGCTCGCAGACGTCCTCCGCCTCCGCCTCAGCGCTCTCAGCCTCAGTTGTCTCGGGAAGCAAAACCGTCAACACGTGGAGTCGCTCCCTGCGCCAAGGCACGACCACAGTGGAGGCCATAGCGACATCAGTGTCGGGAGCGCTGAGAAGCAGTGCTTCCTGCAACTTGTAGGCACCGAAATTGAGCTCGAAATACTCATATCCATACTCCTCTATGATGCCTGTCGTATTGCCGCCAACAAGCTCTGTGTCTGCGTGTGGGTCCTACGGGTTGAAAACCGCACCGGAGTGCCCATCTCTTCAGCTTCAGCGCTTCAGCTCCCCAAATCAGATAATCAGACAAGCGTGCACGCGCAACGCCTCCCTTATCGTCTTCTCTGCCACCTTCTACCACTGACTCGCGGGCCTGAACGGTGTTCCATTTCCACTGTGTGAGCCTGCGAGGAGTAGCGATGCCACCTGGCGCTCGCATACGCATCATCCGCAGCACGTTGGGCGGCAGCGCGGGAGGATATGAGAGCTGGTATGAGGGGGAGATACATGCGCTTGTGTTAGGGCGAAACGGGTGCGTTAACGGGGCGGACAAGGACGAGATAATTGGCGAGGTCCATGAACAGAGAAAGAGAGTCCGCTCTATGCAGGGAGGCAGGGTAACAGTCGAGGCCTGGTAGATTGTAGAAGAACAGTCGCAGTGGGGACATCGTCAGTGAAAAGGAAAGTGACGGGGAGCCAATATAGGAAACGGTACGCAGGTATCTGCGAGTTCTCCTCCGCTTGAGCCAAGCACGGGCAGTGTCGCCCCAGAGTTCTATGCTGCTTGTGGCGCACCCACTAGCGTTGAACGTTGACGTTGACGTTGAGGCCTAGTCCCTTGCCTCCACCATGCCCTCTCTCCTCTCTCTCCGCCCCTTCGGAACGAGGAGAGAGACAAAGAGACAGCTTTCAACGCCTTAGAGAAGCGGTGTCCGCATTCCCCTCTACCGTCCTCGTACTCTCAATGCTGTGGTTATGGATGCATTCATCTTTTCCTCCAGGACGCTTGGCGACAAGTGATGAAGCTTTGCAGCCCCGAAGTCCTGAATGATGGGCACACAAGTACTGGTCTACTGGGGCGAGGGGTACCGTGGCGGCATCAATAGAGGGCGTGGGGTGGGAGATACGAGCGACAGCGCCAAGAGAGAAATGTGCCGATGAGCTGGATGTCTTGCTGGGGACGGCGGCGTGGTGACCTTGGCACGCAGATAGTACGTCTGCAGTATTCGTCTTCCTCACCAATTACATCAAGATGCAGCGCAACATGCGATCTGCTACTGCGACGCAGAGTTCCCCGGCAATGGCAGAGCGGATCAGAGCGTCGGCTCTTGAGCCCTGCATCGCTGGAGTCAGACCTGCCACGTAGATATGTCGGTAGATACGAGCTCCTTGTGAGTTGCGCAGCGGAAGCGCGGGAGCTGACACGCTGAAGCTTAATGACGAGAGTGTAGGACGGACGTAGACCGAGCGACCTCGTTGGGTGTGTTCGAATGCTCGACACGTCGGGGATCCTCTTCCCTCGCAAAATGTAGTTTCCGACCCGACAATAGCATACCTCCCCTCGCCCTGTTCAAACTGCTTCCGTCCATTGACCAATAGTATCGCGTCTCCCGATCCTCCACTTGCCAAAGCAGGAGTGCAATGCGAGCTCCATTGGAGAGGGCACAGTATGGAATATATATCAATGTGGGTATCATATGGTAAGAGTATGGGTAATGTTGAGCGAGGTGCATGTTGACGTGACATTGAATGAACATTGACTCCATAGGCTGACAAAGTGGATGCGTAGCCAACTGCAGCAAGCCTCAAGGCGTCGAAGCCTCAGAAGAGCGGGTCTTGGGGTGGAGTCGACGAAGAGATATGCTTTGGTGAGCGAGGTTTTGTCGAGCCAAGAGTCATTTCAACATCAACGTGAAGGATGCGCGGACACAGTGAAGTCGCTGAGACAGAGGGAGAAAGGGCGGATACGGACAATCTCAGAGTACGACAAGCAACCCGCTAGTGGCAAGCTCGCACTTTCACCGTCATCGATCATCACCTGCGCGCAGAGGACCATCAGAAACCGACGTCGAAGTTTTCGAAATTGAGAGTGTCGGGTGCTAGCAACAGCGCGGTATGACGAGCTCACCAAATGCATGCCATTGCACGCTTCCTCCTCACGCAGATCATGGGCACAAAGTGTTGAGGAGGTACGAATCCGTACGATTTGGGAAGCTGAGCCCAAGATTTTTGGCAGGGGAGGTGTAGTTTGAAAGGCCCATCTGATTCCTGGAGTAGACGCTTTTTGACCGTGTGTTCTGTGAGGTCCGACTTTGGGGCAGAGCACGTCGTAAACGGCAGAAAACGAAACCGACCGAGAAAATCATCAGTGGGGGGCGCGAATTTGGCTTCGGGTGTCGCCGGCCCGAACATCCGTCCTTCCAACTATGAGCTCGAGTGGATTTCTTCCGAGTAAATGACGTTCTACCAAACTCCTTCAGCGGACACCACAACGCCTGGAGCCACATAATACGTCTAAACGCGGCTTATGCTAAACGCGACTTATGCAAGCACACACCTCAAATAGAGCCAGGGCTCGCGTCCACACTCGGTTTGCGCTCTGCTTTGTAGACGCAGTTGATGCTACGGCGGTGGAAAGTGGGTAAAAGTTGCTGACCCCTTGGTGCGTTTCCCTTGCTGACCTAGCGCGAGCTCACTGAATCATGAGCTGCAGCGGGGAATTATAGGGCTGACGCGGACGGCCGAAGCTCCTTGTAACTCCCGCTGTATACAACGCGTACTTCGAGACAAGACGATCCTCGTACACTCAGTGGATTTGGATCATAATTATCGGTTTTGCGGTCTCGCTCGAGGACCACTGAAGCTCTCTAGATCTCAGCCATACGCTGTTATCCTCACCTTGTACTTCCCATCGTGTATGACCATCGTCGCCCCCCCCAAGATGTTTCGCGACTGCTCCGAAGCTGCGATCTCGTCGGTGGGATCCCGTATCACGATTGTCTTGTTCGAGGTAATGACTGTACTGAATCGACGCATCGCTGATTCTGGCATCCACAACCAGTGCGCTGGTGATTACGTGCATTAGCTAAGGCTCGGAAGATCGCACTTTCGCTGATTCTTGTACATCCCCGCACCCTCGTCCACAACGGCTCCATACCCATCCTCAATTCGAATCGAGGCAGCGGCCAGTGTTTCCAATGTCATCCAAGATACGGCGTAGCCCGTCTAGGAGGCCTGGCTGTTCTGCTGCATTGAGGTCCGCCGTGGCCAACCCATGTGTACAGATCTTGCGACGTCGGTACCATGACGGCGCAAAGAACGCATGTGCGCGCTAGGGAGTTGAGGCCTGAGGACCTCACGTGGCGACGATCGAGACGCGTAGGCCGCATACCGCACGCATGGCGGAGGAATGGAAAGACCCCGACTGATGGACTGATGTACGTTCCACACCAAACAGTTTCGCTGACGACATACTGATAGTTTCTATCCACCAGATCTCTGTCCTACCGACTGCTGCTTCATGTGACTCACCACCCCCTGCCCGTTGGCTCTCGTGGACGTTGACGACCACTTCAAGTCTGCGATAATTCCGGTCAGTTTGCGACGCCTACATCACCAAATGCGCTCATCTCTCCTACCCCTTGTCTTCAATTCATGGTCCCCGCCGAAGATCCAGCCATCTCTTCGAGTCAGCGATAGCAATTACCGCAGCTCCCCCGTCGTTCCACGGCGGCGTATCTTCGCCAATCGATGACTCTGCACTCTCGCTAACGCGTCGCATGTACCTTCCCGACTTGACCGTTTGCGTGAATCGTGGCTTGAAATATTGAACGCCTCTCCCTGCCCGCTGTGAATGTACCACTTTCGCACTAGCCAGCCGTTGCACACTCTTCGCAGTCCCTACGTTGTGCCGTTGGTTTAAGGACTCCTCCCGTTCGATTGGACCCAATCTATAGATCCCGTCTCGGATATACGACTGAGGAACCTCTCTTCTATCCTCCCCCGAGTCCACTACACAAGCGCCAACCGACAATGAACCCACACCCTCTTTCACGGTTACGTCCCCTCTCATTTACGCCGCATGCTCCCATGAAACAGTATCATTTGCAGTCCACTGACCACACGATACCTCGTCGTGGCACCGCCGAAGCTTCAGACCTTTCGCTCGAGCGAAGCATTCGGATCGGCGGCGCCGAGAGATTCTACAGCCCATGACTGTACTGTAGCGCCCATATCCCATGTACTTTTTGCCTTGTTGGGGGAGAAGCCATGTTGCCTCGAGGCCGTTGGCCTGCCCATCCATGATTGGTGCCTTCCCGCTCGCTGATTGACTGGGTATTCACGGATGGATAACTCGCCATGAAACTGCTGGAGAGCAGTGAGCACGACCTCGGCGCAAGTGTACAGTCGGGAGGGGGGCGCGGTGTATGGTTGGCGGTGGTCCGCCCGATGGACCGGCCAAAAGGTGTGATCTCTACAGCTCTGAATCGCTTCCATCAATGATAATGCGGTATGATTGGATGAGGAGAGGGTGACATCCGTGGGATCTTTGAGGCGTGGTTGCCGTGAGGCATGCTCGAACCAGCAAGACGTACGCGCTACGATTTTACAGCTCCTTCGCTCGAACGACCACCTCCCGCTCTCCTGCATCTACATTATCTGTTTCCATCTGGCGCCGCTCGTGTCCAGCCTGAAGCATGCGTAGACGTTATGACAGAGCGACCGGTATTTTGTGAGTACGAGGACTTGGACGTTGCAGGGCTGACAAATGGGTCGGTTCAAGGTCGAATTACTCCTTCTATATTGAAGGTAGTTATTTTGTTTGTGTTTCACTCGCGTAGAACTTGACGAGTGTGCAACGAAAAACAGGTGTTCGGGTCGACTTTGATGATAGCTGGTGTGCTGGAGCAACGGTTTCATTGTATTCACAGCCTTGGGGAGAGAGAGAGCTGCTGTATACGAGGATCGACTGCCCCAAAGTGTTGAATTGGATGCCGCCTGAACCTGAGTGAGTACAGAGTGTGGTCCCTAGTCGGCAGATGCTGCAGCTAAATGTCGTAGATACCTCAGGAAGGGCCTCGAAATAGAATATTTGGAGGACAGAAATATGCGCCATGAGATGTTGGCAACTGAGAGGGACGCTGATAAGGTAGCTCCACGAGCGGTGTATGATGAACACGATGTGGCTCATATCGCGGTTACGAACCCATTTTCTGTTGGGACAGCCACTGTCTGGTACAAGGTAGAACGGGTGAGGACAAATGTTCCTGCGTGTGCGAGGCTAATGCTGATAGACGTAGGAGCGATTGTACTATCCACGCGCAAATGTCGATGTCCGTTTCTGTGTTGAATTTGCGAGTCAGGAGGACTGCACTCGGTTTATTCGCGAGGATATGGTGCGTTGAATTTCTTGCTCTATGACCCACTCTGAATTGCTCACAGAAAGAAGAAATTGGAGGATCGACACATCAGTGACCGTCATACTGACGTCGCTGTCATCGATGACATCATGGATGCTCTTTCCTCAATCTCTGGCAACTATTTCTCTGGTATGCTTTCACGATGCTTGGCTATTGTCGTCTCATTTGCGATGTAGCAGCGAAAAATGCTGTTCGGCGTGGGATTCCTTATTCCCAGTTCAAAGACGAATATCCTGAGCCCGAGACGCAGCTGATACGCCATCGAGGCCATCATCGACCATGCTATCTCACACTGTCCATCTCCGCCAGCCTCAGCTTCATCGAACGTGTTGATTGGAGTGCCACCACGATTCCCCCAACTGTTCCCTCGCCCTGTGGCTCTTTCCAGTCCCTCAACAACCTCCACCTCAAATTCCCTTCGCATTCGTCCCAACAAGACGACCTCACCATCACCATCTCCGCACGCGAGATCTCATTCTTGGACGGCGCGAATTCCGTTTCTGCTGGGAATTCCTTCTCCATAAATAGCGTACATCGTACCGTCACTGTCAACTACATCAACAACATTGGCGACGCGTTTTTGGCTCCTATCCACGGCGGTAATATTGGCGGGAGGAATAACACCAACACCAGTTCGTATTCAACCACTCACATCCACGCATTTCCTATGTTTCTCCCATCTAATCAAAACTGTAGTTCATATGAGTCCCCCAAGCAACTCACTGCTGCAAACGGAGCACTCCCGAGCTCAAGCTCTGCTACTGGCTCGGGCTCGGGCTCGCCGACGGGCTCAGTTCCAATCCCAACCTCAGGAAGCAAAGCCATCAACACGTAGAGTCAGTCGCTTTGTCAAAGCACGTACACAGCGAGCGGGGCCATATTGAGACTCGCGTTGGGAGCCCACAAGACATTTACCAAATTTTGACTTCCTGAAATACGAACCGAGATTGACGACAGAGTAATTTCCGCCTTGGGGTGTATGTATATATTTTTGGCCCTCAAATCTGTATGGAAACTGGGTACTGTCTCGTGGTTCGCATCCCATATCCTACTATTCGTGCGACGTACACGACAGAGTAAAGTAAATCGCTAGGGTTGACGTAGTTCCCAGTGGGAGCGGGTGATAGAACAGCAGAGATGGACACCTGGGAATGCGGCATAACTCTTTCAAGTGAATTCTTGTCATCACATATATTGCTTGCTGTCCCTCATCATCGTTCGGGCGCGCCACCGGCGCTGCTGGCGCATGGGACCCTCAGGAAATACATGCATTAATGGTGGCGCAATCGAGAAAAGTCAAGAGGTAAACGCAGTGGAAACACCGCAGGAGACCGGACCTTTAAATCAAAGAAGATCGCATCCTGATTCACGATGTCTTCCCCTTCCTCTTCCTCTTCCGGACCATTATCACCGCCATGTTCTCTCCTCTGCTTCGCACCCCCCTACCTCCCCTTCAGCGCTCCTTGATTCTGGATTGAAGCCGAGTGTTCGCCGACGACCTGATGATCCCGAGGATGTGTCGCGGCCCAGAGACGTGAAGCAGGGGGACATGACGAATCGTGCATTCCCGCTTTCCTCCATAGCAGTCCTTGCACTCCTGTAGATGTCCCTATATGCGTGTTTATACCCAGTCGCTTCAGCTCCCAAAATCAGACAATCAGACAAGCGTTCACGCGCAACGCCTCCCTTGTCGTTTTCTCTGCCACCTTCAACCACTGACTCGCGGGCCTGAACGGTGTTCCATTTCCACTGTGTGAGCCTGCGAGGAGTAGCGATGCCACCTGGCGCTCGCATACGCATCATCCGCAGCACGTTGGGCGGCAGCGCGGGAGGATATGAGAGCTGGTATGAGGGGGAGATACATGCGCTTGTGTTAGGGCGAAACGGGTGCGTTAACGGGGCGGACAAGGACGAGATAATTGGCGAGGTCCATGAACAGAGAAAGAGAGTCCGCTCTATGCAGGGAGGCAGGGTAACAGTCGAGGCCTGGTAGATTGTAGAAGAACAGTCGCAGTGGGGACATCGTCAGTGAAAAGGAAAGTGACGGGGAGCCAATATAGGAAACGGTACGCAGGTATCTGCGAGTTCTCCTCCGCTTGAGCCAAGCACGGGCAGTGTCGCCCCAGAGTTCTATGCTGCTTGTGGCGCACCCACTAGCGTTGAACGTTGACGTTGACGTTGAGGCCTAGTCCCTTGCCTCCACCATGCCCTCTCTCCTCTCTCTCCGCCCCTTCGGAACGAGGAGAGAGACAAAGAGACAGCTTTCAACGCCTTAGAGAAGCGGTGTCCGCATTCCCCTCTACCGTCCTCGTACTGTCAATGCTGTCGTTATGGATGCATTCATCTTTTCCTCCAGGACGCTTGGCGACAAGTGATGAAGCTTTGCAGCCCCGAAGTCCTGAATGATGGGCACACGAGTACTGGTCTACTTGGGCGAGGGGTACCGTGGCGGCATCGATAGAGGGCGAGGGTTGGGAGATACGAGCAACAGCGCCAAGAGAGAAACGTGCCGATGAGCTGGAGGTCTTGCTGTGGACGGCGGCGTGGTGACCTTGGCACGCAGATAGTACGTCTGCGGCACTGCGGGCAAATGCCCATAAAAGCACGAGTGATACGGAGATGGTACTGTGAGGGTAAAACAACACACTTCTGCTTATTCCCACCGTAGATACTGTAGAGTAATTCAGTTTATTGTTCAAAATATATATTATCATATCAATCCAAGTTGTAATTTAAATATTTCTCAAGTATTGGCACTGGTATTATGGGGGAATAAATGAGATTAATACCAGCCTTCCACCTACAAAAATAACATGATGATCTTGAAGATGTTATTCTAAAAATCACCACAGTTAGTATTCAGATTATCATGAGCCCTTTATCTGTCGGAGAGAACCTGATGATATTCTAAATATCATTCCCGATATAGTTAATGTATCCCTGATAGCGTGTATTTAGGATGTAAACTACGATATCTCCCGCATATCGACGAAGGCAGTATTCTAAGTATCATAGGAGATCTTACGTTGAAAATATACTAGAATGTATTCACAATAATGTACATAGGTTGTATGATGAATTTATAGCTGCAAGCCAAGTGCTACAAGAAAAAAAGACAAATGGTGTACGCGATCAATACATGGAAAGGATCAATTTCCATGTAATCCTGCGGGTTGAACGGCACTACCTGGTGCCCAAACCCGCGTCGGGATACCAGATTGTCGTCGTCGTCGTCGATCGTGATGGTTAGAATCCAATCGCCGCCGTTTTGGCTGCGAAAAACGTGGATAGATGACGATAATGCGCCTGCAGGCGTCACGGAAGCGTCGCTACAAATTGGTGTGCGTTAGCGTAGTAGAAAAGAATACAGAACACTTACACGATGACAACGTTGTCCATAGGGCGAAGGACGCCGAAATTGCGTACCAGGACCTCTACAAAGGCCAGCCAGGCGACAGGGCGTGGAGTGTTAGGCGAATACCAAGCTCGCATGTTTGTTTTTTTGAGATGCTGGGTTGAAATGTGTTAGAAAATGAGGTTGAGAGTGGTGCACCACTTACTTTGTACTGATGATGATGGTGGTGAGAGGTGGGCACGATGACGGCGTCGAACTCGCGCGCCAAAGCTGGCGGGACTGCTTACGGCGTCGAACTCTCGCACCAAAGTTGGCGGGACTGCTTACGGCGTCAACGTCCTGATTATGCGCACTTCACTATCCGTACATCCCTCTCTCTTTACGTTCCTCTTCCTCTCTCTTCTCTCCCTACACTCTATCCGCGTATCCGTAATCCTCGTCGTCTTCATGGTCTCGCACTCGCATTCCAGTCGCCGTGTTCGACTCGCCAATCGCCACAACGCTCAACGTTAACGTTCGTGCAACTCGACTGGGGGTGTATCGAAAGGAACACAAACACGACGACGGTGGTGATGTGGTGGTGATCGCGATGATGCGTGTTCTCGTTCATCGGTGCGTATTCCCTTCGTTGGGCGTCGAGTTTCTTCTCGTTGGTTTCTTTCTATCCGCGCTGGTTCATCGGTCCTCGTACCGTTTACCATTCGTCCTCAATCATTCGTCGTTCACCTGTCCACCCGTTATATCGTCATTTGCTTCTAGTCTCTCCATCGAGGTCTTGTGGTTTCGTTGGTTTCGTGGTTTCGTGGTTTCGTGGTTTCGTGGTTTCGGATCGTGTTATCCATCTCCTCACCACCTCTCCTCCTCCTCCTCCACCTCGTCGTCGTCGTCGTCGAGTTATCGTCATCGTCGTCGAGTTGTTGTTGTTGTTGTCGAGTTATCGTTGTTGTTGTTGAGTTATCGTCGTCGTCGTCGAGTTATCGTCGTCGTCGTCGAGTTGTTGTTGTTGTTGTCGAGTTATCGTTGTTGTTGTCGAGTTATCGTCATCGTCGTCGAGTTATCGTCGTCGTTCTCGTTCGCATCCACGGTTACATAGGTGTTTCGTTTCGTTTGCAATCTACTCCCCTTGCTGATTTCCTTTCCTTCGTTCCAGAACCCAGCGGCGCCGTGTTCGCATCTACGTAAACGTTAGCTTCGGCGTATGCAATCGTGCTCGCGAGGTAATATATTGCGATAAGGCTAGTCGTCATCGTCTTTGCGGTATTGTTCATTTACTAACTGACACGCGTACTCCTCCCCGTTCGTCGTTCTCACCCGCGTCTGCTTCTCCTGCACGCATTCACCCATTGTAGGTGCGGGGATATCGATGGCGGCTAGAGATGGAAGGCGTGGAGAGCGGCGTGGAGAGAGGAGGAGGATGTGGGGAAGGATGTAGCCCATTTTGTAACGATTGGGGATCCTTCGTGGTGCGAGAGTCGTCCAAATCGTAGCCCCGTCTTCGTGATTGTCGTGGCTTGTCGAAGCGCGCCATTAGGTGCTCGCTTGCACCGGTACCTTCAGCACAGATAAGATGCCATCAGAGGACATGGATAGTATCCTAATTAGTCAAATCAACACCAACGCAGTCAGCACAACACGTATTCAGAGCGTGAACTGACCTCGATAGCGAGACCCCCCGAGTTCAACCAGTCTCGATGGCAAGGTTGTCGACATCACCCCATGCGGCACTCGCTGAATTTCGAAACTGCGACTGATCAACTGCGCTTGAGCGCTTGCTCTGGCTGCATTACTGCTTTTGGTAGCATGCACATGGACTACCATCTTTGGCAATGCATGTGTCTGGACAACTAGCGATGAACTACCTCTTTTGGTAATGCGAATTGTCCTAACATCGGGGCAGCTTGGCTGCACCTCTGAGTAAATAAAAAATATAATGATGTACTATTTTTGAACAATGTCCGTCTCAGGCAATGTCAGAGCCTCGAAAATAGTGATCGTGATGGGCCCGGCGAGGGCATCGAACAACCACCTGCGTCGAGTTTCCACTTTGGGTGACTTTGTGTTGGGAAACTTCACGCCGACTTTTCTGAGGGCAGCAAGCAAATGGTTTATCTGTTTGGCGGTAAGTTCCTTCACATCTGCCGATGTCAAAGGTTGTGTTTCTGGTTGGGTATCTTCAAATGGGTCATCAAGATCTCCGCTGTCTTCACTGGGCTTCCGCCTTTTGCCATGGGTATCCCCTTCGGGGCTATTCGAGGCAGAACGTCCCCGTTTCCTCATACCCGCATCGGGGGCTCCGGCGACAGGCTCAATTGACGTTCCGCGAGAAATGGTTTCTCTAGGTCTCCGAGGAGAATTCGGTCGTCCAGAGCGCATTATGCTACAACTAGGAGATCCGGTCATCCTGAAAGTGAACGAAGTCGTTGATGCCGACGTTGACGCCATTCTTGTGGGAGTCATCGGGGTCAAAGCTTCCTGAGCAGGAACCGGCGAGGACAAAGCCTCACGACCGGACTCGGCCTCTAAGCGCGTAGATGCTTGAGGAGGCTCGGTCTGTGTTTGTACTATGTGCGATGGTGGTGAAGATTTCGCCTGCGCTTGGCCAGTGCGCATGAAACGCAGCTGGACACTCTTGTCAGATGTAGGTTGAGCCTCCGTCTGTGCTTGGCCTGTACGCGTGCAACGCAGCTGGACGCTCTTGTCCGACTTTGGCAAATGCTCTGTTTGAGTTTCTCCGTTTCGAGTGCACCGCACTTGGATGCCCTTGGATAAAGTTCGCCGAGAGTCCGTTTGGACGACTCTCGCTTCGACATCGGGTATCTGTGTGCATTGAAAATGGGAGTGACCCTGTGACTGTGCACCTCTCGCGGCCATCCCGTGTTCTGCGGCAACCTACATCGATGTTAAGGTCGACTTGGGTGTGGGCTTGGGACGAAACCGACCTGATATGGACTTTGTATTGGACCTCCCCATTGCAGAGCTGAGGAAAGCTCTAGAATCTATCACCGTGATTCTTCAGCTGTGTTTCATTTGGGAGACACGTAAACTCACCTGGGAATGAAGTCTTTGTATCACCGGGACTAATGGCACTTCATGATAACGCGCTTGGAGCTTATTCACGGTAAGAAGACGTTATCCTGGCTTTTTCTATGCACCCACCTCCTTGGTTAGGATTCCGAATTCTGCTTGCATTGCTGCAACATGCTGCAAGGCCTGAACGGGGGATAAGAAAAATTTTATACAAAAAAGAGAACCTTGACCTCGGTTTGGACTATTCGCCTCTGTATGTCCATTTCTGTCTGAAAATGCATGCTTATCTGGAGAATTCAGATGGAAAACAATGAAAGACGTTTGACTCACTAGGGCTTCCTTCCGTTCGTGTGTATGAATGATTTCGTGCAGCTAAATTCCGCGTCATGGTCAACGTAACCAGGCGAGTACAGCGGGAGGCAAACCTCATTCGACGCTGCTCAGCGACTCTATCTGACCTCGAAGGCCGATGAGCTTGAAGGAGGTCAGGACAGCAGTTTCCGTCATGAAGCAATGACCAACCTCTTGCTCGGCGTCATCCTTGGTCCGGATGAGCTCCCGATTGCATATCTCTAAAGCTGCAGACTTGAATGACAGTAAATGCTAACAACACCAAGCGGATGAGGCGAGAAACAAACCTTGTCCAATGCCCCATGTTTCAGTGTCTCTATCTGGCACCACAGGCTAATGAGCTTGAAGGAGGTCAGGACAGTTTCTGTCATGAGGCAACGACCAACCTCTTGCTCGGCGTCATCCTTGGTCCGGACAAGCTCCTGATTGCACGTCTCTAAAGCTATGGACTTTAAAGACATTAAATGTTAAAAAAGCCCAACGAATGAAGTGAGAAGCAAACCTGGTCCAATGCCGCATGCTTCAATGTTTCTATCTGGCAGCGCAGGCTGACGAGCTTGAGCATAAAAAGGTCAGGCAGAATGTCCACTGTGAGGCATTGACAAACCTCTTTCTCGGCGTCATCTTTCGCTCTTGCGAGCTCCTCGTTGTGCGAGGACTTGAGGGTACTGAGATGGGCCTCGATTACAGCCTTTTGTGATTTGATCATATTCCCGAGCTTCGGGGTATTGAGGGTTAGTTGATCAGTTTTGAGAAATGTAACAGCTATATGACGGACCTGTTGCTGAGTGTCTTCTATTCCTCTCTTGAGTTCGCGATTCATCGATTCCAAGTTATGTCTACATTGATTCTGATGAATAAGACATCAAGTATAAGTGGCAGCCAGGCAGAGCATCAAGAACAAAACGAGCCTCAATCTTGAGTTCATAGTTCTGCGCTGCTAAGCGCACTCCACGTAATTGAAGCGTAGATACCTGCGTCCGAGTTAGAACTAGGAGGCAAATGATTCTCGGAGGAACTTACAGCGTGCCTCATAGCCCGTTTCTGCCGTTGGACTTTTTTCCGATAAGTGTGGAATGTGGACTTCTGCACGTTAGTCAGTAACAGCCGCAGAGTAGTATATTCTGAGAATACCCACTACGTTTGCAAGGAGGGTTTTCCCCACCCGGACCTTTTTACTCAGACTCTCTAGTTCAATCCCGATAGCCTAGTGTAGATGGACAATACTCCATGAAGTAAAAGACGACGGAATGCGAAATTCTCTGACCTGAGCAGCCAACCGACATTGGGGCGCGACTCCAACGCTCGAACCGGTAGCACAATACGGGTCTGCGTGATCTATACACGATGCCCGTGGCCGCGGCTGGAAGGTAGGGTGAAGGGAAAGCTGCGATAAAGCTGATACAAGAATGTCGCGTTCGGGATCTATGGTAGATTCTGTCGGGGTCCCGTGAAGCTCTGGGCAACTTCCAACGGCCCCATAATCCAATGCAAGATCGGTCTGTGGCGAAGACGATGCAGGATCTAAGTGATAACTCGATTGAGCGAGTGGTGGTGGGCAGTTTGTAACGACTATTTTGGAATTCGAGGTGAGGCAGGATTTTTCATATATAGGACTAGTCCATGGCGAAGTGGGAACAGAAGGATCGGAGCCCTCGAAATGCGAGGATAAGTCGGTGGCGTGAGTGGCAATGGGAGGCACTGAGGCGTCTCGCCCCTCAGAAATGTCACCAGACGGCTGGTTGGTTGGGCATCCAGTTGATAACTCTGTCTCGGAGACCTCGAAATGCGAGGATAAGTCGGTGGCGTGAGTGGCAATGGGAGGCACTGAGGCGTCTCGTCCCTCAGAAATGTCACCAGACGGCTGGTTGGTATTTCTTGTTGCTGTAGGAGGCTACAAAATCATCATTGTAAGAAGGGGAATCAGGCAGAGTCAACATGTGCACGTACTGTTCGAGATGTCGAAGGGAGGTACCGCGTAGCCGCCATAGCCACAGCGATCATGACTGCTTCGCCAACGGTAGAGGCAGCCATTGAATAGGGAAGTAGCAAGGATTGTGCGAGATGGTGGTATGAAAGAGCTTGAACGAGAGCAGAGCTTGGACGAGAGGAGCCTTGTAGACAAAGGGAACTCCACACAAAGGGAGGGGTCTGTGGTATTTTACTATTATGATGACTACCCACGTGGTACAATCGCGAGCGCAAGCAATTATTCGAGGAAATATAAATGGTGCGTAAATGTATATGGATCCGGTTGGATGCTATATTCAAAGTCAGGCAAAGCTCTACTACTTCGGTGATGTTCAGAGGTGGAGTCGAACGTGACAGGCGAAAGATCGATAATAATGCGCGGAGATTGAGTAGGAACAAGAAATGAGTGTGAACAAGGGCGAAAACGATAGAATGCAGCTATAAGTCTGTGTGGGTTCGCCCAAACGAACTGAAATACAAATGAGGAAAAGGAGTAGATTAGGTACTGCTTCTCATGAGGAGATGCCTATATACTCACTAACATTCGAAGTCGGCCCCAAACTCTTCTGCAATCCCCTTACGTCGTTCAATGACCTCCTCTTTTGGTCGAGACTTGGCTACCTCGTAACCCTCTTTCATTTGCGCCCCAACAAGTAGAGATATGGCTGAGATAGGCCTCACACGAGGCGTATTCTTCCCCTAGATGCGACGGGCAACCCATGAGACTCCGCTTCCGTGACGCTCGTGGTAGTGCGTTTGCTGACATTCAGAAGTATGTGAGGGCCCAAAAACGTGCTAGGATCTGTGAAAGAGAGGGTTTGTGACGACGTAGTGTAAGGGCAACCTCAAGATGGCCGACAGCGCAGGCCTAGCAGAGGGAGAATCCAAAGATAATGAATAAGGCTAACTACAATACATGAGAGGGCTGCTCACCTAGCAGAGGGAGAATCCAAAGAGAACAGGATAAGGATTCTCCATGCTAGGAAGCGAAGTATATACTGTAGTAGCGTGAGAGGAATGCAGGATAACTGTACAGTACACCAGCCACAAGTCCGAACAAATACCACAAGGTACAAGGAAACATGTGATAATGAAGTGGAGGGTAAATGCACAGGAGTCGTGCCAGCGACTTGGGGAAGTAAGGGCGAAGAGTAATGAAGTGGGGGAAAAGGATAGAGGTAACCCGGACGAGCCCCGAAGAGTATAGATGAGTCCGAGCGAGTCCGAAGTGTCCGAGACGAGTCCGAGCGAGTCCGAAGTGTCCGAGACGAGTCCGAGCGAGTCCGAAGTGTCCGGAGTGCAGGAAGACTCCGGAGTCACCGGACGCGGCTCGGATGCGAAAGGAGTGGGTGGAAAGGAAGTGGAAAGGAAAGGGAGCGAAAAGGAACGAAGGGGAATGAAGGGAATGTAGGTAAGAGTCCATGGAATGAAGGAAAGGAGAGAAAATAGAAGTGTCCCCTTACATCACCCCCCCTTCAAGGTTGCGGCGACCCGACGCGAAGATTCCTGCCTGCCGCGCCATGAATTCACCAACCCCGAAACTCCGGATTGCTGCGAGAAGATGTCGAAGTACGACTGCGCAGAGCCCGGAGCCTTCCGACTGCGCCAACGCTCCCAGGACTGGTCCAGTGCTGCAGGAGTCATCCGGAGAGGTAGAGCAGTCGTCGGATTCATCGGACTCGTCCGGAGTACGCGTACTGCGTCCGGGTGACGATCATGGAAGTCCTTGACCTTCCGGGCGGCATGCTGGAGGTTGCTCGCGGGCTCCCAGGAGTCGTGCTTGATACCATAGCCTCGCCAGCGCACCAAATACTTCAGGACCCGACCGAACCGTCTGCTATTTCGGACCTCTTCTACCTCATGCTCCTCTTCTCCGTCAACGAGCTGCGGAGGTGGCGGAGCGACAGGGCGTCTACCTGGGATGGGGTCCGGAACGAAGGGAGAGAGTTTGACCACGGGGAAGACAGGATGGAGACGGGATAAACCCGGAGGGAGCTGGAGCCGGTACGCTGCCTTGCCAACCTTCCGGATGACCTTGTAAGGACCAAGTCGTGCGTGTCCGAGTTTCCGGGAGGGTCGGGCAAGGTTGATGTCCGACGAGTCCAGCCAGACCTTGTCACCCGGTTGGTACTCCGGAGCAGGAGTCCGACGCTGATCGTAGTAGCGCTTCATGTCGTCCTGAGCCTTGACCAACGCGGACTGAGCCTCGTCGACTGCAGATTTCATCCGGTCTACAAACTCGTTTGCAGACTCCATCCGAGACGGTGGCTGATGAGGTTCGAACCCGAGACGAGGATGACGGCCGGTATCCAGGAGGAAGGGTGACTGCTGAGTGGACGCATGGACCCGGTTGTTGTACGCAAACTCCGCCATAGGTAGGAGGCGAGCCCAGTCATCCTGACGCTCTCCGACGAAGATCCGGAGATAGGACTCGAGTTCCTGGTTGGTCCGTTCCGTCTGTCCGTCGGACTGAGGGTGGTACGCAGTGGAGGCAGCCAGCTTGATTCCGAGCATCCGGTAGACTTCTCGGGTGAACTCTGCAACGAATTGCGGACCCCGGTCGGACACAACGGACCGAGGGAGTCCGTGCAGCTTCCAGACGTTCTGCAGGTACAAGTTTGCGGATCCGAGGGCAGACACTGTGGTGTGAGTCGGAATGAAGTGGGCGCGTTTGCTTACGGAGTCGACCACGTTCATGACAGCATCAAACCCATCGGACTCCGGAAGCTCGACGATGAAGTCAACACTCAGGCGATCCCAGCGTTCATCCGGAATGGGAAGCGGATGAAGTTCACCCATGGGCGGATGCCTTTGGGCCTTCGTCCGGAGACAGAGGTCGCAATGGCGGGTGTAGGATCCGACGTACCGGGACATGTTGGGCCACCAGTAGCTGCGCGAAACGAGCTCTAGGGTCTTCCATCTGCCGGCGTGTCCTGTGACCTTGGTGTCGTGGTGCTGAGCTACAATAGTCCGACGCAAATCCGGTGAGTCCGGAACGTAGATCTTACCCCGGAACATGAGGAGTCCGTCCGATTGGGACCATTCCGCACTTCGGACTGTCTTGCGACTGCCCTGGGTCTTCTTCAGCTCCTCTGCCGCCTTTGCCACTGCGTCTTCAAACTTCGCATCTCGCACTCCAGTCCGGATAGCCGTGAGGATATCCTTCTCCTCCCCTTCAAGAGTGACACCCGTGGCACGGACAGCAAAGTAGGAAGGCTTGAGCATCACCACATCCTTGTTGTCATCCTTACCATCCGAATGATCCGAGCGTCGCGAGAGAGCGTCCGGTTTACCCATAGTCCGACCCGGACAATGCTGGAGAGTGAAGTCGAAGCGGGAGAGGTATAGCGACCAGCGGGCTTGACGGCGGTTGAGCTTCTGGGCCTTGATGAAGTACTCCAGGTTCTTGTGGTCTGTCCAGATCTCGAACGGAGTCTCTGCGCCTTCAAGGTAGTGCCGCCATTCTTCGAGCGCCCGGATGATTGAAAGCATCTCCTTGTCGTGTATTTCGTAGTTCCGCTCCGCAGCCTGTAGACTTTTAGAGTAGAATGCGACAGGATGCCATTTACCATCATCCGGATCCAGTTGCGACAAGACTGCACCCGTAGCATAGTCCGACGAGTCCGCTTCAACCCGGTACGGCCGATCCTCCTTCGGAAAGACAAGAACAGGTTCCGAAGTGATCAGCTCTTTGATCCGAAGAAAAGCGGATTGAGCGGAGTCGTTCCACTGCCATTCCTTTGCGCAAGTGAGGTCGAAGAGAGGCCGGGCGATATGCGAGTAGTCCTTGATGAAGCGGCGGTAGAAGTTGACGAACCCAAGGAAGGATTGGAGTTCAGTCCGAGTCCGAGGGGTCGGCCAGTCTGCAACTCCGGAGACCTTCACGGGGTCCATCTCGATCTTACCCTCAGAGATGACGACTCCGAGATACTCCACCTTGGTCTGCTCGAAATCGCACTTGTCCGCTCGGAGGAAGAGCTTGTTCCGCTGGAGGATCTCTAGGACACGCCTGAGGACCCGGCGATGCTCTTCGCGCGTCTTGGTGTAGATCAGAATGTCATCCAGATAGATAATGACCACACCTTCCGTAATGAGCTCCCGGAAGAGGTCGTTCATCATGGTCTGGAAGGTAGATGGGCTATTCGTCAGTCCAAAGAACATTACCAACGGTTCGAAGAGTCCGTGCGTAGTCCGAAATGCGGCCTTCCACTCATCACCCTCCTTGATCCGGACATTGTTGAAGCCCCACTGTACGTCAAGCTTGGAGAAGTAGCGAGCATTCCGGAGTTTGTCCACCAAGTCCGAGATGAGCGGAAGTGGGTACCGATTCTTGACAGTCATGTTGTTGAGCTTCCGGTAGTCCTGGACCAAGCGGAGCGATCCATCCTTCTTCTTAACAAAGAACACCGGGGCAGCCATGGGTGACTTGCTGGGGCGGATCCGACCAGTCCGGAGATTTTCTTCCAGGAATTCGTCCAGCTGTTTCTGCTCCGCCGGGGAGAGTGGGTAGCACTTGGTAGAGGTCGGTTCCGCTCCGTCCAGTAGCTCAATGGCATGGTCCCACGGACACGGCATGGGCAATTCATCAAAGGACTCCTTTGCGAAGACGTCCTTGAATTCCTGGAGGAAGTCCGGGACTGCGCTGTTCCGAGGATCGTGGGGTTTGTTGCGCTGGAAAGCCAATGCAAGGCGCTGCGAGACTGTCTCCGAAGCCCGGATATGTCCTTCCCGAAGACTCCGAAGGTACTCCGGAGTTGGAGGAGGAATAGCTGCGAAGATACGGTCGCCCCTCTCAAGTCCGGAGTCGTCCGGAGTTGTAGCATTGTCATCCTCATCATCTCCCTCGCAGTCGTGAAGCTCTGGGAGATCGTCCGAGTGCAGTTCCTCAACCCTTGGCATCGGACCTGTACGACACTCTCGGAGTCGTACGGACTCCTTGCGTCAGGTCAGCTTGTCATGGCGGAACTCCTTCCGACAGGTGTCGCATCCGGACGGACAGCGGCTCATGGTCACCTCCTTTGTCTGCCAGTCAATCTCGGGGTTGTGCTTCCGAAGCCAGGTGTATCCGAGGATGATGTCCTGCCGTCCGATGTTAGTGACTGCGAAAAGCATCCGTTCCGTGTGATCCTTGAACCGGAGTACAAGGTCCACGACTTCGGAGATAGATCCGTTCTCATTCGGTGATCCGTCAACGTTGAAGACCGGAATCGGAGCGGACAGCTTGCGTCGGGTGAAACCATGGGCATCAGCAAAGCGCGGATGCATGAAGACTCCGGTGGCTCCGCAGTCCACCAGGGCCTGCAGGGTGCATCTGTGTTGTGTATCCGTGCTCTGCACTTCAACGGGTATATCTAGCGAAAGCTTGCCGGGCAGCGCGGAGATCTTATAGCTACTGGGTAGCCGCCGTTCCCACTGCGGGCGAAACCTTCGGAGTGTGCGGATTGTAACTGGAGTTGCTTGCTTAACGTCGGACGAATCATCGGAGTGATTGGAATCGTCTATTTCGTCTACGCTAAGACAAGCAAATCGGTTATTTACCAAGGAGGTCGCACTGATCACTCGTTGGTCCGGACAAAATCCGCCGTGTCCGATTCCTCAACCGGGGCCGTTCCCTCATCGTCTATTCCTTCCGAAGTCCCCACACTTTCTACAACATCGGCCGCGGTCAGGAGATCTTCAATGGCAGACATCCGCTCCTCGGTGGTCATGAACCGGACGTCGTACCGAAGTGGGCACTCGCGGGACATGTGGCCGGGCTTGCCGCATCGGTAGCAGAGCTGTGCAGCGGCGGGCCGGGAGCGGGTGTGGTCGACGTCCATGGGGACACCGGGTGAGAGAGCCTTCGGAGGAGGCGGAAGTTGGAAGCGGGGTTGCAGAGGCGGGAGCTGAGTCCGAGGCGTGGGGAGCACACCCGCAGGAGTCCGAGCGACTCCGGAGCTGGCTGCTGGTCGGACGAGGGATCCGGAGTGTCCGGAGTTTCCGGAGTGCATGCCAAAGTGGAAGGATTGGTTAGCAGCACGGTTGTCAGCAACCCGCTGTGCTGCCTTGTACCATTCCTCGAAGTCATCCTCGTCCGGACAGTCTGCGGACTCGGCAACACGGCTCTGGATGATGGAGTCCAATCCGCGGCGGAACTTCATCGTGATGTTGGAGCCCTCAGTGTATCCGGACTGGTCTACAAGGTCCCGGAACTCGTCGAGGTACTCCTGGAAAGTCCGACGCCCTTGGTGGTACCGGGTGGACTCCAGTTTTAGCATGGCGGCTTCGCGTTCCCGATCCGGAAGGAAGCGAGTCCGGAACTCGGTTGCGAAGGCGGCCCAGGACGCAAAGTATGGATCCTTCGGACTCCGGAGCACCATGTCCGCGTACTCCTTAGCTCGATCCTTCTGGAAGAAGGAGAGACACCAGAGGATTTTGGCCTGCTCGGTTGGGAAGTGGTCCGGACAGAGCTGGAAGTAGATGGAGCACGCGTTGTAGAACGCGCGACCATCCTTGCGGTTTCCGTCGAAGATCAGGGGAGAGGCGGGCTTCAAACGGGAACGCGGGGTGTTTTCGGATCGACTCGGGGCGTGCTGGGAGGCTTTGGTGCCCCTCAGCTCGGAGTCCGGAGTCGTTTTCGGAGTAGTCGGACGGGGTGTTAAGAGGAGTCCTTCGATTCGGGCAAGTGTATCCTGGATGGAGCTGATTTGGGTTTGGTGTTCGTACGTCTGAGCCCACAAGGTCTGCAAAGTCTCGGAGTCCGGTCCTGAAGCGACTGGCTCGGACGGCGGGATCTGACTGGAAGCGCCCGGCATTTCGGAGTCGTCAGGGGAGCGAGGGATGGAGTTCCTTGGGTCCTCAGAGGTGGGTGGGAGTAGCAGGAGAGCGTCCGGAATGTCCGCAAAACCGGAGAGACGTCGAGAACGAGTCCGGAGTGGCGCAGGACGTTTTCTGTAGGGCTCTGGTGCCAGAATGGGAGATCCTGTTCTGCTGTAAGGGCAACCTCAAGATGGCCGACAGCGCAGGCCTAGCAGAGGGAGAATCCAAAGATAATGAATAAGGCTAACTACAATACATGAGAGGGCTGCTCACCTAGCAGAGGGAGAATCCAAAGAGAACAGGATAAGGATTCTCCATGCTAGGAAGCGAAGTATATACTGTAGTAGCGTGAGAGGAATGCAGGATAACTGTACAGTACACCAGCCACAAGTCCGAACAAATACCACAAGGTACAAGGAAACATGTGATAATGAAGTGGAGGGTAAATGCACAGGAGTCGTGCCAGCGACTTGGGGAAGTAAGGGCGAAGAGTAATGAAGTGGGGGAAAAGGATAGAGGTAACCCGGACGAGCCCCGAAGAGTATAGATGAGTCCGAGCGAGTCCGAAGTGTCCGAGACGAGTCCGAGCGAGTCCGAAGTGTCCGAGACGAGTCCGAGCGAGTCCGAAGTGTCCGGAGTGCAGGAAGACTCCGGAGTCACCGGACGCGGCTCGGATGCGAAAGGAGTGGGTGGAAAGGAAGTGGAAAGGAAAGGGAGCGAAAAGGAACGAAGGGGAATGAAGGGAATGTAGGTAAGAGTCCATGGAATGAAGGAAAGGAGAGAAAATAGAAGTGTCCCCTTACACGTAGCAGGTGGTAGCACAATATTAATAGTGAGGTACCTGCGTGTTACTGTTGCACGTTATGTTGCACTTCCTAATATAGTGCTCCAACCTTAAGCGAGACTCGGTCACTTCGGTGTTGTTGGACTCCCTAATATAGTAGCCTGTCCTTACTACACCGTAGCCCTCGTTATGGAACTCGACTCCGACAGGGAAGATTACCTCAATATCGAGGAAAATGTCTATACTCTGCAAGATGTAGATTGCATCACTTTCGTAGAGAAGTATGCGCACCCTCTGTCAAGTTGCCTTGAATGTCACAAGGGCGATCAAGACCTTTGCCGCTTCAAAAATTTCAGACGAATAGCACTGTCCGCTGCGCGTGTCGGTGCTGATTTGCTTGGGGGTAGATATACCCATTGGAAGAAAGCTGATTCGACTACCCCGGACTTCCTCTACGCAAAGTCCTTTACCCCTCGGATATCGAGGCAAGATGTCAATTATTTGAAAGTGAGATTCATATTCCCTTGCTACTAGTATACTCCACGCTTGTCATATACCAGTCCTCACGCCCCCTTAGGGGTTCCCCCCTACGCCCCTTTCGGATACTCGGACCCTCGGAGCCCCTCAGGCTCCGCCCTCGCGGCCTATGCATGGTGCGCAGCACTTGGATTCACTTGTTACATGTTTCACCTACATGTGTACTTACATACTAAGCCTCACTACATACATGTGTTAGTTAGTATTTATAGTAGCACTAGTAGACATGTATTCCTCACTCTGAATCTTAGTTCCTTCTTCGTCACTTGTCCTTCTAAGTCTTCGCTGTGGGCTCCTCCGCGGAGCCTGCCTCTCACCTTGCTCTCTCCGAAATCGGGACACTGCAGGGCTAGGAGGGCGCAGCATCAAAGCTGAAGCCAAGTCCCGTGTGCTCCGCTCGTCCGCGCGTCCGCGCTCCCGCGCTCCGCCCGCGCTCCCGCGCCCCTGTGCGGACGAGTCAGGAGGCCCCTTGACACGGTCCTTAACAACGCTCATCCTCGATAAGGCCTCCATTGCGAGAGTACTCCTTCCTGAGGTGAAGCGAAGCTCTCAAGCCCTCAATAGCTACCAAGGGCCAGTTATTCCGATGTCAAGATCAGCCCATTATAAGGATATATGCGGTAGACATAAGAGTACTGCGCACGATTATTGACACTAATTGAAATCCCTAGATATTTGCGACTGGCCTTTAGATCTTGTGTCCTGGATTTGCAAGACCTGCGGTTCATTCTCTTGTCTACAATGCCCTAGAATGACGGGGGGGGTGCTGTGCCGCCGATAATGTCCTGGCATCTGCCATGGAACCAGAGGAGCTCCGGGATTTTGAACGTCAGCTCCTCGACTTCTCCTTGCTACCTGTTGTTCTTCCTCGGTCGCATGATGGGAAAGATCCTGGGTTAGACTCTATCCTCGAGAACACAATCGACCCAATTAAACGTGTAGTCCCGACTCTCCACGGCCAGTGCTCACTAGGCGAGTTCAATTCATTTTGGTTGATGGGTGTCCCGCTAGTCGTCAAACTTGGAGGAGATCTACAATGTGACTGGTCACCAATATCTCTTGCCACCCTCTTTGGTAGCGACAAATGCACTGTAGTCGATTGTGAGGATCGGGGTTACAAGGAGGAATGTCTGGTTGATGAATTCCTTCGAGTAAAGCTTCCACGTCGTCAAGGGTGTATACTCAAACTCAAGGTAGGGATTCCCCCGCGCCTCCCAGCCATGGCCTGAAAATTCTTTAGGACTATCCCCCTGACACTACATTGAAATTGAAGTCATCAGATCTGGGACGCGATTTCAATTCAGCCGTCCCGGTGTGCGAGTATTGCAGCGACAGTGGCCCCTTAAATATTGCAAACTATTTCCCCATCAACTATTCTTGCATGCCTGACCTCAGTGAGCCAAGTCAATTAGTTTCCAGACTCACATAATTAACGAGCCACAGGACCGAAAATTTACGCAGCGATGGCAAGTCAGCAAGATCGCCGTCAGCACGGCAGTACACGTCTGCACATGGATATTTCGGATGCCGTAAACATCATGGCAAACATCGATGGTGAAGCTCGGTGGGAAATATTCACAGCGGAGGATACTAAACTACTCGGTTCCTTCATCAAGTCCCGGTTCAAAAAGCTGAAAAAATGTCGAGCAGGAGATTCAGTTAACGCCTACCATGTCTACCTAACACCGGATCACCTTGAAGTTCTCAGAGTCAACTACAAGATTGTTCCGTTCACATTTCACCAGTCTTTTAGAGACGTGGTTTATATTCCAGCTGGATGCGCACACCAGGTACGGTGTCCGCCTCAACGAGTCACGACTGCCCTAATATATTCTTACAGGTTTCAAACATCACGCCTTGCGTCAAAGTTGCGATGGACTTCTTGTCACCCCAGAGCCTCGAACGTTGTTTCGAAGTCGATAGGATGTTTTGATCTTGTAGCCAAGCCACCGACACGTTAGAGCTCTACAACCTGCTCATACACAGCTGGATGGCACTAACATTTTACGAGACAATATACTGTGAGGCACAGGCCCCCATACTTCCCAGGTGCGGAGCTCTCTTCTTGGGGGTTAGGACTACGATAAGAGCATTATCTAGGCTTCCGTCTGTCCCAAGGATTGGCGTTACAACCCACACGGCGATGGCAACCGGCACTGTTCCCGAGCCTTGTCAGAGCATGTCCGCGCAACATGATGCTGATAATGAGCACGGTGTTCCCCCCAAGGAGTCTCTCTGCTTTGGAGAAGTCCATTCTGATACCACACTCGAGCTATTCAGCCAACAGCGGACACTCCAGCTGACCAGCAGTGCCGGACTTGTCCAGCCGACGTTGCAAATGAAAACGTCCCACCTGCGATGCCTATTCCTGCAACAGTCGCACTACCCGGGCTCTCGCAGCCAATGTTTACCGTCGCGCCAACTTTCACCGCCATATTTCGCACTAGTGTCTTAGGCAAGCGTAAGGAGAGGACCTGCGTGACATGTCAACAAAAGTACCCAGATTGTCCTGGTGCTGTTTTGCGGAAGAGATGCCCTTTTTTTGGTACTTAGCGGTCTGGAGCGCGGGGCTGGTTTTATATTCGAACTTTAATTATAACTTAGGGTTCGTCATAGATTCACTACATGAGATTGCGCCTCGTAATCTTGATCGGACATGTCATATCATTTAGATTAGAGTTGTTGAGTTGTGGGTCCGCGAATTAAAATTCCAAAAGGGGGTTGTGGGTCCATTTATCCGGCGGTAGTAACAACCGAGATCTACAGCGGTGATCAGGTTCCGTTAGGCCACAGGGTCGTCAAAGAGGCGCTATAATATTGATATGGTTCAGAGAGTACATATGAAGTACAAGGTGAGGGATATATAAGTACGGTGCAACAAAAATGTGTAGCTGAAGTACGGTAGAAGGCGGTACCAGACCGGTCATAGAACTTGAGGGATTTACAGCCAAATACCGACGATTCAGCCAATTTGGAGGGAACTAGGATAGTACAGTAAATCGTCAATTATCAGTTGAGATTTCGGTGGAAAAACACCAGACATACCTAATCAAACCATTTTCATGCCAGAATGGATAATCTTGATCGACTGGCTTGAGGCAAAATTCAGGTTGTCTCTGTAGACTGATCCAGGAGCTATGGTAGGCATTCCTGGGTAGCGATGGGACCGGCTTGGCCTTGTCATCCACTACCACTGGGATCCTGCCTTGCAGTCGCGGATACTGTCCTCGTAGGTCCTGCTTCGAGTGACGTAAGAGGGAATAAACACTGTCAAACCCTTCCAGCCAATCTCCGACCTCTGTCGCTCTCCACGCAGGGGTGATAACCTGGTATATAGGACGCTTAGCCCGCGATCCGCCATCACCGGGTTCATCGACATCTGATTCATCACTAGACATGCCGTCCACCCCCAATCGTTCAAGTAAAGGTACGTGTTGGCGAAGTAGGGGGTGTTGCTGAGCAGCACTAAGTCGCATTTGAAAAAGCTATTAATACAAGAAAATAAGGACTCAAAGACGCGGTGGAGGTCAAAGAAACACTCAACCGAACGCTTCCTTCCTTGGCGCCTTGCCCTGCCTTTTTCTTTCTCCTGTTGGGTACGGGATAGAAGTGACTGGCGGCGTGCCTGTCGCAAAGACTTGATCCAAGTGGCAACGGCTTCCATCGTGGTTTCTTGGTCAAGCTCCACCCCTGCCCATTCTTCAAAGGCTTTGACAAACACTCGCGCTGCGGACATATTCCACGGAGACTTGGGAGAACCTAGAACATCATACCTAAAATTATCTTTATCGCAACAGTCCAGCGCAGACAAGCCGTTATCTGTGTTCCACAGAATCACGTAGTTGTCGGCTTCTTCTATGCTGACAGAGACCTCCAGCAAACGATGTGATCCACCAACGAGATAAGTGAAGTAAGACCGAACCTGGGCCTAGAACGAAGATAGTATCGAAAATAGATAGTCGTAACCGAATTAACTTACTGCTAGAAGGACCCCGTCCCCTGGCCTCCGCTTCGGGTTGCTGGTTCTCTTGGGTTTACCTTTGCGCCGCGAACCATCACCTCGAAGAGGGCTTTGTTCAAGTGCTTCGATCTGGTCTTGAAACCGTCGACGGTCTGACTGCACAGCGTCCACCAAGCCTTGGATCTGATCCCCAAGCTGCTGACGATCCGTTTGTATCACTTGCGCTAATCCTGAGACCTGATCGCACAGACGACCTATTGGGTCCATGCGTAGCACTTGGTGATTTTCATTTCGAGGGGGTGCCTCCCGATAAAGTGGGTCGTTCGGAAGATACCATTGCAATGGACTGAGCCCTTCGGGTAGGGGGGGTGGACGAGGAGTACTAGGCTGAGACTCGCGTGGTGAGTAGATGGGGTTCCTCGCTACGATATCATGAATTCCGGTTGTCTCAAAAGGTACGTGATCATCGTTGCCGAGAGGAGCAGTATCGCAATCCATGAGAGACAAAGGGGATAGTTCCCTCTCATAGAGGGGTTGAGAAAGAACGATATCGTGAACATGTCCAGGAGTAGGTGATTCACGACCGCGACCCCCGGAGTCTTCACCAATGTACGTTGCCACATTATCGAGGTCATGATACCATCGTCCCTCTATATGCTCAGATACAACCTGACCATCGAGTGCATCTGGAGCAAGAGTAACTGCCCGTTGCATTGGCCGCCCTCGATAGAACGACGTCAGAACTTGCGCAATGGTGATCGGAGTCGTGAGCAAATGTCCTAAAATGTGGCTAGAAGCGGCTGTATCTGGAAAGACCCTGTCAGCTGCGATCTAACGTGGGGACGACATGAGGTCATACATACTCTGCCCACGTTGATTGGAGTCTCCTGGAGGTAGAGTATCATCAGTTTGAGAAGCGTCTTCCTCGATAGTTGTTCGCATAGCCAACAGAGCAAAACTACGAGGGGGGTTCACTATTCTCGGACTATCACTATTCTGACCTCTGGTGTCACTGACGGCTGGATCCGAAGAGCTCGTAGGTTGAGTTTCGTGATCACTACATGGGAAACCGGAATCTGGAGGCTGACTTGTCGATGGTAACGGAGGGGTTTCCAAGGTGCTAGCAGCTCCCTCAAGACCTTGTTGGGTGTTGTCGGCTTGGCTCTGCAAAGTATTTGGTACTTCGAAGTCACCCGCTGGAGGATTTGATCTTGGGTCGTTTCTGGGAGGCTGACGATCTCTTAGAAGCCGGGGGGGGGATTGATATAGGTGTTCTTGTCCTTGACTTTGAGCGTTGACGCTCAGCTAGGGCTCGTAGAAGATGCGTGTTTGGTAACGGAGCTATTGGTCTGTCCCCAGGATTCGTGACACCTTAAAAATAGAAGAGTCAAGAGTGGCTCAAGGGCTTCACTGGCTTTGTACCCACTTTTGGGATCTCGGCCTTCAGAGCGCGAGTATGGAACAAAGCGTCCGGTAGCGGCGCTTCGACCTGCACCCTGACTACGGCTTCGGTTTCGACTTGAGGTAGCACTTTGGCTTCGACTCTGACGAGAGTGTATGTAGCTTGTGGTCGGAGGCCCACTGGCGATTTCTGGCGGAGTTGCCGAATCTATGTGAATTGAGCATGCAATTGCGCCAATTTCACACTAAACGCACGACTCCTCTGACTATTAACGTCCATGAATTGGACTTTTCCAAAGTCGATGGTGCCAGAAGCGGATGGTCAATGAGAGGGCGAAGTTCCCTGCACAGCACATAACCCACAGCACATAACCCATTTATTTCAGCACGACAGCGTGCCCATGGGCATTATCTCGACAGCGAGACATTATTAATATTCTACATACCTAATACTTAACCTCGTTGGGAATTCGACAGTTTCCACGTGCTGTGAAACCTTTCCAGCCACCATCAGTCGGACGCACCAATGCACCGTGGACGGCACCATGCATCCCTGTGTCCGGCAACTTGATCATATTAAGTGCGCCAGGTCTTTGACATGGTATACAGCAGGCCTCAAGGCCTGCTGTATACCATGCCCAATACGACGTGAGCATGCGCCCAACATGCAATTCTCGTTGTCGAGAAGCCCTGTTTTTACTTTCGAAAAGAGCCCGAGGTTCGTGTATCTTAATGGATATATGGATATCTCGATATTGAAAATTCAAGAAAGTGAGTTGTTTATACGTACGTCTAACCCATATCCTCGAGAAAACGAGGCTGGAAGCTATTGTACGCGTTCTGCGTATATAACCTCATTGCTAGCTTTGATTCCGTTAACGTTCATAGTACCTTGTTTACTCTGCAATCTCGAATCCCAATTGCTATGCCTGTCAACGAATCCATCTATGCTTTCTCTGGTGCGCTCACCCTGAAACGAGTGCAAACCTGCTCCGCCGCCGCCTGCGTGAGCTCACTCAAGATATCCCCCCACCCACACGAAATGCTGGCAGTAGGCGACATGAAGGGAGTCTTGACAGTGAGTGTCGCACCCGGACGTGAGCAACATTTTTAATTCATTCGTTCTACAGATCCACTGGATGAATAAAAACCTGGAGATATTCCGCAAGAAAATGGTAAGGCGCGGTCGCCAATCAGTCGCCATCAGAGCCCTGGCTTGGAATCCACAACAACTGAACGAACTATATGTTGGGTTTGCGAACGGGGATCTCATTGGTTATAAGCTACGAATCGATGTCCACGACACCGGCCACGAGGTTCGTTCCCTTCAGTAAGAGATTGAAGTACTTGGAATAATGTCAACTTGAACAGGACCCATCTTCATTTCTGACTTTCGGAGGGGCAATTCACGACGTCGCCCTCCCGCCGTCTGGAACTGATATTTTTCTGTTGTTTGGGACCTCGTTAGCGGTTGTCCGTAAGCGATGAACCTCCCTCCTTACAAATAGATGTATATACTGATATATCACCAGGCCAGGGAACTCGGGCGCACTCAACCATTCCAATGCCCCCTGAGTCTCGCCCAATTCGGCTTATCCTTGACGTGACTTGCGTCGTTGTAATATTTATGGTCTCCGAGCCTGGGGTTCTGCCGGCGGCCATGTGGGTTCTTCGTGATCATTGACGACGAAATGGAACTCATGTCGGAATCCTTAGTGCCTACGATCTTCACTCGTATGAAATACGCTGGAAGTTGTTTACCTCCTGCAATGATATGATGTGAGTTTACAACCAATCCGTGCGGTCCTACTAGTAACATTTTCAACAGCCTTGCAGGAGCAATTTCTCCCCAACATACGAAGATCACTATTCTGCATGCTACGAAGGGCGCGGAAACATATACCCTACCCAATCTCGGCCATATCTCTACTGTATTCGCTGCACAGAAGTTCTCTGCCGCAGTTGATATTACGTATGTCGATCGCGATACATTTGTCTGCGGTAGCTCGACTGGGGGTCTTCTATTTGCGAACGGGACTTCCGGCGAAACCTTTGAAATGAAGGCGACAGCGAGAGCCATGTATATGCTTGCTCGACTGGTAAGCTATATCTTTTCATTGTACATGCAAAATATGACTTGAACTCAGGATGTCGCACGCATGGGCGGGCGCCACACCCACGTCGTGACCAGCGATGGCAATACATTCTCTCCGTTTTGCGACGTGTTACATTTCACGGAGACAGTCCTGCCGAACACCAGGTCCAGATCAATCTGGAAATATGCCGCTCTTGTTTTGCTTGCGGCCATGGGTACTATGTATTTTCATTCCAGCGAGGGAAGCGCCTCAGCGATCTCGTCGGTAGTCAGCAACTTATCATCCGCGGTTTTTGCTTCACTCAGTCCTCCTCCCGCGCTCCAATTCCCTCCAGTGCCCAACCCGCTGGCTCCGTTACCAGAGTCGCCATCAGAGCCTGCGTCAGAGTCACTCTTGTCGGAGTCTCCCTTGGCGTCAGAATCTTCGTTGGCATCGGAGTCTTCTTTGGCATCGGAATCTCCCTTGGATTTGCCCTCAGAGTCGCCCTTGGAGTCGCTCCCCGAATCAAACTTTCCACCAGTACCCCTGAATACGCACTTAAGCTTGGATTTGCCCTCAGAGTCGCCCTCGGAGTCGCTCCCCAAATCGAACCTTTCACCAGTACCCCTGAATACTTCTGCATCATCGCTGTTATCCTCACCCATTAGAGGACCCTCTGAAACAGAATCGCTATATGCATCACCCCCGTCTGACAGTGACATCGGCACTGGCCTTGCTGCACGGGACGACCCCAATTACACGGAGCTCCCCTTGGCCCCGTCCCCTGACCAACACCTTCCACCGCATGTTCCATCCGATCACGCTACAGACCCAGCCGTCAGTACAATCGGTACGCCCCCCCTGTTGCCACGGTCACGATTCTCCGTGATATGCAGACTGAGAAGACTGGTAGCGGTCGCGCTGGGATTGGGGAGTTGGTCTTTGGCGTCATCTTAGGAATCACGGCCACTCTCGTTATCATGGCTCTTCTCTATAACCACGCTGCCATCGGTGATTGGTTTGCGGGTCATTTCGCAACCTTTGCAGGCTACTTCTCAACCGCACCCAAACCATCCGACCAGCCTGCCTCCACTTCCCCTTAGTTCTTCTTCCCCTAGTTCTCCCGAGATTAAAGATGAGTAGATATAGATCTTTCTGATCTCGAAATCGGATCTCGCACGTAACATACCCACAGTTTCCTCTCGACATTACTATTTATATTTACTCCTACTGGAAGGTCCTGTAATCTACGGGACGAACAGTCCCTCAAGGTGATAGTTACGTTACATGCCCCATAGACGCCGTGACATTCCAATTCATGCATGTAGAATATAATCTATTCGCAATCAATAGCACCACTCAAGCGAACCCGCCTCATCTCATTAATGCCTGCACAGTTACCCTACGATGTTCCTTGGGCCGCACATCCGCTCTCAGACCGTGATGCCTATGATGTGGATATTGATGTACGTGTCCTTCAGAGATCTGATACTTGCCCGGCTGACTAAACCATATGTCTTAGATTTTGGCTCAACATTTTACGAGCTTAACTGTTAAAGATGTCCCAAAGACTCCATCCGTTCCAGGGGCTTACCCTGAAACACCACGAGTACAGTAAGTTGCGATTGAACCTTCTGGCGTCCATGACTGTTGAGAGGTAAATGCGCAGACTCAGTCCTAGGGTGAAAAAGATCATCAATTTCCTCAGTTTATATTCTGAGAATAACCGCGAGATGGTCAAGAACTGCGCCCGACAACTGTGCGACGTTACGGATGCGGACATGTTCGAAAACAAGGCTCTTAATGCCCTCTCGTTGTTGGTGACCGACGGCAACACTCAAACACTCCAGGAACCCGCAAAGCACCTTCGTGAGCTTCTCTTCGTCGCAAAGTACTAAGTACTCTCTAAGTACATCAGCATTATCTTACGTGTCTCTACAGGAAGGGTGTCAGGTTCTCCCAGGCACCCCCTGATGATGATGTCTTTGGGACACCGTCCAATACCACCAATTCTGCAAAAGATGTCCGTGTAAAAAACGAGCCACCGTCGTCGCATATTTCCCTCCAAACCACTGAACTGACGGATTCTCAAGTCCCGCAAAAGACGGAAAACCAGCCCATGCAGCCACCCATGCCCGTCCCGATCCCCCTACAACCCTCAGCTGAGAGCTCTGCTCAACATGATCCCCCCCTTCATGGGTCACAGGATCCTCGATGTAAGGGCAACCTCAAGATGGCCGCACAGTGCAAGCCTAGCAGAGGGAGAATCCAAAGAAATGAATAAGACTAACTACAATACATGAGAGAGCTGCTCACCTAGCAGAGGGAGAATCCAAAGAGAACAGGATGGGGATTCTCCATGCTAGGAAGCGAAGTATATACTGTAGTAGCGTGGGAGGAATGAAGGGTAACTGTACAGTACACCAGCCACAGGTACGAACGAATATCACAAGGTACGAGGGGGCATGTGATAATGAAGTGGAAGGGGAATGTACAGGAGCCGTGCCAGCGACCTGGGGGAGTGGGGACAAGGAATAACGAAGTGGGAAAGGAAGATGGAGGTAGCCCGGACGAGCCCTGAAGTGTATCTACGAGTCCGAGCGAGTCCGAGCGAGTCCGAGGCGTCCGAAGCGCGGGAAGACTTCGGAGTCACCGGACGAGGCTCGGATGCGAAGGGAGTGAACGGAAGGGAAGCGGAAAGGAAAGGGGACGAAAGGAAAGGAAAGGGAATGAAAGAAAGAGGAAAGGGACGAGGAGGAAGGGGACGGGACAGGGGGAAAAGGGGAAAATAGGAGTGTCCCCTTACACTCGAGCTCCTTCACATGTCGCAACTAATACCACACCCCAGCCCGTGATTTCATCGAAAGTCCCGACGGTACAAGCCACCGTCCCACCAGCTGCTTCAGCTCCCCCCCCACCTCACGTCTCGACCGACTATAATGGCGTTAGTGCGATACCACAGGACGCGCGTTCTCACATTCCGATTGCACAAGCACCCATCCCATCGTCCCTCCCACATTATCCCCCATTTCAGGGGCCTACATCACAAATGCAGAGACCAAATATCTCACAAGTACCCCCGCCTCCCGTGCCTGCGACTTATACCTATGCAGCGCCCGAAGCCCCGAGCGCGATCCCTCAAAATGAGCTGCCTCATGGATGGCAATACTACCCAGGTGACAGCATACATGTTGGCCCACCGTCCCAGAGTCAGGGGTACTATAGTGTTGATGTATCCGCCCCACCGCACTCGGCCACTCGTTACTACAGTCCCCCTCCCTCAGCGCCGAATGCTACTTGGCAGGTGCCTCGTCATACAAGCGCCCCCCCGCCAGCGATGCCAATACAAACTACCCCATATGAGTCCATCAGCACCCCGCGTCGCCATATCAGTGCTCCCCCACCACAGCCTCGAGGCGAAACACTCTCTACACCCCCCACACAGAATCAACAGTCGTCGAAATCGTCATCGTTTGAGATCAATAATGTCTCAAACACGCTCGTCCTTTATAATAACAATGATCAGCCGATTACCGTCGCCTCCCTCACAATGAAAAATAATGAGAAACCGATAAAAGAGGGCTACCGCGTGAAGGCGCGTTATATTCACTGCGACCGGCAATCCTACGTCCCGGTTGTCATTTCCCGCCCCATACTCCCTTCAAACTGGAACAAGCTGGCTGGAGATCTGTTCATCATAACAACAGGCCCGCTGGGGCGATCCACCGTTGCGGAAACTGTATGGATGTTGAAGGAAGAGGGTACCTGGCATGACATAACCCATGATTTCAACAGCGATCAATTGGACTCGTTGCACTTGGTGCCGCACCCAGCTAAGGCCATTGCGAGCGATCATTTCCTCAGTAGACGTACTAGTGCTGGTAAGCCTGGTTGGGTAACAGCGAAAACCCAGGATACTTACAGACTATGAATTTACATGTATAATATTCTCCAGTACGCAAGAGAACTTCTATGTATGCAAGCCCCGTTTTCATAGAGATTCGATTGATATTGTGGACTTCGTATTCTTCCTATGTCTAAATTAGTGTCTAGTTATCCCTGGTAGTAGGTTGATGAGAATTCACCGAAAATATCATAGTCGTCTCGTGTGTGAGACTAACCGTAGTTCAAACTTCTGCATTGCCAAAAGTGGTAGTTCACATAGACGCGCGTCTATTTGAACTACCACGTTTGGCAATGCACCAATCACGTCTATTTGAACTACCACTTTTGGCAATGCAGAAGTTTGAAGTGCCGCTGCCACATGTCAAGACCTCGAGTTGGTCTCGTTATCGAGACGGAAGAAATGTGTGGTGCTCATTAGTGTCTCGATGTACAGACTTGAGAGAGTACCACTTCATCCTGAGTCATCAAGACGGAAGAATTAGGAGCGCGGCTGTACGCAGGTTTCACGACATTCGAAGCAGGCTGGACGACACTCTTGGATCACAGCACAAAGGTGTCTCAATCGAATCCTCTCTCATATCGCTCATATAATACTCTGATCGCCGCCTTTCATCCTCTTCTCACATCGGAAGAGTACAGATTTCGAACCCCCGATCGACAGTCCTTACGGTGTACTCTATAGCCAAGACCAAGCGCAAGCAATTTATCTTTCTCTCAACCTCAAAAGATGAAATACGTCACTTGCCATTGCCGTAGTCACTGCGCAAAATGGGATCCTCAGACTCACAGTTTCATGGGAGGTAAATCAGTGTCTCGCTCTACCCGAGATAATCACGGCCGGGACGACAAACGTCTCCACATCGAGTCTGAAGATGTCGCCATCCCGGTTGCATCTGCTCCGGAAGAAGTTGGTGGTTGGCTACTCCTAGCGCAGCAAGAAGTCGCAGCAATGGCGGCTCTGCCGTCTTCTTCACTTAACAATCCTTTAGTCTTCATCAACGATCCCCGGGCGACTACGTTAGGTGAATATGCTCTCCATATGGATCCACGGCAGCCCAATACGGGTATACATGCTCTGCAAACACATAAGCGATCTAATACAGCCTTCCTCCACTCCGAACTCCGCGTTGCCCATCTACTCTCGAAGGCATCTCTCCTCGCAGAATCCCAAGAAGTCAACGCACTCATTTCCTCACTTGAGGACTACTTGCATCAACTAGATCGTGAGAAAGAGCTTCATTGGTCGCAACAACGAAACAGGAACACGGTCGACCGTAACGGTCGACCAGTAATCAACACTGGTAAATTCCATCCGTACTCTACCTGACATTGGCTCACGAGTTCCTTTGATGAGATGTCTACTCCGAAACTGTAATTCCCCCCGACCCTGTCCAGCAGGTTGCGTACACACTCTCGGCCATCATGCAAAACTTTCATTTTATGTCAAGAAAAGCGCTTCGCTTGCAAATTGCAGGGAATCGGGATCTGCTACTCTCATCTGGTGCACTTCATTCGGTCGTTGACTCGTTAGCCAAAGATCCTCGAACGGCTACAAAATCTCTGCACATAGACCCCGTTCTTCGAACTTATGTGTCTTGCCTGACGTGCCATACCGTCTATCCACATGACCCAAACAACAAAAACCCTACTCACTGCATCAGCCGTGAAACTCCGCATAGCTCGACCTGCAACCAGCCATTATGGAAAGAGTCTCTTGTTGGAGGCCGCCCTAGGATAGAGCCACGTCTTACATATCAGCATCAGGATTTCAAACATTGGCTGGGGAGGCTTTTATCTCGTAAAGACGTTGAAGAACTACTGGACAGTTATCCCGCCGGGCTAAACGACACACATCCTACCTCGGATATTTGGTTAGCCGATGTCTTTCAGCAGCTCAAAGACCATGAGGGTCGCCCATTTTTATCTCCCTCCCTCACCGAGGGACGTCTGGTGTTCGGTCTATTGGTCGATAGTTTTGAGCCCAATGCCGCCAAGCCAGGACAGACTCCCACTTCTGCCACTGGCATCTGGATAATTTGTTACAATTTTCCGCCTCACCTGAGATATCTCCCCGAAAATATATACCTAGTAGGCATCATCCCCGGCCCAACTAAACCTGACACCACCCATATCAATCCATATATTCAGCTTGTGGTCGACGAGTTCAAACCGTTTTGGAACCCTGGCGTCTCTTTTTCGCGGACGAGGTGTTCGCCCAATGGGCGACATTATCTTGCGTTGCTCATTCCCCTCATATGTGATATGCTTGCAGCTCGGCAGATCGCAGGGAAACCCGCCGCCATGGCCCATAACCTCTGCACTATCTGTGATATCGATCACGATGACATGGATATTCTTGATCCATCGAAATGGCCGCTGAAAGATCGACGACAAGTACTCTTTTTTGCCAACCTTTGGAAAAATGCACGATGTACGGCTCATCAAAGCCAAATTTTCGATGCATATGGCCAGCGTTGGTCCCCCCTTTTCGATCTTCCTTATTGGGATCCCATTCGATTCATCGTCATCGACACCATGCACACGCTTGATATCAACCTCCTCAAGGGCCACCTCCGCGATATGTTCCGAATCGACCTCAAGCATCCGGGGGGAGACGGCGCATCTCACACCGCGATTGTCAATGACAAAATGACCATCCCAAAAACCTACGTCGCCAAATTACCTGCCTGCAATAAATTGATCGCGGACAATCCTCAAGACCTCCTCTACAAACTACTAGAATTTCACCACACTATTCTCTATGTGGTATGCGTAGAGAATACCATCCTGGGCGACACTCATACTGAAGTAATCGGGACTCGGTGGATCTTAGCGCGAAATATAGTTCGATGGGTCAGTAGATACATTCCCAGCGCAACACTGTGCAACTGACATGTCGTCTCAGCGAGCGGACGTGTCGCACTCTTCTGTTCACAGATTCTTGCAAAAGCAAGTCCCAATTCAAGTTGTCACCACCGATGAACCCTTAAATATGTGGCTATCCGACTCAGATGACGAAGACCTGCCGCCAAACAAAATTGGCCCCATGCCTGTGGAAGGCGTAATCAGAGTTGAAACCCCCGATCCTGGTCAAATGGTAGACGAGATACTGGGTGCTGAAAATGTAGAACCATCGAACCCGTCGCTCACACAAGATACAAAGCTCCATAGCTCCATACGGAAGATTTTGACATACCTGGCCTCAGATGCGAGTGGTCCATCCCGCGAGCATGTCTCCCAACGATCGACTATTGACGTCCTCCGCCGTATTTGCCACTTGATTGATATCGATCCTTCTTCCGTACCTTCCATTGGGCGTAATGTGAAACTGCCTTTGGTAGATGCTATCATCGAGAAGGGATTTAAGTTTCCCCGCTTAATATGTTTTCAATCTAACGTATCCCGACAGGCCGTTACGGATGAAACCGTAATACCTCACCTTGCTTCCCTACTTCCTGAAAGGGACGCAAAGAGAACATCGGTATTAGGCATCGATATCATGAAAGAGATTTGACAAGATATGGAGCACACAATGCTTCCTACTTGGGTTTCTCGTGTCCCCCGTGATTGGACCTCGCTGACAGACTTGAACGCAAGCCAAACCCGCATGCTCTGCACAGTCCATCTACCCATTACCTTGATCCGTATGTGGCACGCCTCCGAGGGTCGAATGAGAGAAATATTGGCAAACTTCATGGACCTCGTTACGGCGGTCATAACAGCCAATATGCGAACGACTTCAAAGGAACAGATTGCTACCTATGACTTCCACATTACGCGTTACATGCAACAAGCCCACCAACTCTACCCAGATGTGTCCATCAAACCCATTCATCACGCTGCCCTTCATGTCGGGAGGATGCTAGAGGACTTTGGGCCTGTCCACTCACACAGCTCTCCATATTACGAGCGCTATATCAATTTTCTTCATCGCATGAACACAAACCGAAAGCCAGGTGAGTTACCCATGTCAACAGCGTAAATAGGCCCAGCTAATCTCATCCACAGGTGGCCAGCTAGAGTCGATGATGATGATGATGTCCGCACGTAATGCCAATCTCTCTGCCCTTTTGGCAGATGATACCGCTCTACGCAATAAAGTATCTGGAATTGTCGACATTCTGGCCAAGTTCAGCCGAGAGGACACACGGCGTCTTGCTCATTTCGGCGAGTTTGAGCCTAGTTCAGAGATTAAATTAGGTCTCGAGGTAGAACTCACACGTTTGGACGACTGTTACTATCAAAAGCTATGCAGTCAGCTCTCGGCCACTGTGTTAGTCGACCGCAATCCTTCATTCTATGATGAAATTCTGCTTCATGGCATATCATACGGTTGTGCTGGTACCTCCAAAATCCGAAATAGTCCGGTCGTCTTTCATCCTGCAGCAACCACTGTCGATGCAGACACACCTATACTCGCTGGTGTCGTAGAAAGGGTATTTCAGTACACCACGCCGCTGTTCACCGGTATCTTCTTGGGTATTCGGTCCTTCCAACCAGTCGATTCGGCCCTTGACCCATACAGACAATATGGATTCGCTGGAGGTTTCCTGTGCTTCCGGAATGTTAATGATTACCATGTCATCCCGCCACCGGCCATTGTCTCGCATTGTGCTTTGACAAGTATGGGAGCGGAGACTGGTCAAGAGCTTGTCCATGCCTTGCCACTGAATCGGGTATGTGATGTATCGCGCCTCTCTCTTTTTGTTGCTAACCTTTCGACCTGTATATAGCTGAGGCAATCGTCTGAGTTTTCCTAATTTCCGCACCCTTCGACGCCTTGGTAATCGCTTTCGTCTCCGAGCAAGGCAAGACATAAACCTCTGCCCCACTTCGAACCATCACGCACGAATTGTGACATAAGCTGGGGCTCACGGGGAGAGCGCAGGGATAGCATATCATCGATCATCATCACCTTCGTTCTATTCGAAGTTTGGTACCTTCCAACACAGTCTGAGCTCCAATCTCTAGCCACAAACGTGGTGGTAAATACCTTAATCGTAAATGATAGCTGCGGTCCCCACGCAGCTTATCAGTAAAATATCTGAATGCAGTCGCCTCATCGATTGTCGCTCAAGATGCCCAAACATTCGAGCACGATCTACTTAATGTAGATTCACTAATACTCCCGATTCACACCTCGCCTTTACCTGGTCTGGAAACAATTCAGGACAGATCTTGTCAGGATTATATAAATGTAGTCCGTCAACACTCCCTTCTCCACTAGCTATAGTGTTCTCAAGGAATGTTGCATATCTCCCCTCGTGCGTTGGCATTTTAGGCTCGCTCTATAGAGAAACTGAAGACTCTCTCTCTGCCAGGTCGTTTGTGCAAGCGATGCAAGCGATATCAACAGATCATCAAGCGACGCCGCCGAAAGGATAGGCGAGGTATGTCGCTGCGTAGTGGTTCTCAATGCCATCGCTGTCGCTGATGTGGTAGCTTGCAGTGTCCCTCGTCGATGAAGGTGATTTCTTAGATTTGGGTTTACTATATTTTCACGCCCATTCTCAATCCACCTATCTCGCAGACCACATGATGATGGTGGTGGTTGATGACGCCTTCGACGCCCCCACCATCAAGTACCTCATTCGCTGCGTAGAAGAGGGCTTGCTTGAAGTGCAAACAAAGTCGTTCGCGCTCTCCAGCCGGCTGGAGACCGAGGCGCCCACAACTCTGGAAATGGTGAACTCACATTTACTCGAGACTTCTAAGGAAATGCGGTTGTCTTTGTCAACCTTGGCATTGGTACTCAACGCATTGCAGCCGTTAGATAGCTTTTGAAATTTCCCGTATTTCACCCCCGTCACATGTGTATAGTTCAACTCTTATCGATACATTCCATCACCGCCAGGTTTTCATTGATGGTACGCCTGCAGGGCTTTCAACCTCAAGGACATCACGATGATTTATGGTACACCTGCAGGGCTTACAACCTCAAGGACATCATGATGTGTACGTACCACAGTGATAATACTCGCAAGCATTCTCGGTGCTTTGGATTATCTTCCTTACATTCATCTTTCCCCCGCAATCTGTGTTTGCCATGTTGCTCCCGCCTAAAGCCTACAAGGGTCTTAGTGATCATCGCAACCGTTGCATCGCTGTCAAGTGTCGATGTAAGCTCTAAACACTGTGCTTGTGGGTTTAGCTCATTCATATATTAGGTGCCGATTCAAAGAGACTGAAGAAGGCGCGGCTCGCGATACACGTACACGCCCTCCGGAAACTTCAACCCATCATCTGCGGCATGAGTACATCCATGTTCTATATGAGCATTGACACGATCGTTCAGAACACATCTATCGGGTTGCCCCGGGGTTCAAGCCACACTCTGACGACTCTTGAGACATTGAGCGATCCCGTGCGTGTATCTGTTCCTAGCGAGTGTCACTCATAATCAATCATGGAGACAGCCGCCTGTTGTTAACTTAGAATATGTCAAGATGGCGGCCATTGCTGCCGTTCAAGTCTTAGTGTCGGAACGCGACTCAGATGACATTGTACAGTGGATACACCACATACTTGGCGAAGGAAGATTATTTCCTCCCTATATGTTCCGCGAGGTGGACCAAGCCTATCGTCGAAGGAAGGTGCGTAAATTCTCATTTTGCGAAAGGAGTGACTACGTACTGATGAGTAGCTGATCCTCAGGGATTCCTTCAGTCGCCCATGATATTAGCGACATACTCAGCCTATATATCACAACGTCCATATGACTGCCTACCGCTCTATATGGAAGAGCAAGATCGGGGGGAACTGATTACATCTGTCTACGCGGTAGGTCTCGATGGCCTTATGAGATAAACTGGCAACTGATATCAGTTATACTAGGTGCATTCGGCCCTCAGCCTGTACTCGCAAGGTCGCAAAGGGGATGAAGGGACCTATTTCCCTCGAAATTGGGGAAACTGTTCCAACCGCCGAAAACTCTGGATCGCTTCTCTCGTCGAGTTGCTCACTCCAGTCGACTTTGAGCATATTGTTGACTCAGCCCGGATGATCAACATCGTACCCATCTCACCCATTCCAGTGGAATCATACGACGCAGCTGGGGATTTGGCTATCTTCTCACAGGACCTGCTCGTTACGGGTAAAGAAGTCGATGCTGCGGGTGCCAGTGGCCACTTTATGGGTGAAGACAGAGACGAAGACGAGTCATGTGTATCTGACGACGCCTATGACCGTTTCGGCAATCAAAAACCGCAGAATGCGTATAGTCAAGACCTGCCAGATGGTTGGAAGCATCTCGCTATTGACAGGTACGAAGATCTCTGGGATGAATGGAAATATCTTGGATAGTACCATTAGTAAATAATGCCACGTTATGGGATCCTTTACCAATGTATCTTGATACCGAATTATTTGAATCATACACGACGGCTCTTGCACTACAAGGTCTCCAAGGAAGTCCGTTCGTAAACGTTCCTGGACATACATTGCCAAAGATGGTAGTCCATGTGCATGCTACCAAAAGCAGTAATGCAGCCAGAGCAAGCGCTCAAGCGCAGTTGATCAGTCGCAGTTTCGAAATTCAGCGAGTGCCGCATGGGGTGATGTCGACAACCTTGCCATCGAGACTGGTTGAACTCGGGGGGTCTCGCTATCGAGGTCAGTTCACGCTCTGAATACGTGTTGTGCTGACTGCGTTGGTGTTGATTTGACTAATTAGGATACTATCCATGTCCTCTGATGGCATCTTATCTGTGCTGAAGGTACCGGTGCAAGCGAGCACCTAATGGCGCGCTTCGACAAGCCACGACAATCACGAAGACGGGGCTACGATTTGGACGACTCTCGCACCACGAAGGATCCCCAATCGTTACAAAATGGGCTACATCCTTCCCCACATCCTCCTCCTCTCTCCACGCCGCTCTCCACGCCTTCCATCTCTAGCCGCCATCGATATCCCCGCACCTACAATGGGTGAATGCGTGCAGGAGAAGCAGACGCGGGTGAGAACGACGAACGGGGAGGAGTACGCGTGTCAGTTAGTAAATGAACAATACCGCAAAGACGATGACGACTAGCCTTATCGCAATATATTACCTCGCGAGCACGATTGCATACGCCGAAGCTAACGTTTACGTAGATGCGAACACGGCGCCGCTGGGTTCTGGAACGAAGGAAAGGAAATCAGCAAGGGGAGTAGATTGCAAACGAAACGAAACACCTATGTAACCGTGGATGCGAACGAGAACGACGACGATAACTCGACGACAACGACGATAACTCGACAACAACAACGATAACTCGACAACAACAACAACAACTCGACGACGACGACGATAACTCGACGACGACGACGACGAGGTGGAGGAGGAGGAGGAGAGGTGGTGAGGAGATGGATAACACGATCCGAAACCACGAAACCACGAAACCAACGAAACCACAAGACCTCGATGGAGAGACTAGAAGCAAATGACGATATAACGGGTGGACAGGTGAACGACGAATGATTGAGGACGAATGGTAAACGGTACGAGGACCGATGAACCAGCGCGGATAGAAAGAAACCAACGAGAAGAAACTCGACGCCCAACGAAGGGAATACGCACCGATGAACGAGAACACGCATCATCGCGATCACCACCACATCACCACCGTCGTCGTGTTTGTGTTCCTTTCGATACACCCCCAGTCGAGTTGCACGAACGTTAACGTTGAGCGTTGTGGCGATTGGCGAGTCGAACACGGCGACTGGAATGCGAGTGCGAGACCATGAAGACGACGAGGATTACGGATACGCGGATAGAGTGTAGGGAGAGAAGAGAGAGGAAGAGGAACGTAAAGAGAGAGGGATGTACGGATAGTGAAGTGCGCATAATCAGGACGTTGACGCCGTAAGCAGTCCCGCCAACTTTGGTGCGAGAGTTCGACGCCGTAAGCAGTCCCGCCAGCTTTGGCGCGCGAGTTCGACGCCGTCATCGTGCCCACCTCTCACCACCATCATCATCAGTACAAAGTAAGTGGTGCACCACTCTCAACCTCATTTTCTAACACATTTCAACCCAGCATCTCAAAAAAACAAACATGCGAGCTTGGTATTCGCCTAACACTCCACGCCCTGTCGCCTGGCTGGCCTTTGTAGAGGTCCTGGTACGCAATTTCGGCGTCCTTCGCCCTATGGACAACGTTGTCATCGTGTAAGTGTTCTGTATTCTTTTCTACTACGCTAACGCACACCAATTTGTAGCGACGCTTCCGTGACGCCTGCAGGCGCATTATCGTCATCTATCCACGTTTTTCGCAGCCAAAACGGCGGCGATTGGATTCTAACCATCACGATCGACGACGACGACGACAATCTGGTATCCCGACGCGGGTTTGGGCACCAGGTAGTGCCGTTCAACCCGCAGGATTACATGGAAATTGATCCTTTCCATGTATTGATCGCGTACACCATTTGTCTTTTTTTCTTGTAGCACTTGGCTTGCAGCTATAAATTCATCATACAACCTATGTACATTATTGTGAATACATTCTAGTATATTTTCAACGTAAGATCTCCTATGATACTTAGAATACTGCCTTCGTCGATATGCGGGAGATATCGTAGTTTACATCCTAAATACACGCTATCAGGGATACATTAACTATATCGGGAATGATATTTAGAATATCATCAGGTTCTCTCCGACAGATAAAGGGCTCATGATAATCTGAATACTAACTGTGGTGATTTTTAGAATAACATCTTCAAGATCATCATGTTATTTTTGTAGGTGGAAGGCTGGTATTAATCTCATTTATTCCCCCATAATACCAGTGCCAATACTTGAGAAATATTTAAATTACAACTTGGATTGATATGATAATATATATTTTGAACAATAAACTGAATTACTCTACAGTATCTACGGTGGGAATAAGCAGAAGTGTGTTGTTTTACCCTCACAGTACCATCTCCGTATCACTCGTGCTTTTATGGGCATTTGCCCGCAGTGCGGTATTCGTCTTCCTCACCAATTACATCAAGATGCAGCGCAACATGTGATCTGCTACTGCGACGCAGAGTTCCCCGGCAATGGCAGAGCGGATTAAAGCGTCGAGTCTTGAGCCCTGCATCGCTGGAGTCAGACCTGCCACGTAGATATGTCGGTAGATACGAGCTCCTTGTGAGTTGCGCAGCGGAAGCGCGGGAGCTGACACGCTGAAGCTTAATGACGAGAGTGTAGGACGGACGTAGACCGAGCGACCTCGTTGGGTGTGCTCGAATGCTCGACACGTCGGGGATCCTCTTCCCTCGTAAAATGTAGTTTCCGACCCGACCCGACAATAGCATACCTCCCCTCGCCCTGTTCAAACTGCTTCCGTCCGTTGACCGATCACCAATAGTATCGCGTCTCCCGATCCTCAACTTGCCAAAGCAGGAGTGCAATGCGAGCTCCATTGGAGAGGGCACAGTATGGAATATATGTCAATGTGGGTATCATATGGCAAGAGTATGGGTAATGTTGAGCGAGGTGCATGTTGACGTGACATTGAATGAACATTGACTCCATAGGCTGACAAAGTGGATGCGTAGCCAACTGCAGCAAGCCTCAATGCGTCGAAGCCTCAGAAGAGCGGGTCTCGGGGTGGAGTCGACGAAGAGATATGCTTTGGTGAGCGAGGTTTTGTCGAGCCAAGAGTCAACGTGTAGCCTTTCAACATCAACGTGAAGGATGCGCGGACACAGTGAAGTCGCTGAGACAGAGGGAGAAAGGCCGGATACGGACAATCTCAGAGTACGACAAGCAACCCGCTAGTGGCAAGCTCGCACTTTCACCGTCATCGATCATCACCTGCGCGCAGAGGACCATCAGAAACCGACGTCGAAGTTTTCAAAATTGAGAGTGTCGGGTGCTAGCAACAGCGCGGTATGACAAGCTCACCGAATGCATGCCATCGCACGCGTCCTCCTTACGCAGATCATGGGCACAAAGTGTTGAGGAGGTACGAATCCGTACGATTTGGGAAGCTGAGCCCAAGATTTTTGGCACGGGAGGTGTAGTTTGAAAGGCCCATCTGATTCCTGGAGTAGATGCTTTTTGACCGTGTGTTCTGTGAGGTCCGACTTTGGGGCAGAGCACGTCGTAAACGGCAGAAAACGAAACCGACCGAGAAAATCATCAGTGGAGGCGCGAATTTGGCTTCGGGTGTCGCCGGCCCGAACATCCGTCCTTCCATCCTCCATGAACTCGATTGGATTTCTTCCGAGTAAATGTCGTTCTACCAAACTCCTTCAGCGGACACCACAACGCCTGGAGCCACATAATACATCTAAACGCGACTTATGCTGAACGCGACTTATGGAAGCACACACCTCAAATAGAGCCAGGGCTCGCGTTCACGCTCGGTTTGCGCTCTGCTTTGGTGGACGCAGTTGATGCTACGGCGGTGGGAAGTGGGTAAAAATTGCTGACCCCTTGGTGCGTTTCCCTTGCTGACCTAGCGCGAGCTTACTGAATCATGAGCTGCAGCGGGGAATTATAGGGCTGACGCGGACGGTCGAAGCTCCTTGTAACTCCCGCTGTATACAACGCGTACTTCGAGACAAGGCGATCCTCGTACACTCAGTGGATTCGGATCAGAATTATCGGTTTTTGCGGTCTCGCTCGAGGACCACTGAAACTCTCTAGATCTCAGCCATACGCTGTTATCCTCACCTTGTACTTCCCATCGTGTATGACCCTCGTCGCCCCGCCGAAAATGTGTCGCGACTGCTCCGAAGCTGCGATCTCGTCGGTGGGATCCCGTATCACTCACGATTGTCTTGTTCGAGGTGATGACTATACTGGATCGACGCATCGCTGATTCTGGCATCCACAAACAATTCGCTGGCGATTACGTGCGCTAGCTAAGGCTCGGAAGATCGCACTCTCGCTGATTCTTGTACGTCCCCGCACCCTTGTCCTCAACGGCTCCATACCCATCCTCAATTCGAATCGAGGCAGCGGCCAGGGTTTCCGATGTCATCCAAGATACGGCGTAGCCCGTCTAGGAGGCCTGGCTGTTCTGCTGCATTGAGGTGCACCGTGGCCAACCCATGTGTACAGATCTTGCGACGTCGGTACCATGACGGCGCAAAGAACGCGTGTGTGCTAGGGAGTTAAGGCCTGAGGACCTCACGTGGTGATGGTCGAGACGCGTAGGCCGCATACCGCACGCATGGCGGAGGAATGGAAAGACCCCGACTGATGTACGTTCCACACCAAACAGTTTCGCTGACGACATACTGATAGTCGCTACCCGCCAGATCTCTGTCCTGCCGACTGCTGCTTCATGTGACTCACCACCCCCTACCCGCTGGCTCTCGTGGACGTTGACGACCACTTCAAGTCTGCGATAATTCCGGTCAGTTTGCGACGCCTACATCACCAAATGCGCTCATCTCTCCTACCCCTTGTCTTCAATTCGTGCCCCCCGCCGAAGATCCAGCCGTCTTCCGACTCAGCGATAGCAATTACCGCAGCTCCCCCGTCGTTCCACGGCGGCGTATCTTCGCCAATCAATGACTCTGCACTCTCGCTAACGTGTCGCATGTAGCTTCTCGACTTGACCGTTTGTGTGAATCGTGGCTTGAAATATTGAACGCCTCTCCCTGCCCGCTGTGAATGTGCCACCTTCGCACTAGCCAGCCATTGCAAACTCTTCGCAGTCCCTACGTCGTGCCGTTGCTTTAATGACTCCTCCCGCTCGATTGGACCCAATCCATAGATCCAGTCTCGGATATACGACCGAGGAACCTCTCTCCTATCCTCCCCCGAGTCCACTACACAAGCGCCAACTGACAGTGAACCCACACCCTCTTTCACGGTTACGTCCCCTCTCATTCACGCCGCATGCTCCCATGAACCAGTATCATTTGCAGTCCACTGACCTCACGATACCTCGTCGTGGCACCGCCGAAGCTTTAGACCTTTCGCTCGAGCGAAGCATTCGGATCGGCGGCGCGATTCTACAGCCCATGACTGTACTGTAGCGCCCATACCTCATGCACTTTTGCCTTGTTGGGAACGAAGCCATGTCGCCTCGAGGCCGTTGGGCTGCCTGTCCATGATTGGCGCCTTCCCGCTCGCTGATTTACTGGGTATTCACGGATGGATAGCTCGCCATGAAACTGCTGGAGAGCAGTGAGCACGACCTCGGCGCAAGTGTACGTTGGGAGGGGGCGCGGTGTATGGTTGGCGGTGGTCCGCCCGATGGACCGGCCGAAAGGTGTGATCTCTACAGCTCTGAATAGCTTCCATCAATGATAATGCGGTATGATTGGATGAGGGGAGGGTGACATTCGTGAGATGTTTGAGGCGTGGTTGCTGTGAGGCATGGATAAAACAGCGAGATGTGAGCGCTATCAAAACGCTACAGCTCCTTCACTCAAACGACCATCTCACACTCTCCCGCTCCTACTTTCTCTACGACTATCTCGAGCTGCTTGTGTTCAGTCTGAAGTATGGGTGTGCTTTATGACGATGAGACGGGAATTGCGTGAGTACGGAGTCAAGGACTTGGAAGTTGCGTGGCTGACGGTTGGGTCGGTTCAAGTACGTATTGCACCTTCCGTATTAAAGGTAGTTATTTTGTTTGGGTTTCACTCGGGTAAAATTTGACGAGTGGGACAAAACATAGGTGTTCGGGTCGAATCTAATAATAGTTGGTGTCCTGGAGCGATTGTTTCATTTTATCAATGGTCGAGGAACAAGATAGCAGTGTCGAATTGGACGCCGAGAGACCAGCCGTATATAAAGAGCGACCTGCCGTATACGACGATAGACTGCCCCAAAGTGTTGTATTGGACGCCAGTTGTATCTAAGTGAGTATTGAGCGTGGTGCCTAGTTGGTAGATGCTGTAGCTAAATGTCACAGGCCCCTCTGGAGCGGTGTCGAAATAGAATATCCGGAGGATGGCTGTATGCGCCGGGAGGTGTTGGCAACTGACGAAGAAGCTGATGAGATAGCTTTACGAGCGATATACAACGAACTGGATATGGCTCAAATCGCAGTTACGCGAACATTGTCTGTTGGAACAAGCATTGTCTGGCTCGAGGTTGAACGGGTGAGGACAAGGGTTCTTGCATGAGCGAGGCTAATGGTGATGGAGGTAGATGCGATATTACAGTGTGCCTATACCTTGCAATGTCAGGCTCGTTGTTGAATTTGGGAATTCGGAGGAGTGTACTCGCTTTCTTCAGGAGGATATGGTGCGTTCATCGAGTGTCTTGCTTACAACCGACTCTGACTGCATGCAAAAAGAGGAAATTGGAGAATCAACGTATCCATGACATGGATGCGGATGTCCCTGTCATCGGTGACATCATGCGTACTGTTGTCCCGATCATTCGCAAGCATGGGTCTGGTATGCTTTCACGATGATCGATCTGAGGCTATGATCGTCTCATTTGCGGTGTAGGACAAATGCTCTATGCTGCTGACCGTGCTATTCCTTTCTCTCAGTTCATTGACGAATATCCTCAGCCCAAGACGCAGCTGGTACGTCATCGAGGTCCCAATCGGCGCCACGCTCGCCCATGCTACCTCCCACTACACCTCTCTATCCCGTACGACAAATTCGTTGTCAGCATTGACTGTGGAAGCACCATCCCCGCAAACTTTCCATCATGCTCCAGCCCATTCCGCTCTCTCAACAACATCCACTTCAATTTCCCATCGTCCGCACCGCACAATTGCCCTGACCATGATCGCACCTCTCACAACGATACGGACCCTCTCAGCTTCACCGTAGAAGCAACCGGGATTCACAGTCTTTCCGCCACAACCTCCGTCACGCAGCGTAATTCGATAACAATCAAAAGCGGGCATCGCAATGTCCACGTCGATCTCGCCGGTCTCCATAGCGTGAGCTTCAACATTAACATCATCTCTGGTGATAGCTATTTCGGTGCTATCCATGGCGGAAATATCGGGGGAAGGAACAATGTCAACACCTGTGTGTATTTCATCGTCACCCTACAGACTGAGTTCATGACTAACTATTTTGCTACCCAGTTCGCATATCGAGCCCTGTTGGTTCTCGTTCGCCTCGTTCGGCCTGGTCCCTGCGTCGTAGGCATACCCCACTCCTGCAAGAACAAGCAGAATCACAGGGAGGAGTCGGTCGCTGGGTACAACAGCGATCGCCCCGTCCTAGGCCATATTGAAATACGAATGCAGAGTTATACGCCTCGAACAAACAGCTGCGAGGCTATCAGAATATACACATACCTCAGGCGGCCAGTCTTCTTAAATTCTCCCAGTAGTTCGATCCGTTATCTGGTTCCTCGTGTTCCCTCTCTATCACGCGTCTCCCAATTTGTATAGCAGCAAATAGCTAGGACAGCTCTTCTACACCTCCGCGTCTACCTGTGGGGGAATAGGATGTGTTCACCATTGCGAAAGTCGGTGTAGGCTCGGCGAACAGGGAACACCAGAGAGAAGTCGGTCGCTGCGCTGCGCACACGGCGCTCTGCGCATGTCCACAAGTGGGAGGTCAGACATGTGGGGCTGGGGCATGCAGACACGCATTGGCGCGACACGAGGAGAAAGAAAAGGATCGAGTGGCAGGGACGTCGCTGCCCCCCGCGTCTAGAGGCACCCAGTGAGAAATGGGTGTCCCATGTTCCGAGATAGCTGCCGCTCGACATACTCCCATGTTGCGTTCCGCGGTCCGAGAACGACGGGGTGGACCTGGCTCGTTGCCGACAGCATCAGAGTTGCGGCGAACTCGAGAGGGCGGGCGGGGGGGGGAGAGAGGTGGGAATTCGCAGTGCACGTGGAGTCAGTGCTGCGGGAAGAGGCGACGAGGGGTGTTGCTGAGACGCCCAGAGCATACCGTCGTGGGGACAATGAAACGGGGCTTGAGCTGGACGAAGCAGTAGCCACGAAGAAGCACCACCAAGGATTGTCAACTGCGCACGAGACCGTCGTCGAAAGTGCGTGTGGGTGTGGGGGGAGAGAGGGGGGGAGGGATGGTATGACGAATTCACCAGCGCGATACTTGATACGATCGACGGAATCACCCGAGATTGAGAGTACCTGGAATGGAGATGGACATTTCGTTTGCTGGTTTGAGGCCAAGCTCGGTATGCGTGGAGTTGAAGCTGGGCGCGGATATGCGTGCGATGAAGCGGCGGGGTTCGCGGGTGACGTCCAAATGAGGCCCGCAACCCTGCTGTCCGTAGGTATGCCCGAGATGTTGAAAGAACCGTCTGCACAACAGTTCAAGACGCCGTCAGTCTAGAATACACATTATTCAAGTACGCCGAGCACTCACGATATCCACTCCGTATGCGTATGCGTATCAGTAGACTAGAGCCGGAGGGCACGGCTTGAGGAGACGTACCGCGGCCTAGGGACGGTGAGTGCTAGAGAACCCACGACATGGCGAAAACCCCGACAAAGCGAGTAGCGTCAAGCAGGCAATAGTGCGTATGCGTATTCGAAGAATCGCAGAAAATAGGAAAGGTCCACTTCGCGCAGACATGGGACCCATGGGGATGATCGCGAACCGAGCGGTAAACGGAGGGGGAATAGTGACCGGACCTTGAAATCAGCAAAAAATCGGGCCGTTCCGTGTGCCGCAGTGCCAGTGTTCCGCCTGGCTCTTGCTCATTCCCCCCTCCCTGCCCTTCTTCGGAACTCGCCTCGCCTCGGGAAACGATGAGAGAGACAGGAAGACAGCCTTCAATGCTTCGGCTCGGCAGGGACGCGGATACATGGAGAATGGGACGTTCGAGAAACGAGGCGTCCGCATTCTTCTACACCGTCTTCATCCTCTCAGTTATGCAGTTATGCACGCCTTCGCCCCCTCAGTCCCAAGCTGGGCATGCTCGGCTGTGAGTGATGAACGAGCTGGGGAAGACTGGCTTGAGCTGGCAAGGTTACGGGGCGGAGTACGCGACGCTTTCAGCGTCATCACCTGTGCATGGAGGAACGCCAGAACCCACGCCGGATGGACTTGAGGCTGAAAGAGGCTGAAAGAGGGTGTTAGGAACTAAAATGAGCATGGGATGACGCCCTCACCAAGGACCGCAAATCGTTCCACGCAACTTCGCAACTTCCTCTTCCCCTACAACAGATCACAGGCACGACACGTTGAACTTTTGAAGTTACTAGTACGCGAACACGTTGAGATGTTGAATGTCGACGCGATGATTCTTGGCAGGAGAGGTTGAGGAACCGATCCGATCCTTGGAGCTGAGCGCTGATGATTCGTGTTCCATCAAGTCCAGCTTTAACGAACCGGGTTGTTCAAGGCAAAGGCATAGGTGACGCGAAATGGTGGTCAGTTTTGCTATGTACTGTAGCTGACAGAAAGTGGAGAAGGCATGGGCGCTATCGGATGTTGCCGATCCCATCATCCGAATCGCGTCTCCTGGCGAGAGCTGCGTTGCGTCAAGTCGCCATGCACTTCACTGTATCCCTGCAGTCCCTCCTGCGGACTCAGAGCCGCGCATAAGCCCGTTGCGTTGCTGCGCGTAAATACCGAGAACAAGATATTATTAAATGTTTGCAGCGAGCCTCGAGGTACTGGGAATGGGATGTGCTCATGGATGATCAATGATCGCTAGGTACGCTGGTCCTTCCCTCGAGATGCGGTCTGACCCATGCACTACTACTGATAGGCACGCTATATATATATAGCTATCTCTGGGACGCCGACGTAGCCCTGGAGCACAGAGGGCGCACTGGGGTCATCGGCGCATCGCTGAATGGGAGAATGGGAGAGTGTTTGTTTGTGCAACTCTTGCCCAGGCAGACTGTCCAAGTGAGATTGCTCACTTGGGACTTGGAGGTTGGAGGTTGAAGGAAGGGGAAATTGGGAAAGTGGGAAATTGGGAAATTGGGTAAGGGACAAGGGACAAGGGACAAGGGACAAGCGCGGTGAGGTTGGTGGTCCGCACGGTGAGCGTGTCTTTCATCTTTCATTATACATTTTTCATTATACAGATGTACATTATACATTATACATTATACAGACACAGGGAGGAGCACGTACAGCTCAGCCATCTGCATACGACGAACCTCGTGACTCGGGACTTCAAACTGAGCGTCGTCGTCGAGTATATCGAGTATATCGATATCACGCTCACGCGTGAGGCGTGAGGCGTGGAAAACCAGCTCCGTGGATATAATATAATATCAACGGAACTGCGCCGACGTAATCGGGACTTGTTTTATTTTTATTTACATTTTTATGTTTTTGTGTTTTTATGTTTTGACCTCTCGGCTGATCTGCGCAGCAGATCAATGGTTGCGTAGGATCAGTGGTTGCGTACTGTCATACTGTAGCTGACCAAGTGTCTGTTAGTATTAGTATAGTATGATATGGCGGGGGGGGGGGGGGCGGGGGGCGGACGAACGTGTTATCGAGCAACCACCTGCTCATGCACTCCCCTACCAAGACGGTCACAAACACATCGCTCATGCATGCTCTACTCGCTGCCCCTCATCCTCATCCTCATCTTCATCTTCATCTTCATCTCCACAGACCGTCGAACGTCACGGTATGCATATGCATATGCGGACCCCCATCCCCATCGCCATCCGCTGCACTGCACCGCGCACTGAATCCTGAATCCTGAATCCTGAATCCTGAGGCCTGATATCCCAGCCTCGAGCCTCGAGCAAGGCAGGGCTATGATCTATGATATACGATCTATCAAACGCGGGCGCTCGCTCTCGCTCTCGTATCCGGACTTTCTTTCTTTCTTTCTTTCTTTCTATGGATGAGACTTCCCCAATCATCCATCATCCATCATCGACCATCAGGGATTGGATTGGAGTGGAACCACGCTCGTGCGCGCCGCCGCCGCCGCTCACACAGACGGACGCGCCTCTCAGGCTGCGTGCCCTCCCTCAAACTCAAAGTCGACATGCAAAGTCGACGACAGCTACACGAGCATTTCATTCGGTGTGGAGTTCGCCCCTGCGATGCGATGCGATGCGATGCCCATTACAGGCTTACAGCACTGTGTGTCTAGATCTCACATCTTACACCCATCGACCTGCATGCCATGCGATCCCACCCACACGCTGCCCATCCTGCCCATCGTGCCCATCGTGCCCCAGCAAAAGCAAGTTCTCCTCCTGCACTCTGCGCTCTGCACGCTCCGTCTCGCCCGTCTTACGCAGCAGCAGCATCAGCAGGCAGCATCAGCCAATGCAGCCATCCACAGCCATTCGTCGCAAATCATCGAAATCCCGAAATCCGTGCAGATGCTCAGTCCGAGTCTGCTGAGCGTCGCGCGCGTTATCACCACCACCGCCACCGACGGGCTCACGCGAACGATCAATGTCAATGCGATGTCAATGTATGTTGTCCAAGGTGTCGGTCCAGGAGCAGGAGCAGGATCCAGACGTCGTTGCTGGAGATGTGCGCACGTCTCCGGTGGAAATGTCGGAGGCCGTAAAAAAATACCAACACCAACAACAACAGCAATAGTACGTCGCGATGTGTCTTGTTTTGTGTTTTGCGGTTACTGCTCTTATATCTTATATCTTCTATCTTCTATCTTATATCGTATATCTCGCGCTATTTGTCATTGTCAGCTACAGCTACAGCTACAGTCCGGGACGGGACGCACGCCCTGCCAGTTGCCAGGTGTCGGGCTCGAAGCGGCGGCGTAATCGTAATCGTAATCCTTGCGCGATTCGATATTCAATATTCGATATCCCGGCGAGGGTGCGTGTCACACCACGAAACCGAAACCAAGGCGGTGGGGGGGAGGGGTATTGGTTATTGCAGAAAGGAGCAAACAGAAACAGAAAGAGCGTACACTTGGAGTTAGAGGCGTACAGATGAAAGTGAAAACGAACGGAACGGGACAACCTGTTTTACGCCCCCCCCCCTTAGCAAGTGCGTATGCTGCTTCCTGCTTCGCGTGTTCCCTTTGTATTTGTATTTGTATTTGTATTCGTATTTGTACTTACTTCTTTTCCTCGCTATCGCGATGTTATCGAGCCACCCGATGATCAATGATCGCAGTTCCACCGAGTTGTGAAGTTATGAAGTTATGAAGTTATGACAGACCGACCGATTCGCTCTCTCGTCAACCCACTTTCCTACCTACCGCGATCCTGACGCCGCATTCACCGCATTCACCGCATTCACCGCATGTACGCATGTACTGTATCTCGGGCTGAAGGAGTGCCTGATGTATGTACGTACACCATTCGGGGTATCCATAGCGGGGAGGAAGCGGCGCACCTGATAGCGGCCACAAGTCCCAGGAGAGAAGCAAATGGGCGTGGGGGTGGCTCAGCGCGGCGTCGACCTCTCTGGACGTGGACGTCGCGTACGGCGTACCACCGTAATGCGTGATACGTGATGGCCGCTCCCGGCGTTCCTCCGTTGATGGGCCTGCAAGACGCGTGGAAGCGTGGAAGCGTGTGTGCATAGAAGTATGTAAGTATGTAAGGATGTGAGGATGTAATATGTAGGTTGCGTAGAGAAGTGGTAGAAAGGGGCGACGTGTACCCCGTACGCGCGTGAATCGCGTCACTCGCTTCACCCCTTCACCGTGTATTGATTGCCATATATTGTACATTGATATGTATGTGGACATGGCCGGAGTCGGGGTCGGGGTCGGGGTTGGATGTGCGGTGATATATGCTTGCTGCAGCTGTTCGTTAGTCGGTATTCGATATGCCAGTTTGAGTTTTCGTTACTCGTCTTTCGTTACTCAGAGTTGTTCTTGTTCGGGAGAATGTGAAGTGAAGGTCGGGGGAGTGGAGAGGGCGAGGGGTCGGCGGGAGCGTGGAACGTTGAGCGGTGGAACGCGGAACGCGTAACGGTGAATGGTGGAACGTGCCATGGTGAATGGTGCACGGTGAATGGTGGCGAGGGAAGACACTAGAGCATGAGATAGTTCGAGGGATGTGGGTTGGGTATGCGGAGAGGGGAGCCAAGACGTCTGGTTTGTTTGGCTGAGGGTATTCCTCGGTGTCGGCGGGGACAATCGATAATGTTGCGCTGGGGAGTGGGGTTGTCCTCGTCGAGACGTTGATGAGGTGCTCTAACTAACTCTGGGACCGCTTGAGATTTTGTGAATGAGCTTATCTTCTAAGCATGGTAGACTTGGGATTCGTCTCAAGAGGAGTGTATGGAGGGTGGTGGTGCTGAGGAAGCGAGAGGGATGGGAGGGATGGGACGAGGGCGGCCGGAAAGACGAAGATCGGGTATGTGGAGATGAGGTACGTGAGGGTTTTGAGAGTCGGGAGTGGTTGACGTTGATCTGGGTTGCAGTGCGGATAGTCATATGCATGTTGAAACTGAGAAAGTGTGCTGTTGAACTTGATAGCACAGACCAACGAGCATCGAGCACAAGTTCCAAGTGACGTCGCGTGGAACCGGCGGGCTGGGCCGAGTGACGGACCTTCCCAACTGGGAAAAGGAACGATGACGCGTCGCGCTCAACGACTTTTGCGAGTAACCAACAACTCGAATGCCCTCGCTCATGATCAAGTCCAATAGGCTATCTGCTACGCGTAGCCCAGTCCTGGGACATGCAGCACCTACGCCACTCTCCGTCCATTCGCCGCGTTCTGCGCCCTGCTTCTTCTCGACTCTTGACTCTTGACTCTTGGCGCCTCTCTCTCCTCTCCTTCCTTACGATGATCAATATTCTAACCCCTCTCCCTCCTGGACATCCTGGACCTCCAAACGCCAGAGCTCGAGCTTGAGATCGGTGACTCCCGTCGAGTGACGAGTCGCGGTATCCACGACTCCCGTGCAATCCCCTCATACTTCACCTCGTTCATCAACATCGTCTCCCTCCTCGCTGAACCAAGCGCCTACGCCTGCTCCCGTGGTTCTACGTTCCTGCTGTCCAGGCATACCCCGTCCCGCCCTGCCTCATACAGGGCGTCCGACCCCAGCCCCAACACGCCAACATGCCAACACCCCCATCTCACCCGATCGCTCGCTCGCATGCCGCTCAGTGCTCACAAGCCTCCAAGCCTCCAATACCCCAGTATCCTCTTCAAAACCCCAAGTTCACGTCTATGTATGTGTATGCGGGGACTCGGGGACGCGGGAGCGCGTCAGAACTTCCGGTGCTGGTGACACTTTCGACGCGACCTTTCGGCGGGTATATGCACCGCGGATCGAAATGTAGAGATATTGAGATATCGAGATATTAATGTTGATGGTGCTCAAATCGGAGGTTGGCGCAGATTCAGTGGGTTGCTCAGCGCTCGTCACTAAACATCCACTTGCACTCACGCACTTACCCACTCACTCACTTACCCACTCACGCACTCACGCACTTACCCATCCACTCATCCACCCATTCGAATATCAACACCCAGTACTCGAGTACTTCACTCACCGAACACCAGGCCTGCGCATCGCGAGCAGACTCTCGGTATTCCACCCTCTATCCTCCATCCTCCATCTTCTACCATCTTCCATCCCCCATCCTCTATCACCGATAGCTATACCTCCGTCACCGATGCCTCCATCCTCTATCTTCCATCCATCCTCCATCAACGGACGACGGAAACGGTTGTGGGACGAAGGAAACGGAAACGCGATTCGTCTTCACACTACGTCCGAGTTGGAGCGGCTTTGCTGTTCCATGGATTCTGCGCGGGTGTGCTATATAGCTACGAACACCACGGACACCACGGACATGACGAACACGAGCGCGGCGTTGTGAAGCTATGCGAATGCGAGTTCGTCCGTGCGCGTGACACTTCGATACTTCGACACTTCTCTCAAAGTTTCAAAATCTCGAAGTTTCAAAGTCTCAAAGTCTCAAAGTCTCGACGTCCCATAGCTTCAAACCCCCAACACTGTCTCCCTGTACCGAAGGCCCGAAGCGACCTCCAGTCTTAATCTCAGCCTCAGTCTTAGTCTTAGTCTCAGTCTCAGCCTCCTTCCCTCCCTTGCGTTTAGCACCTATCTGCGACTGTGACTGCGACCGCGGCGGCGCGAACTTGCGAACTTGCGATCGACCAACCGACTGAACGACGAATCGACTGAACGACTGAACGACTAAATGACTAAATGACTACCAGACTCGACCAAACGACTTAGGGTCGGCCGATCGACTAATTGACTAAACGACCACCCAACTAATCGACTGTACGATGCGGGTGGTGGGAATGGTGGATAGTGGGTATGGTAGGTGGTCGGTATGGTGGGTACCCGAGACACCGAGACACCGAGACACTGAGAGAGCGAGGGGGGAGAGACCAAGGGTGAGGGGCGGGGAAGTGTGGAGGTGGAGTCATGGAGCCGCGGAGCCGTGCTGAAGTCTGCATGCGCTGCAAAAACTGTATTGCATATGCCAACACGATGGGGACGCACCGACGCGAGGCACTGGTTCGGTGGTTCGGTGATTCTGTGATTTGTGGTTCGGTGGTTCTAGTTCAGTGGTTCTGTTATTCTGTGGTTCAGTGGTTCTAGTTCAGTGGTTCTGTATTTTTAGTTCAATGGACGATGAGAGGACAGAGCAAGCTGCGCCCCGGGCGGGCGTACTTGAAATACTTGAAATACCTGAGATACTTATTATACCTGAATTGTGTGCAGGGAAAGGCTAGCGGTGTCCCCGGTGTCGGTTTCAGTGTCGGTGTCGGTGTCCCCGTTGAGGCGACGCGTTGAAGCGTTGGTGGGCCATTTCTGTTGGACGCTCTTCCTGTCGCACATGCTTGGTCTTGGTCTTGGTCTCGGTCCTCCCCGTCCCCCGTCCCCCGTTTCCTTCGCGCGCGCGCGCGTTTTCGTTTCGTTTATCCTTTCGTTTATATGGTCGTTTGCGGGGGTTTCGTTTGTTATAGAATCATTTGTTGTAAAATCATCTCTCACGACGTGAGAGATAGCATTTGCACGCTGCTTCGTAATTTTCGAAACTTGATACGTCGGAGGACTAGCACGTATCGAATGCGTCGAATACTAGTGGATAATAGCGAATATTAGCGAGTAGAATAGCACAGAACAGAATAGAATAGAATCGCGCGTAGACAACGAACATCGAACATCGAATAGCTCCAAATTCCCGCAAATTCAGTCCATTTCAATTCAACACAATACACATACACACTATACATACACATACCCAAATCGGAAGACGCACTAGAGTATATGAGGCGCGAGGAAGTACGTATTCGGGTATCGGGAAGGCACGTATTGGGTATCGGGAAGCAGGCCCTCGAACCACGAGCGCGGCGTCTACACTATGGGCGGACCCCCCCTCCCATTCTCCCACTCTCCATCTCGTACCTCCTCCCCCCCTGGTCGCGCCTATGCCTCACAGTTCCAGGTCCCTAGGTCCAGGTCCAGGTCCAGGGCCCCTGGTCGTCGACATGCTCTGACGATGATGATGATGTTCGTCGACACCGACGGCGGCTACGTTATGGACTATGGGCGACCCTCTGCTGCTCTGCTGCCGTCCCAGAGCGACGAGCGGCCCTCTGGGTGCGTGGGTGTGCGGCGTCGTGGTGGGTGATGGGGCTGGATGACTAGATGGGGGAGCGACGCGACGCGACGCAGGGCGCGGGTCGGGTCTACGGCCCTGTGGAGAGCTTGGTGGAATCTTCGAGGAGGAGGAGACGTAAGGCGTGGGAGCCTGAGGAAGAGGAGGAGAAGATGTGTGTGGGGGGGGGCGAGGAGACGTGGAAGATTGAAGAGGAGGAGGAGGAGGAGACGGTGGTATTGGGGTTGCACGGGGACCTGGATGCTGAGCGTCGCTGGGGCGAGGGGCGAGGAGCATCGTGTTGTCTTTGGGAGGGAGGGGGGCTTGCAGAGGGAGGAGAGGGAGGGGGGAGAGGGGGGAAGGAGCAGCAGCAGCAGCGGGAGTCGGGAGTCGGGGCTCGTGACGTACTCCGCCGGCAAATTCGTGAGTATGGTATAGTATGGCATGGTATGGTATGGGGATCCGAACGATCCTTCTGAGATTCCTCCCTCTTCCATCTGGAACGCAGAGACGTGGAGATGTAGAGACGGGGAGTCGCAAGTCGAAACTGCCGCCGCTTGGGCGGATATGTCGTTATACGTCGTTGTATATCGTGTATGAGTGATGCTTTATGACGACAGGTAGGTATGGTTCGAACGGTGGAGGCGGCGAGTCGTGCAGACGCAACTTCGGAGCTGAGCGCTGCGTGGTAGAAGTGGACGGGCGCGCGGTCAACGTTTTAACGTTTTAACCCCTGGTGGCTAGTCGCCTGGCGTCCTGGTGTGCTGTCAGCCTGGGTCGTTCGCGTTATTGCTAATGTGTCGGATTGAAGGGGGCGCTACGCACTCCCAGGCTGGTCCTGGTCCTTGCCACTTGACCGTTTCTCTGCGTTCCGACTGGGCGTGCGCAAACGTAGATGCCGGGAAATGGGACTTTGAACTGGTGTCCTCCCTCTCACACTTCCCCATTCCCCAGTTCCCAGTTCTTCAATCAGAATCCGCAGTCCATCCTCATCGCCATCGTTCGTCATTATCTTCGCAATCGCACCCCGTACCCCGTACCCCGTACCTCATTCTCGTTTATAAACCGTGTATCCCCGCCAGAGCTGTCGTCCACAATTGTACGACGCTGCGGCGCGCAGGACGGGTTCGGGTTGTGCTGCCGTGTATGGGGGAAGGCCCAGAAGTCAGAAGTCAGAAGGTGCGGTTCCGCGAGGCCCTGCATGTCCCTGCCAGCTGGGGCGAGGAGCAGCGCAGAGGAGCGCGAGTAGATCGTCTCGCCGGGTTATGGTGTGGCGGTGTTGCGCAAAGATGGCAGGGACGGTGTGTCTGCGCTATTCTGCGCCCGTCGAAAGGCGGCACAGGCGGCACAGCGTGGGGGCCGCCGCGAACGCCGAACAAAGGTTGGCGACAGCGTGGACAGCGCGCACAGGACGAGCTCCCGGCTGATCATATTATAGGTGCACGCGGGTGGGTCGCGTTTTTGGTCGGGGGATTCTGGCAGCGCATGGACCGTGCGCCGGCGGCGGAGGATTCTGCAGTCGCAGTGGGGGCGGGGTAGGTGGGCGTATAGCGCAAGGCTAGGGGCGACGGTTCGGACTTTCAGGATGTGCACGCAGTGGCAGTGGAAGCGGAAGCGGGGCCGATACGAGGAACGGGGCCATTCGTGGGAGGAGTTGCTTGCGGCGGACGTTGGGAGCGTTGTCCTGGGGTCCTGAAAGGACGTCGACTTGATCGTGGGGTGCGTGTTAGGCGAGCGACAGGGGTATGGGATGGCGAGGACGACCACGCCGATGCTGTTGACGTTGAAGCAGTGAAGGTGCGCCGTTGCATCATCCATGTCTATTCTTCCGCGCTCTCCAACGATGGATCCCAGCCAGCAGGATTGCCGCTGAGTTTGAGAGCAACGTCGGCAAGAGCAAGGGCAAGAGAAAGAGAAAGAGAAAGAGAAAGAGAAAGAGAAAGAGAAAGAGAAAGAGAAAGAGAAAGAGAAAGAGAAAGAGAAAGAGAAAGAGAAAGAGAAAGAGAAAGAGAAAGAGAAAGAGAAAGAGAAAGAGAAAGAGAAAGAGAAAGAGAAAGAGAAAGAGAAAGAGAAAGAGAAAGAGAGAGAGCAACACCGAAAGGAAAGGAAAGCAAAGGTGATTCGGGGATCTCGTTTTCGGTTTCGTTTGCGGTGATGGCGGCTCTACGGAGACGGCGAGGATGGCGGAGTAGGAGACGAAGAAACGTCCTGACGTACCCGGTAATGAGACGCGTTATTCTGCTGGAAGGTCGTTTGGTATCATGTGTATCATGGGGCGCGCGTTGAGCGATTCGACCGCAGAATATCCGAATACATATCTGCATGCCATATCCTCGACCCATTCCTCTCATTCTCATGTCATAGATCACCGCGAGCACTCTTGATCCAACGAGAAATGGTCGACTAGAAGAAAAGCTACGCGAAAGCAAAAGAAGATCCTCGAACAGGCAGCGCGGGTTGCAAGGGGGCGCGGGTGACATGGACTTGCTGAGGGCCACTATGGAGAGGAAGAAGATAGACGTCCCGTATCTCATGAAGTCATGAAGCAGGTCGATGGATTTTATTGATCCAGTAGATTGCCGCCGGATCGATTGCCTCGTTGATTCATTATGCCAATGTCCCGTGTACCATGGGCAGTTACTCTCGACCAGACTTGATGCGTAGGTGCGTATAAAGAGAGGGGAAGGGGAGGGAGCACTAAAAGGCGCCGTTTAGTAGCGTCGGCGAATTCACTTCGTTGAGAAGACGAAGGTGTGCGTGTTCGGGTGCTTGAGCTTCAGCTTGAGTTCTCGTGGTCGAAGCGGTTCTCGATATCCCTGATGCAAGATGCATTTGATGCCCTCGATGCTCTCGAGTCTCAATGGCGGGGTCGATTGTTGGAACTGGAGGCGATTCGTACAGGGTACTTTATGCCGCTCTCCCCCCTGCCCAAGGCGATTCTGACGGTGGCAGAATTCGACGCCGCCCAAGTACCTCGGCAAGAGTGCCATTCCAAGCGGGATCCTGCGTCCAACCTTATCTCTCTGCATTCAAATGCGAAGCGCAGGGAGCACGGTAGCTTGCGTGAAGGTCGAAGGATCCGCCGTGGTCCGGGTATATGAAGACTCCAAACCACGAACGAGTGCGTCCTTGAGTACGTTTTACTGTCCTTACGCATATCCCGAGAATAGCACTGGAAATGTTGCTACGCAAGATATTCCATATGCATATGAGGGCCAAAGTCTGGCATGCCTGCGTCGATGCCCAATCCCATCGCCCGCGACGCGCGTCTCAAAGAGCGTTGAGAAATTTGAGATGGCTTCGATAAGCGATTTGCTCGGGCGCTCGAGAATATGTTGAGGATCTTGAATGTGGTGCATTGTTGGGATCTACACGTGGAGGAGCAAGCAACTTCGTGGAGTGACAGCGGGTCACAGCCCGAACCGTGATGCGTAACAGTTTTGAACTTCCGCGATCGACCACGACAATCTTGGTTCTTCAACACATCAAGCAATTGTGTGCCATGGCCCACTAAGCTGCCGGCGAGCCGTTCAGCGGCGTCTTCCACATGCTCGCTCGAAACACCATGCGCCATTTACGTTGTATCACGGCACAGTGTGCGTTAGGACGACGGCGATATTGAGGCTTCGTCTTGAGGAGTCAGTGATAAGACGGCAGGGGTTTAGTGCGCTGAGATTGCGGTCAGTATCTTCGTACGATCGCGGAAGTTACGTTGTGCTGCGGGGAGGAAGGTTGGAGGGACTGCGATGGGAATAGAACATATGCCTCATTCACGAATTGAGCGTGAAGGGAACGCTGCGCCACGCTGAAGTGATGGTCAAGCCACACTATCCACGAACTCAGTGCATGTACGAAAGTCTACCCGCCACTAGGATTCTACCTGGATACGAATATCGGCCTGCGCTCTTCGAGTCTTCGTGAGCGATTAAATACCAGGTGTCGGGTTCAGTTCTTCGAGGAGTTATCGACGAGGAAGGATACGGGAAAGGTGATGAGCACAACTCAACGAAGAAAAGCCTTGGTGCGTTCTTCTTTCCCTCCCTTTACCTTACGCCTTCGTCTTTCAAAATTTCCTACTGTATCGTGCCCCTTTTGCTTTGCTTCGGTATCCATATCTCGCATCTCGTATTTTACTGTGGCGTGCCGACTTGCTTTTCTTTCCCTCTTTCGCGATCATGATTATAGACTGCGCTAACCACTGTATGAAGCGCGAGCCAACGAGCGGATCCAGGCCACGCAATCTGCCATACTTTACTTCGAATCTCGACAATGTTTATTTGTTCTAGTTCTGGTCCGCGCTCCTGGAGAGGCTACAGAGCGCTCCTTTGGCTGCAGCTCGTGTATGAGCAACGGAGCAGCGGGGGGCATACGGCATACATGATACCCTGTCTCTCACAATGAGTCAATGGTCTCGCGCCGTGCTCTGCGCAATCTGAATGATGGAGATCAAACGGCTCGGGATGCACAGGGCGCAGGAGAAGGGCTGACCATTTGAACTGGGGGCGTGGTGGACCGTCTGGGATGGCCGTCAGACGTGCGTGAGCTCCCGCAGCATCTACATCTGTTGTATCATGTATCGCGGCACGGTATAGGACGACAACGATACTGAGTTAGTCTAACACCCTCCTCCATCTTGGGTTGGGCTTGCGGTCGGTATATTCGTACGATTGCGCAAACCACGTTGTGATGAGGTAGAGGAAGGTTGGAGGGACTGCGATACGACTCCAGGAGCCGTGATAGAATACATGGCACATCCACGAATTGAACATGAACTGCACTGCGCCACGCTGAAATGATGTCAAGCCGCGCTATCCACGAATCCCTTGCACATACGCAAGTCTACGCCTACTCGGATTCTACCTGGATGCGCGTATCGGCGCGGCGCTCTTCGAGCCTTCGCGAGCAACTGAAAATCAAGTACCAGATCCAGTTCTTCGAGTTGTCGACATGAAATATGGAGCATAACCCAGCGAAGTGCGTTCTCCTTCCGCCCTTCGCCCTATCCCCGCGTCTTTCCCACTGTGTCGTGCCCTTTTTGCTTCATGTCGGCATTCATATCTCGTATCTCGCTACGACACGCTGGCTAAGACTGCCTTGCAGCTCTTTCACGATCATGATTAGACTGCGATAACCACTCGTGTGTGAAGCCACGCGCCAACGAGCGGATCTAGCACACGCAACCTGTCGTACCTTACTTCGGAAGATGCTTGTGTGCTCTAGCTTACGTCCGTCGACGGGGATCAGGCAGTACTGAGCGATTCTCTTGCGAGAGCGGCGATGCGGTGGATAATCGATAATCGATTGGCTCGATTTACTAGCACCCGGTTGGATCGTGGTATAGGACGATGATATTGGGGTCTTCATCTGTCGTGTTAGTCCGTCCTAGATCTCGTAGCCATTGATACCGCCTCAAGGGAAGTTATTCTAGTGGAAAGTTTGCGCCCGTTCATCTTGAGGGAACAATAGAATTTGATGGGAGCCATTCGGTTGCTAGGCACGCTGGAAACATGAACTGACCAGCACCATGCCGAGAATGATGTCAGGTCTACGAATGCTAAAGTATACGTGCCACTCAGGTTCTTGACTCCGCATCGACCCTTCTGGAAATGGAGATTCGTTATCTCCCCGTCGAATACACGCCGTTTCAATGTGGGAGTTCGTTCATCCAGTATTTTCACAACTGCGGTTGGTATCTTGTTACGTTCGAATTTCATGGTGCGGAGGAAGATCGCTGAATGAAATGACAGAACTTCCAAGAACCTGCGACAGAACTCAGGGAGGCCGGCTGCGCAATTGCTGCATAGTCACATTGCAAAACATGAAGTAACCGCTACGCCGTGTCGAAAGTGGTGTTACGTTTCATCGTGTCGACGCATACTACGTTCGACGCACTACACAGGCCCTTGGACTCAGAGAAAATGGGGTTGGTTGCCTCCTTGCTAAATGCACACCGTCCGGATGAAGCGGGTATTGGTTCCATCCAGGTGGCAGGCTTCACCACCCTCCAGGGCTGTGGATCTTGTTTCGCGGCGTCCACGCTACTCAGGCTGTGGGACGGGCCGTAACTTACCTCGCAGAAATTAAGGGATCATCGACATCCCCCTCGTTGAAACCACGCCAATTCACTGAGGGTATGTGTTCCTCCGTTCACATTCGCATCCCACCCACCCTCTATAGACCTAGCCAATCATTACGTGTCGCATGTACGATCTCGCACATATGAAGTGACAGAGGCTTGGAGTGGGAACATGTACAGGCTCGTCACGGCCGTCTGACGGTTACAGTGGAAGATACTTCTTCTATTAATATTTACAAGGGTATGTAACGCAGTATACGCGAAGCGCAATGCTATGTGAATATGGCCTTCAAGGCAGCAAGTGGTGTTGGAGTGGAGAGCGTCACAATGTCATTACATGGCCCAACGCTAGTGAATTTCAAGTGCCAGTAGCTTAAGACATAGGAATCGGACCCTGCAATGTACGCGATGAATCAGTAGGGAGTCACTTGGTTTGGAAGCAAGCGACTTACGGTCTGAACTTTACCGAAGCAGAACATCCTCCTCAGGCGCTTGCTTAGTGGTACCTTAAGCGAATTAACTTGGTTGATTAACATCTTGACTTCCGCGTCCAGCTGGTGGAGCTCATCCCTGAGCGCTCTTCTCAAATCGACGTCGTCGTCCTCTGCTACCTTCCTGGATAGCCGCTCCATCACCGCCCTCTTTTTCTTGACAACCTTCAGAAGTTCGCAGTAAAGCTCCGCGCCTGCTGTCGTTTCGCATAGCTCTCTCCTCAGAGTGACCATCTCTTCTTGGATCAGGAGCGGCGCGGGGGGCGGTCGATTACACATTTGGCGTATTATGTTCCAGGCAGCTGTCTGCCCCTCCCTGGAGTCGAAGCGTTCCATTCGCGCCTTGTAGTCCAAGATGCCCTTCCAGTAAATGTTCCGAAGCTCCTGCTCTCTACCTCTGCCAGCTTCCGCCTCGACGGTGTCCCACATGGTAGTGGTCATGACCACGCCTTCGGCGGCGGCGGTACCACATAGCTTAGCGAACAGTTTGAGATTTCTCATTGGTGTCCCGGCCATGCGATTATCGGAGATGCGGTGCATGTATATAATCCCTGTTAATTTGACTTTGTTACGGTACCTAATTAGACAGCGGGTAAGTAACGAAGCCTAATATCGAGATGCACGCACGTACGTGGTTTTTAACCAATTGGCTATGATATTCAGGACCTCCGTATCAGACATATCCGTATCGTCGAAGCCAGGAGTGTCCACTAGGACCACCCTCTGCCCTTGGTAGTCAATTTCGACGGCTTGGACTTCTTTCGAGGACGAGTTGAGGGCGTGACCGACTACGACTGTGTTGGACCCAGCGGCAATGTTGATAAACTAATGTTTGTCGCCATATTAGCCCATACTCGTGTTTCAACCATTCATACTTACGGTGCTTTTCCCTACTCCGGTAAGTCCCATAATACTAGGCGCACAGGTAGTTAATTTCTGTTGAACAAGTTCATAGATAAAAGAACTTACGCTATGACTTTATCTGCGGGGATGATGTCGTCGTTCGCCCTCGCTTCGGCCCTCGGTGGTTGCTGGAAGACACGTGAACCGTTGACAACGGTGAACTGGCCTGTCCCGTTATTGATATTGAACATCATTAGCAGTATGAAGGGTGAGGGAAAGGGGTTTCATCCACTCCATCTAATATATACACGGGCACGTTGAGCAAACGTTGGGCCTCATTGAAGCCGCATGGTAGTTTAAGTGGTTCGTGCTCTCGCAGGAGGAGTTCCCTTGTCCTTCCACCAACAATTACTTCAAATGTCCAGCAAACGATCCTCGAGAAATCAGGCGAAATCAAAGCCATCTCCTGAGCAAGTACCTGGTGTTGGGACATCGCGCAAAGATGAAATTATCGTGTAAGGATGAGGCACTCACATCCTCGATTGTATTGACGACTGTCCGATCTCAGGGTGCTAGGGCGTGCGGGTTCTGGAAAGAGTACGGTAAGTGGAGTATAGACCAGCATTACTCATCTAATGTCAATATGAATATTTCCGAATAGTTTGTACAGATGGCAACCTCCGTGCCGCAAGAGATATCCAACAACAACAGCTCCCTGAAAGCGACGACCACTTCGGTGAATGTCGTCCGCGCGAAGGCGTCGAATGGCGACGAGGAAAGTGGAGACAGAACGGTCATCATCGATACTCCTGGAGTGGAGAACGATATCCTCTTGGACCAACCTATGTTCGTGGAAGTCGGCGAGAAGACTAAAACAAAGTGAGCTTTCGACCTTTAGTTACACTATTGGCATTACCGTTGACACTGAACCTCAGGCCTCCCGTTCGAATCGCCGGTATCATCTATTTCATCCGGATCGAACATCATACTCCCCCAACAGCAATATCAGCCGCGTTTAGTAGCATCAATCAGTTCCGGGGCCAGTTCCCGAATCGGTTCGACAAGATGGTCGTTTTCGCTTTGTGGAAAGCGGGCAACCACCCAGACGAAGACAGAGCTTACGTGGATGTAGAGCGGGCGGTCGATTCGGAGAGGAAGAAGAGAGAAACGATGGCTCTCATTACAAGCAAGGACTGGGACATGACTGTAGAGTCTGCGGTGGCAATCCTGAACGAGTTCAAGCACATGTAAGTCCTACCCAAAAGGGTGATCCCCTAATTAAATCCCTTTCTTACTCCTGTCTGCGCAGGCCAACTCAAGATACGAACGGGTGAGGACCTTCACCGTTAATCTTATAATCGTATCCATTAACTAATTGGACCAGGAGGATATCAATACTAGTACGTTGCATTTCGAACGGACTATCACAAAGCTAATCAAGGAACATCACAGCAAAGGATTTTGGCGTTGCTCAAGAAGTTACTAGGTGAGAAGCAGAAAAGTCGGGAAACGCCTAGGGACTTCGTCGTAGTGTGAGTCGTCCATGAGCCCTACCCATTATTTACTGAATAGAAAGCTACTTAGCGTTATCGGTTCAAAGACGTCGGGCAAGGCGAAGGTTAGGCTGAGTCCAAGCTTGCCTTATCCTACATAACATCCTCATTTATTTGCCACAGTTCGTGGATGGCTTGTTGAGTGCATCTGCCAAGACTCAACGGGCAGTGAAGACGAAGCGACGGATAACGACACAGGTAGAGGGGCGTCGTATAGCCATCATTAACATCGACTTGAGCCCCAAGGTAGATCACAAGAGTCTAGTTCGAAGCTTCAAGAGAAGAATTGGAAAGTGGGTGATACAGTGGACAGTCTTGACCGTAATTAATCAAGACTCAGGGCCAACACAGCAGCTATACTGCTGTTCCGACAGGGGAGTCAAGTGGACCATCTCGAACACCTAGAGACGGCTCTCACTGAATTCGCAGGGGACGGCTGGCAGGCGAAGACGAGGATTATTGATACTACGCCAGATGGAATTCAGGGTACGTCCGGTGCAGAGGCTGGGAAGGCAAGCTCGGAGAAAGGGCCCCTGCTGACCATACGGTTTTCTGGAAGTGCACAAGAATCACTGAGCATTCTTAGTTCTTTGGTACAAAGCGTCTCGGTGTAAATCATGTCTGAAGTATACGAGACAATCAGTGGCATTTTATCATTGTTGTAATTGATCGATCGATTGGGATTCTACGGAGAGCAAGTATTGAAACGAATCTAACATCCGCGAGGTGAAGTAAGCAGGGGAGTTGGGAGTATCTGAGTAGCTGCAATTGTCAGCATCGAGTTCACATTCACCGAGGTACAAAGGACATACTCATCGCCGAAACAAGAAGGGCAACCGGGGTGCATGTTTCCCCTCTAGTGTTCGAAGGAGCTTCTCTAGGTCGTCCCTTCGGCTCAAAAGACCTTTGGAGTCTTTTGCATATTGTTTTACCAGGTCTTCATCTTTATCGGTCTTCGCAATCTTCCTCAAACCCTTCAATAGCCCCGCTTCCTCTTCATTTTTTGCCAACATCATATACAAGAACTGAAACAAGTTCTCTTCCCGAATTGGCGAGGGTTCGAGGCGCTCGGGGACGACAAGTTGAGCTATGATGCTCCATGCAGACTCGCTGTTATTCGAAAAGCGGCCGATACTGGCCCCACGAGTCGTTGCTTCGTTCCAAAGTGCTGCGAGCTCTTGCTCTCGCTCGATGTTCCTCACTTCATCCGTGTACGGCATCGCCGTGATAAGGGCGGTATTCTCAGCTGGGATAGCTGTCAAGACCTGAGAGAATAACTTGAAATCCTTCTTCCTCTCTCGCGTGTCCTTGATGCGATGGAAGTATATGGCGCCCACAAAGGATGACTGTCGATACCTAAGTCATTTTAGTCTCAGTCCCGCGCCTTGAATTTGAATGGGACAATTTCCAGACGCACGTTACTAGAAAGCGACTCAGTGTTACGATAGCCGAGGAGTCGTCCAGAGACGGTATCTCCACTAGCGTAACGTCTCCACGGCCTTGAAGCGAGACTCGGGTCCCGCCAACGGTCGTCACTGAATCGCCCAATGGAACTTGGCTACATGCTCGCGCACTCAAGGAGTTCAAGAACTGCAGTAAAACAATTAGCATACAGCCTCTCTATTTTGAAATTTTATCTTACGGTGGTCTTGCCAGCGCCTTGCGGGCCCATCAACCTGGGTAACGGAAGACAGTTCGGTAAATATAGCTCTTTGCTAACCATAAGGGAAGCTTGGTGTACTCACGCTATGACTATTCCCTGTTGCATGATAAACCTGTAGGTTGGTTGAGACGTCGAAGACCTGGGGATTGAGCTGAAGGAATTGTAGAGATACAGATTATATATGTCTTGAGGAAAACGGGCGCCTGAACATCACTTTCCTGATCCGCTGAGTTATGTTTGCCGCCAGCGTGTATGGGGAAAGAACAGCCTCGCATACTTCCCACGAATATTACCCTTGCGTAGCGGTGCTCAGAGACACATGCTGCAGATTGCATCGATGGCCGGTGCCACCTGGGTAGGTGAATTTCGCCACTGCCATTTCATAACCGAGAATGACGGCGAGCTTTGCCGTGCTGTTCCTTGCAAAGAAGAGGGTACGAAGGCTCACCTACGATAGAACAGATCCATGCTGTTCGACAAGGAGACAAATGGCCGCCTGCAGATATGAGGGTGTTGAAGAACGGCCGTCCAGCTCTATTTTTCCATCGACCGCTACAGCAACCCGGTAAGTGACGGCAATGTCAAATTGTCAATCAAAAGCCGATCACCTAGGTAGAAGGGATTATGGGCTATGAATAGACGTAGATGCCCAAATGCAACTCACTCAAATGCTCGCCCAAGCAAAGCCATAAGGTACGAACCCAGGGTTCCCGAACGTGCTGAGAACTGCTGGGCAGCAAGCCGCTCCTTATTCTTGAGCTGGTGTAACGGAAAGGCCAAATAATGCATCAATAGTTCAGCTACCTCATCTTCAAAAAATATTGAGGCCGCCCGGAGGAATTCATGACACGATGCAGGTTAATCGTGAACAGTGGTATGACATGACAGAAGCTGTAGTCAATTTGAAAACCCTCTTCGAATTTCTGATACACGAGTACCTATAGTGATCTATATCCGAAGGTGTTTGATAAGGCCGCACGTATAATCTATCAAAAAAGAAGTCAATCTCACCAAGATTCTGCCCACATGTCTCGTCTGCCACAATGTCGTGGCCTGCGAGCAATGGAAGTTAAGTTTACTTCGTGCCTTGATATATGTTGTCGTAGAATGAATCTAGTCTTCTTCTGAGAACAGCGCGACTGTAATCTCCTTACAGTGTGTGCATCCTGGCGTTGATAGCGTTGTGAATGAGGGGGTACCGTAAATGGCAAAGCTAATCTTACTGCATAGTAAGCCCGCCCCTCTTCCGCCGAGACGATGTACTTCGTCTCCGCCCTCATTCTCTTTTTGTTGACCTGAATACGTTGAACTGCGGCGGGCGGGGAACTCTGGACTTTGTACCACGTAAAGAGTGAGTTGATGTGATCAAGGAGCGGGCGCGTTGAGTCGTACAGACTCCCACCGCGCCACCAAAGAATTAGAACCAACCCCACCGGAATTTAAGCTTGGGCTACGATGCCGGGCGCCAGGCAGGACCACGAGGGTTCTGAAGAGCGGGGAGAACGACGACACAGAGCTTCGCCATATGTATTTGCTGTACAGCTGAAGCATGGAAGTACATGTCCCCCGGGTTACAGGAGCTCAACAGGTACGACCTGTGGCCAGTTAATCTTCGTAAGTGAGTTTCGCGATTGGACGGCGTAAGCGCTAGTGGCGCTATGTATCCTACGCTCGGAGCATGCATCAGCTTGAACACAGGAGAACAAAGCCAGTACTAACGCACCGTCCTATCCGACCATTCTTCTCTCCCGGAACCCCGAACCTTTCGGCGACCGTAGGAGAGATTCGAAGCGGAATTCGCGGACAACCCTCAAAGGAAGCCAGCTCATGCTCCGAGGCTCCCATCGGGTGGGGGTGAGATGAGAAGAGGCTACATAAGTAGCGCGCTTGACATTTAGAAGTAAATTCATTGTGTCAGTGCATCGTTGGATACTAGTACTGAACGTTGAACACGACGGCCAAGAATTACTTAGCATGGAAGGTGCGCGTGACAATTGTGAACCGTGACAGCGTGACAAGCTCGACTGTCTCAAGCTCTCCATTACTTTCGGCGTTGGTGCATGCAGGTGTATCTCCATAAATATCACACGCAGGACGCCCTCTTGACAGCTTACGGATGTCTTCGGGGTCGTCGTAGACCGTGCCGCATCGACCTACACCACGGAGCACACCCCGACTTCGGAATTGGGGCATGCCATGTACGCGAAAGCTACGCGGCGAAGGGCCATCGAATCCTAGGGTCGATACACCAGCTCTGCAGTGCTTATTCTCACACCAAGCTATGCTGGGTCAATCACAAATTTGCGGTTAGCTGTAACAGGTTGCTTTTCGCTACGCGCTTGCCACCAACAGTGGGGTTCGGTGTGGGGAGGCACATATACCAGGGCGTAGCTCGGGTGCTGAGGTTTTCAGGGAGAAGTGGATAGGTGATTACCGAGTTCGATAATGATCAAGATCGAAAACTCCAATGCTTCTTCTTCTTCTAACCGTGGGACCACCGTGACTATGGCCAAATTTTCAAGGCCCTCCAACATCCCCTCGTGCTACATCGTTTCTATCGTCTTGTGCTCATTTGACATGCGGGAGTGATGGATCATCATTCCCTACAGACGTAGACAGCGGGGCCAACAGCACAACGTGACTCTACAAGTGCGGAAGGAGACGACAACAACGGCGACGCAGTTGTGCATTTCTGCCTCCACAACGGTGGGTCCAAGTAGGAATCTGACCGAGGATTGGAAGGGATTGGATGTCGGTGCGTTACCGTCCATTTCTGTATATCCACCGACTTAGGACATTTTATTTCGTCACTAGTTTATCCATGCGCACCAATGGATTACTAAGGTCTCCGGGGATAGACCTGTATTTCGACATGCCTGGACAGTTGCGATCTAGCAATCAACCCTTCCCCTCAGGCCTCAACAGTAACTCCCGTGGCCGCTGTATTAAGCCGCGATTCCCAAAGGGTCGACATGAACGGCTGCCAAGCGCATGGTTTACGATGCAATTGCGACTTTATAAGCAAGCTAAAATGTACGCCTATCCTTTTCACGAGAGCAGGAGAGCACTCCGACCCTAGGCCCTCCGTCAATCAATCCGCGACCCGCTAAACTTGCCCACTTGAGGAGCTGCGGATAGGGATACACGTGATCCTCCTGAAGATCGGACCTGCGTCTTCCCACCTCCACTTCTTCTCCACCGCCTTCACATACCACTCACTAAATCGATTCGTCGAGATGCCATCCATTCACGATAGTAAATGCGTCCTCGTGACAGGTGCTACAGCTGGCATTGGCCGAGCCCTGGCTCATGCGATCAGCGACCTTCCCAGTAAACCTCGTGTTATTGCCACAGGAAGGCGCCAAGATCGTCTCGAGGAGCTACGCCCGAAGATGGAGACGATTCAGATCGATTTCGACACAGACAAGGAGACGATCAAGAAATTCGTGGACGATACCATCTCTAAGTATCCCGATGTGAGCTGATACACTCGGGGCTGGGCGTACAGACCTTGCTAACGCGAGACATTTGGTTGGTAGCTAGACACTATCGTCCTCTCTGCGGGGATCCAGTACGAGACCTGGTTTGAGAAACCACAGACTATCGATCTCGACAGTACGTCAGATATGGTACGTAACGGGTACGCTACGTACTGACTATAGGTCTCAGAACTTTTGAGCGAACTGAACGTCAACTACACATCTATCCTGGCGACCATAACTTACTTCCTACCACACCTCCTAAAGCTTGGCGTACGTACCCTCGAATCGCGATGTAGATATGACCGCTCGTCTGACTACCCCGTGCTCAGGCCGAGGGGAAGCCATGTTTCATCTGCCCAGTCACGTCTGGATTGGTACGTCTCCATTTTTAGAAGCGCCGTTCTTGCTACGGGGGATTAATCGACCCATGTAGGGGATAACGCCGGGTCCTTGGGTTGCTAACTACTCTGCAACCAAGGCTGCTTTGCACTCGCTGAGCTACTCTCTCCACGCGCTCTTACAAGGGACAAACGTGCACATCATGGAGATTATTCCACCGCTCGTCGAGTCCGAGCTTCACGATGGTGAGTACAAATGGTATTGCTGCCAACTGGTTATCATGATTCATTGGTGATGCGTATAGCCGAGGGAACGACCGAGAGGCTGTCGAAGATATGGATGCCGTTGGACGAGTACATCCGCGTTACGATGGATGGACTGAAGAAAGGCGATGTTCATATCTCCGCTGGAGCGTCTCTTGCTGGGCTGGAGAAGTTCGAAACTGGAAAAGACGAAGCAGTCATCAAGTCCTTAGGATTTAGGAAAGCCTGGGATGCGTGAAGATACATGTAGATAAGTAAGTTGCGAAGAGAAACGTTGCGCTGACCCTTCCTGCCGATCCATGTTAAGAAAACTTCGGGGTACACTGCTGGAGCTCTGAGATGCCTTAATCTTAGGGCCGTCTTGAGAAAGTCTGTCAGTATGGTTCCAAGTTACTTGGGGGATGGCGACCACAATCTTTTTGCCACGTTATAGCGTTTAAACAGTTTTCTTTTTCACGCGCTTAGCTCTTCGATGAAGCAGGGCACAGGTTTTACTGAGAATAACCGCGCGAATACATAGATAACAGGACGGACGTGTGAATGAAACACACTCGACTACTCAACGTAAATTTGGCATATTTACGAGGGAGATGAGATAGTGACCACCGCCATTATCTGCTATTTGAATGCCCTGATCAAAGGATATCGATTGCGACGCAGCCGACGTTAATCAGACCGTCTATAGGAGAGGACAGAAGGTCAGTATCCTTCGAATTACAAGGAGGGTGATGGAAATGAGTGTTGGCCTTACTGAAGACGACATTCTCGCAACAAACAGAGGTTGCGGTGCTACACGCAAAGCACAGATAAACAACGCGCCATGTTAGAGCTAAACGGGACTCCTCTCACCAGCTTCCACCGACCGACACGCCGCTGCAGGTAACGCCAAAAACGACACCCAAAATTACGTCGACGGTGACACCGAGTAAGCCAAGGAGAGCAGGAATTAGCTTGACCTTCGTATCGGCGTCAAGGTAACCCTGGACCTCGGAGAAGGTCCCGACGTGCTGGCAGCACTTGATGTCGGTAGAGCCACAGCTGCTGCCGCTGCCTCCGCCAGTGCGGACGAGCATGGTGGGTGTAGCGGCCGCAAGGGTGGCGAAGACGGTCAATAAGACCAAGAGGAACGAGGCGTTGGTATTATTCAACATGTTTTCCCTGTAATAGACTGGTTGGATACTTGGTCGGGTAGGTGGGCAAGTGACGGATAGTAGACGCAAAGTGACCAGTCTTCTATACAACTTGGCCTGACCCCAGACTGACAACAAACATACCACGGAGAAAGAGGTAGGATGCGTGACCCGCCAAACAGAAGAACTCATCCCTGCTCCACACTCATCAGAAGACGGCAAGTTTCGACATGTTCCACACCTGCGATTCAACAAGAGCTCAACGTTGGTACACACGATGGTACGCGTCACGATAGGGCAATCCCTCGGACCTATCATTGTAAGAGATATCAGCAACGTGGTTCACCGCATGTAGTCTCTTGCGGTGAACAGTTACTGAAATAACTCCGGGAGAACGCCAGTGTTCTCGCGGAGGACGTGAGAGGGGAAGTACAGATTTCTCCGTAACTCCTGCTCCACGACTATGAGGATCAACTTGTCAGTTATTGAGGCCATTGAATGCTGGAACACCGATATAAAGCAGGGCTCACCGAACGGAGCGAGAATTCAAACTGCAAGACATGTTCTCGAAACAGCCCTAGTGTGTGTCGCAAGTATGTGACAGTTCAAGTGGGAAAGCAAACTTAGACTGATCGACCAATGCTCCAACGCTCCACGACAAAACGTCTACGCTATCTATTCACCTCTATTCAGTTTGGAGTGAGTGTGGGATTAGAATGCCATTCAAGGACAAACGCACCTCATACTCAAGGCAAATCGTCAGATCACTGTAAGATATGATGAAGTGTATTGTACTTTTGATGGAGTCCTTCAGGGAGCCGAAGAGCAGGGAAGCTGGCGTTAATGAAGAAGGATGGCAGTGACGTAGTTCAATGAATCAGGGCCATGATACCGCGTAAGTTGACGTCGCTGAGGAAGCAAAGACCTTTAGACAGTGGAGAACGCCAGTGTCAGAGGCGACGTGACCGCTTAGTAGCTCCTTCCAGCAACTAATAATGGTCAGCGGCAAGCGGTTTCTGAAGACTCAAGCTATGGCACTGAGGGTTCCATTGCGAAACTGTCGCCGGGCAGTTCCATCTATCAGATAATACTGTCCAAGAGTTAAACGTTCGGATGCTTTTGCCGCCAAAGGGCAGCGCGAACGCTCTTCAAGCTGGTGGACCCGACGTATCCTACTCATGACTCGCTTCGTGCATTCCCACGCATCCTATTCAATGCCCGGGATACGCAGAGTGACTGTAATCTTCCCTTTTCAAAGGAAGGAGTTGTATTCTCCATTTGCCTTGGGCCAAGTCAGGTAATCTATCGACATCTCGGAGGAACTTGAACTCACTCCACGGCGACATCCTGTTTATGTATGGTGAACGGTGCGAGTTTTGCGCCTGACTCCGACTTGCGAAAGTAGTGAGGGAAGTGACGGAACAATGGGAATCACAACAACGTACTTGGTTCAGATGGAGGCTCGGCGTCGACAGGTGGAGGGTTCTTACTACCCACGGAGGACACGGTACCGCAAGTGCGAAGGTCACGAGGGCCTTTAGGTGGCCGTGGTCACCACTGCCGATGTCAGAATACGACGTGAGTAGTTGCGATAATACGCTCGTTCAGCCGCAATCGACGTACCGTTGGTTTGTGGGAACTGGCAAGGGGTAAATGGAGGTACGTATTGTATCCTACCGGCAACATAGTAGCTAGCGGCTCGGAGTCGGAGTTGATACGTTGAGAACGGGTCAGGCGACTGTGGCGGTAGGTCGTCTGTCTTCTGGTTGATGTCGTCCACGCTAATGTCGTTGCGCGTAGAGCTTCCTGCTTTCATCAGCCGCTCGACAGGACGTGGAAAGGCTAGTGGAGCCTCGTTGAAGGTAGCAAGGTGTACCACATTGTCTAGCGAAGGGTTTGTCCGACGGGAGATGTCTACAATGAAGCCTTTTTCAGTGAATACGGAGGGCGCTGACAGGTATAAAAGACAAAGGATACGAATCAAATCCTCACTCGAACCCAGCCGTTCAAGTACACCCAAAGTTCTGCAAAGTAACCATGTTCAACAAGCAAACTAACGCTATCGTCCTCCTCTTTACCTTCGCTCTCTTCGCAACTCTTGCGGTCGCCACACCCACCATTGTTGCTCGCACTGGTGGGAGCGGAAGTAGCTGCCCAACCACCGACATCAAGTGTTGCTCGCACGTCGGCACCTTCTCCGAGGTCCAGGGCTACATTGACGACGATACGAAGGTCAAGTTGATTCCTGCTCTCCTTGGATTACTCGGTGCCACCATCGACGTAGTTCTCGGCGTCGTCCTCGGCGTGACATGCAGCAGCATATCCGTTGGCAGTAGCTGGTAAGCGCGGCATATTTCGTTTTCGCTGTGGGTGAATTACTGATGCCAGGTATTGATGTTTAGCTCCGCCACCACCGTTTGCTGCGAGAACGTGGTCTTCAGTAAGCAATATACCGGCCAAAAGAGTCGTATCTCCGCGAATTGACTAGCCATAAATTTTGCAGACGGCCTCATCAACGTGGGCTGCACCGCCATCGACATACTCTGAGATCAGCACACCCAACCCCCCTCAGTTTTCGGATAGGCCTTCACTCTGTTGCTTTGTAGTTGGAGGGTTCGATGTTGATAGTGCTAATATTTTGCTCCTTGCATCCCTGTACACCTGTTCCTTGTCAGACCGCCTGACGGTATGGAATATAATGAAGGAAAGGTTTTCGTCAGTCTTGATCCACTGCCAGAGTCAGCGACCTTACGCTACCACGGTAGACGCTCTTACCCACGCACAGCAACACCACTGTTTGTCGATAACTGAGTTTTCGCGTTCTCAGTCTGCATATCAGTGAGCGAGGAAGAGAGGTTAACTTGCTTGCAGATTGTGAGTGATCGTAAGGATAGACTGAGGGATGGTGCCCAACATTGTACCATTGCCTCCAGGCTGAGAGGACATGGAAGCGTCATTCGCTGACTCCAGGTACATTGCGTGGGCTAGTATTTGTAGGCCACTCACAGATTTGAAGTGCCAGCGTTCACGGGAGCTGCTTCAAGGTTCCTTGAATAATCATCACACGGCGATGGTTGAACTTGCAGGATGTGGCGATGCAGGGCGATTGCGCGCCGAGTTGTGACAGCTTGAGATCACGTGGGGCTCATCTTATTTCGATCACTTTCTCTCTCACCACAATCGACGACCCTCCACGACGACGACGACGAGCTAAATTCCTCTTGCGCCTTAGAAACATAGACGGCCTACGATGGATGCAGTTGTTCCCGCCGAGATCACCGCAGAACTTACTCAGATCCTATCCAATCTCGTCTTGGGCGACAATGAAATTCGGTCAAAGTACGTCCAAACCTTTCGGTTCGCTGCGCTGGGGATCTGAAGGACGAGCCTCAGCGCTGAAAAGGCCGTGAACGAACGGCTGGCCCATACACCGGAGCTTTATCTCCTAGCACTTGCGCAGTTTGCGATCACTGCTGATACCGAAGTGGTGCGTTTGCAAATCGGCTGGAGTCCAGTCAGTCACTGAGACACCGTAGATGCGATCATTCTCCCTTGTCCTGCTCAGAAGACTTCTATTCAGGCCGAAGCCAGTTACATCGCCAACTTCACCATCTCCGAACCAGCCTCGTAGCTGCCTTTACGATCACTTACCAACTCAATCCCTCACCACCTTGGAGCGACTTCTTCTCCACTCTCTGGCTCATGAACCATCACCATCCGTCCGTCCCAAGTCAGTCGACACTGTCTGCGACTTGGCGAACCAAAGCATGAATCGAGGACGACCGTGGCATGCACTCCAGGCTCAAATCTTTAGCATGGCTCAACAAGGTGAATCAGGCGACGCCATAATTATGCCAGGCGCAGTCAAGCCGGAACTATTGAGGGAAAGCGCCTATAGGGTGTTTACCGGGTGCCCGAATTTGGTCATGGATCTACAGACTGATGCCGTCTTGTCCGTATTTCAGAGGGGACTCCAGGATCCGTACAGCGTCGAGGTGAGTAACCTACATAGTTTATCTTAGTCGAAACTGATGACATTTGCCAGGTCCGTTATGCCTCTCTGTCGGCATCTGTCGCCTACCTCTCCGCTTGCGATCCTCATCAACTCGCTCAGTCACTCGCCCTCGTCCATCTCATGCTCGACACGCTCCCTGTTCTAGCAACCCCCTCCCAAAATCCTTCGCAATCCCACAGCAACACCCACTATCTTTCAAAATTCCTCACGACCCTCACGCCCCTGTGCTCTTCGCACCCATCTCTCTTCGAACCTCACCTCCAGGCTCTCCTCCGATTCCTACCTGCCCTGCTCACCCCAGCAGCAGACTGCGGTCCGACACCGACCGTAGCCAAACCTTTCCCCATTAGTAGTGATGGCGGTAGTAATGGACGTCAGACAGCCTTTGTTTTCCCACCGACATCCCCACTTGCACCTTCCGGCAGCGAAGCCTCGCACGACCCTTCTGCGGAGCCGAATGACTCGACAGATGACGATGAACGTGCCGCGCTTCGCCTTGCTACACTTGAGTTCATGGTGTCGCTGTCAGAAGCGCGGCCGGGGATGGTGAAGAAAGTCAGTGGGTGGGTTGGCGTCATTGTGCGGGCGTGTTTAGAGGGTATGGGTGGATTTGATGAATCTGAATCAACCAACGAAGGGCTACAGTCATGGTTGAATGACGACGTATATTCTTCTTCGCTCCTTCCGTGGCGCCGCATTGATTTCCGCCTATAGCCTTCCTCACCAACAAACGCCGCGACTCTCAGCGCCGATACAGAGTCCACTCCCGCTTTGTACGAACAATCGCTTGACCGATTAGCTTGCGCGACGGGTGGCCGTGCAGTTTTACCTCCGGCATTTATACAGATACCTAGTATGTTAGCCAGTTACGATTGGAGGATTCGACACGCAGGCCTAATGGCCATAGCATCAATCGCCGAAGGGACCGGCAAGGTGAGCTTTCTGTTCGCCAACTCACCCTGTATACGTGCCGATATCGTTCCTAGGTCATGCTCAACGAGTTAGGGAAAGTTGTTGAGTGCGTATTTGCACCTATGGAACGCAGCGCGTTTACTTATTTTCCTTCTACATTTCCTCCCCCCGTCAAATCGCGCCGCTGCGGTTAACAGTCTCGTCATCCCGATGTTCCGAGACTCGCATCCGCGAGTCCGCTATGCAGCATGCCAATGCGTGTAAGTGAAATCAAAACTCATCCCATCATCGCATGCCAAACTCACGGACGTCAAGCGGCCAGCTTTGTACGGACCTTGAGGTGAGCCTCTCCTATCATCACAGGAGTGTCCACTCCGCTAACGCACGGTTTCTCTTCTTCCTCACCTCGTGTTATATGGTGTCTCTCCACGCGACTCACTTTTCCGTACTGCTACTGTTGTATCTCGTGTTCTTTGCCTGTTAGGAAGTCATCCAAGCGAAGTACCACGAGCAACTGTTCTCAGCCCTCATACCGACGCTAGAAGATCCCGAACCGAGGTTCGTCATGAATTTATCGTTTACGTCCTTTGCTGAGTGATAATATCTAATCCTGAGCGCTTTATAGGGTGCACTCGCACGCCGCTGCGGCATTGATTAACTTTTGCGAAGGCGTGGAGCGGGATACACTCGTTCCTTATCTTGACCCAATTGTAGAGAGGCTTTTGAAGCTCCTGAATCCCCAAGGAGACCCATCAACCGTCCGACGTTATGTTCAAGAACAAGCTGTCACCACGCTTGCCATGGTGGCTGACGCTAGCGAAGTTACGTTTGCCAAGGTAGCCCTCCTTGAGACAACTCTTTTCGCTGTCATGCTGACACCCCAGTAGCACTACCCATCTATAATGCCGCTACTCTTAAACATCCTTCAAAACGCCGAAGGCCCTTCGTACCGTAAGCTAAGGGCTAAGGCTATGGAATGCGCTGGGCTGATCGGCATGTTGTCCTACACTTTTGGTTTGGTCGGAACATGCTAATCTAACTGCTCTTAGCTATCGCCGTCGGGCGTGAGACGTTCCGCCCCGACGCGAATTCGTTGATAGAATCTCTCATTCGAATACAAAGTCAGGATCTTGATGTGTTTTCGTGTAGAATAAGACTAATTTTCCGTTAGATTCACCACCTGATCCGAACGATACAGAGGGCCACTATCTCATTGCCACTTGGGCGAAGGTTTGTCAAGCGATGGGCGCTGAGTTCGAACCATACCTACCTGTCGTCATGCAACCGCTGCTAACCGCGGCAAACGCGAAGGCAGACATATCGGTCTACGGTGCGTCATTGCCCGCGGACTCGCTACAATTGGTCACTGAGCCTGAGTGTCTTAGACGATGACGAGGTGCAGCCAGACGATCGCAATGGGTGGGAGACTCTTCCGATAAATGGCCAGAATGTTAGCATCCGGACGTCAGCTATAGATGAAAAATGCCAGGCCTTCGAAACCCTTCTTATCTACTGCTCGACGTTGGGCCCGAGATTTGCTCCATACCTTCCGCAAACATTGGAGCTCACGCTTCCGTCACTCAAATTCTATTTTCACGAAGGCGTCCGGGAAGCTTGTGCGATGTAAGCCGCCAGTCATCAATGTGAGACGTTCAGCGATTAACACCCTCTAGGCTGATACCCATGCTCCTCGCTTGCGGCAAGACAAGCGGGACTCTGACTAACCAGATGGTCTCCGCCACTTTCCTCCAGCTTATAAACTGCATCAGCACCGAATATGATGCATCCTTCCTCGCTTCTCTGTACAAATGTTTCACCGACTCTGTTCAGGTACTCGGTGGCGTTTCAGCTCTCTCTCCTGAGTTCCACGAGGGCGTCATCGAGGCTACCAAACGACAGCTTCAGTCTTTGGCCGAGAAACGTAAAACGCGTTCACATCAGGCGTCGATGAATTTGGAAGATAGTAGAGAGGAAATGGCGCTTATGGAGGAGATTGAAGATTTCTCGCTAGAAGAAGTGGGGAAAATGTTGCAATGTTTCGACCAGAACCACCCACTTCTAGTTGCGGTTACGAGCGTTCGAGAGTTGGGATTCAACACGTGGGATAGCGAGGACGAAGGTGAAGAAGAAGGCTAGAGTTGACGCTGCTGATTTTGTTGTTGCTTTCGTGCTTCTATCTGGCTTTCGACAAGTGTATTATAGAGTCATCACAACAACACATTAGCTCGCGTTTGTACCATTGTTTTTGCGTCTGACCCCTTTCTGCGGTTGTTCAGTGCTCATCCAAATCGACGGGGCAAGTCATGTTGATGTATTCCTTTGCCTTATCTATTCTTATCAGCTTAAAATAGTCCATGCATTGGCACTATTGCTCCAGTGAGCGTGGAGTCGCAAGCTCAAGGATTAAAGCTCACGCTTCCGGGGGCGGTTATCGGTCACATTGAACAGTAACGCCCGCCAATGTGACCGACTCCCCTCTTCAACACGCCCATCATGGCATCAGCTGCAAGTGTTCGGTGAGGCCTATTCCAGCACTCAATCGTTGTCGCGACTAAATGCGAGTGATGATAGAGATTCATCTCGGCTTCCGAATGAGATCCTCATCACCATCGTGGATGAGCTAGGCAAATCGGATGCGCCGAAGGCGCTACATTCGCTTCTCCTCGTATCTCGTCATCTCCACGCCATCGCCATACGTCCGATCTACGAAGAAATGCTACTATCTCTCTTTCATCCCAAACAAATCCCCGCGTTCGCATACCTCTCGCGCAACATCGCGACGAACCCGGGTGTACAATTTATCACCTCCTTTATATTTATATTCGAGTATTACTCAGGCTCAGGGCCATGTTTCACAACTGGTGAGGTTGGGGCACAAGAGAACCTGGAACTCATCCTCCCCTACCTAGTGAATGTCAAACGCCTACATATCACTTTCTGGCCCTTCGGAGTCTTCAATCCCAAGGCGCTGTGCTTACTTCCGCCCGGCGTCCAGCTCACCCACCTTTTCGTTGATCGCAGTATCCGTTTGACAGACCTCTCACCATTCCTCGCCTTATCGCATCCGTTACTTGAGTCAATCGTCATACGCCCGGCATACCCTTCTGCTGCCACATGCCAACCCTTTCAACCCACTGATCCAAAGTTATCAGTCGGTGCTTTATGCCCTAACCTTCGGTGTCTCGAGGCGCCCATTGAAGACTTTCTGTTATTTGAGGACGCCCCTCCTTCCCTGGTGAACCTTGGTGTCCACGGGCAACATCCGTTTAGATTTGTCGACGGCATGGTTCTGGATCACATCGTCCATACATTCCCGTTGCTGCGCACGCTATACTTCGAGGGTACAAACTTTGGCACCGGAGTTGCGCCTCTACTACCTAGATTACCCAACCTCGAGTACCTTTCTTTGGACCATTCGTCGGTATGTTCACCGCTTGGCATTGTGCGGCTGATCCTTATCGACCAATATCGTCGCCTTCTAGATGTCACGGCGTTCAGATGCCCACAACCTCTCCATGTTCTCTGGAGTGGCCAAACTGAAATACCTCCGCCTCACGTACTCGCCTCGGGGCGAGCCATGCATTGCTCCCGGCATTGTGGATACACTCTTGATCCTCGACGTTGTCGAGTTCAAAACCTGCACGCGGGTGTATAAAGATTCGCTGGATACCTCCCAAGTTGAGCTTCACAGCTCAAGATGGCTGCAATGGTGGGAGCCAGCCGAACAGGAAATAGCAAATACTAGTGAGCAACATAATTCCTCGTTGCTTGTGAAACTGTAGCCCCTGAGTTTCTTCGATTTAAGGTCGTAGGGCATTGGAGAACCAAACTTGACGGCCTGCAAGAACCATGGATAAATATCCCTATGATTTGGATCGGAAATGGTTGTGATATTTTGCTACATTCAATACATGCAAGGGTGAATACGTCTGCTCTGGAGAGGAAAATGATCGTGGACTTTTGCTTTTTGTTTTTTATGAATCCGCTAAGATACAACGTTCTTTTGACATGCGACATCGTTGACAATTATCGAGTTGATGATATCAGGCGAATGAACATTGGGGGAAACAAGTAACAGTCGTTGAAACACGGACCCGGGATGACTTGTAGCGTTCTGCATTTGAAAATAAGCTAGACCGTAGGTGTTAGACTCAGTACACATCTGCAGCCCCATCGTCGCGCCATCTCACTTAGGAGTGGTCACGGGGCCTATTTCCGAAAGCTGAAGGTGATCTGATTGGGACGAGGTTATCGCTCGCCAAAAGCTTCCTTATTCATTTCATGTCGTCGTCGATTCCAGACAATCTGTAAGTCGTGTTGCTGCATTTCTACTGAAGCTAGATGTGGACTGAGCTCACGAACTTCAAAAGGTCACCTTTGCGGCTCCCAAACGAGATTCTGATGGCCATCGTGAACGAGTTAGACAACTTGGACACGCCTAAGACGATGTGCGCACTCCTCCTCGTATCCCGCCGTTTCCAGGACATCGCAATACGTCGCATCTACAAAGAAATGTTCATATCTCTCTTTCATGTCAAACAAATTCCGACATTCGCGTTCCTATCACATAACATCGCTTCGAACCCTGGTGTACAGTTCACCACCTCGTTCATATTTGAATACATCACGAGGCTGTCCTCGACCAGCGACGGTGCGCAAGCGAACATCGAGCATATTCTCCCGTACCTGGTGAACGTCGGCCGTCTGCATATCACCTTCTGGCCTGTCGGTGTCTTCAACCCTCGTGCACTGTGCTTACTTCCTTCCAGCGCCCAACTCTCCCACCTCTGCGTGGATCGCAGCATCTACTTGACGGATCTCTCACCATTCCTCGCTCTATCCCATCCCTCGCTCGAGACCCTCATCATACGCACAGCAAATCCACGTGCGGTCATATGCCAACCCATCAAACCCACTGATGCAAAGTTATCCGCGACAGCATTGTTTCCCAGTCTCCGATGCCTCTCCGCGCCGATTGAGGACCTGGTGCTGTTCACGGATATTCCGAATTCACTGGTGAACCTTTCTGTTGCTGGACACGGTCCATACTATCCCGTCGGCGAAGAGGTCGAGTATGTCCTTCAGAACTTCAAGTGATTGCGTACGCTGTCCGTAGATGAGACATACTTCTACGAAATAGTGACATCTTTACTACGCGGTCTTCCCGACCTAGAGTACCTCTCCTTGGACGGTGCATCGGTACGCCCACTCAAGTTAATGAATCTCATTCGCCCACTTCAATGCGTCGTAGATGCCGCCAGGTGCAAACGCCAGCAAGCTATCTCTGTTCTCTTCGACCAAGCTGAAATATATCCGCCTCACATATACTTCGGAGGATCCCCTCGAGATTGCAGCCGTATTCTTCAGCATCATGGACACGCTATTGGTATTTGACGTCGATGATGTTATGACTTATACGCGGATGTACAGGGATTCAATAGGCGATTCTCAAATCAAGCATGGCATTGTTTCCGACTCGAAATGGCCGCAATGGTGGGAGCAGGCGGTCCCAGAGATTGAGAATGTTAGTAAGTTGAATTTGTTGACCTCCGTAGTTCATGACTGAATCGTTGTTGCTCGGAATCAAAGGCCGCAGGTTATTCGGGGATGTCGTTTAATGATGACTACGACCACCCTTTCCATGATATTTACTCTGGCAATCCTAACCAATATGCAGGACATCATCAGTATGATGACCGTTAAACCAAGTGTGCTACGACTAGCCTAGGTTCGAGTTCACTTATGTACCAACTTCTCTGCTTGAGTAATGATGACGACGACGAAATCTTGTCAACTTTACGGTACAGGATCGTGGAGCAGGGAGATAATCAATTTATGCTGCGTAAATACTGATCATGTGGTGTAATAGAATAAGGTAGTGAATAACAAAAAGTAGGTACCATCACTTCATACTTGCTAACGATTCCTCAAATATATACTCTGAATGCCAAGTAAATATAGTACCATGGAGTCCGGACTCAAACCAAAGGACCAAGTCTGGGGACTCGGGAAGGAATAACGCCCTCAAACAGAAACCGCAAGCATCCTCTCAAAGACTCGTAGCCGTCTGTGATGCTTGTCCGTTGCGCGGTAATCCGACACGATCCACCGCACATCTTGCAGCGCCATGCCTGCTCTAGTCTGGTGCAGCGGCTTCTTCTCGTCGATCAGCTCCCTCTGGAGCAGCAGCTTCCTCGGCGTCGAATGCGCCAGAAACTCATCGACGATGCTCCACGCCGACTCGTACGTCCCGCGGTACCGCATCGTGCGCGATCCCTGATCAAGCATGGCCTTCCAGTACCGCTGCACGAGCTGCGCTTCCCTGTTCTCAGACAGGGACTGCTGCGCCGCCGACGGGTTCGGAGCCCACATCGTGGTGGCGAGGACGACGTTGGGGATGGCGTCGACGCCGACGAGCTGCTCGAAGAGGTGCAGGTTACGCAGCGGCGAGCCTGCCATCCGGTTGTCCGTGATCCTATGCGTGTATATTATCCCCGACAGCTTGATACTGTTTTGATAACTACGGGGTTATCGTGACGTGAGTTCAAGCGCAAGTTTCTACTTTGAAGATAGGCTACAACCGACCTTCTACCCAACCACTCCGCCAACATCTCCAGCACCCTCTCATCCGACAGTTCACCGTCTGCGTCCCCGTCGGAATCTCTGGCTGCGGTGTTGTTGAAGCTCGGTGTGTCCACGAATACCACCGATCGGTTTCGGCTGTCGTTCGGAAGGGGGACGCGGATGGTTTGGATGGATGAGGTATGAGATCTGAGCGTGTGTCCGACGCCCATGCAATTCGTTTTCGTGGCAGTGTTGATGAACTACAAAAAAATGGAAATGAGCCCAACTGCGAGATAAAAGGAGGATTGGCGTTAGCTACCTGGCTTTTGCCAGACCCGGTTGCCCCCATTAAGCTGAAAAGCGGAGCGAAGTCAGACGGTCAGTTCAATCGCATACCCTTATGTTCACATTGGAAACACCTACGCGATCACGATATCGTCGGCGGAGATGTTGTCAAGTTCAAAGTTGGCCATTGCTTTCAGTTTCGATGTAATAGTTATCGCTGAGTCTATGTCGCTCTGTGCTATAGAAGCGTCGAATGTGGAAGGACGCGAGTGTTATGGTACACCGAACAACATTGTACCGTTTGCCCTTATAGACGAAGGCACAGTTAGTGGTTTTGACTAAGTTTGATAGTTTGGCGGATGCAAGCGATGGCAGGTTGTCTCGAACTTGCAACACGGCGGTTTCGACTTGAATTTGACACGGCGGTGCACTGCATTTGAATTGTAAGTTGGCGAGAGTACAACCGCCGCATCTTGTATGTACTCCGCGAGGAACACAGCTTTCCGTCGCCCTCCGTGCGGCGTGAGGCAACTGAACGGGTACATACTAACCAACAAGACATTTCTTGAGCTGCGCACACGGGGCATGCGGCAGTATGGCTGCTCACTTCGAATCCGTCTAAACAGAAAGCTTGGGTGAGGTCGAATAGAATAGATGCGGAAATCATCACGTACCACGTTGAGTACAAGTTCACCACCCAGAACCGGCCTCTCCAGTGAACGCGAAGGTTGCAGCGTGATACCCTCCTACAGCATTACATCGTTGCACCCGGTCAACATGAGTGTTGCTGCGCAGGAACACATTCCACACGCGCCTCAAATATGAAACGAGCCGTGCGGAAGCCTACTCTTTGTTTGATGTATGACCTCCCATTCAGACTCACGGCCTTCCGCAAGTTGCGACTCGCACGGTCGTTCACGCTTCCAGCCCCGAGCTTAGGAGTTCAGCCTGGGATGCAATCGTGCATTTCGTAGCGCAGGGACATTGATGGAGCCAGTCCGGGGCGTGCCAGGCGCGTTGGCTTCAGGCTACGATGTCGTGCCGTCAAAATTTACGCCTTGTCGAATTACGATAGACGTACGAGACGTACTAGATAGATAATCGAGCTGAGCGCTGGGGACGGGGTGCAAAAAAATGTGAACGCCTCATTACCTGATGGATGAGGCTTAATCTCGGCGGCGCTCGGCGAGCTGGGACACCGCAATGCTCCACCAGCTGGAGGAGTCGATGATGGACGCGCCCGCGTGTGAGAGAGAAGAGGACGGGCTAGGAATAGGGCACGGTATCTCATTGAATCGACTAGCGTGCTATCATCGATTTGAAGAGTCGAAGATGCGAACCCTGCATAGTCGAAAATTGATGAGGTGCCCCGCTGAGGGTTACAGCGTCTAGTGACGATGGTTCTGTGAAAGCAGTGACGGGGGACGAGGGCCCCCTGCAGAGACTCCAAATTGATGAAGATCTAAGAGGCAGATGTACACCTGCTCGATGCTGCGATACAATCAATGAGTGATCGCCGCGATGGGAGGCGGAACTCACCATGGGGCCGTCATGACGCTTGCTTCGAAACACCTCCCTGGAGCCGGGTACGTCTACACGAAACAGCCATTGGCTCATAGCCAGCAAAAACCGTCTCATCGATGCAGCGCGTCCTGCATGGAGGCGTTGCGGGACACGTCATTTAACGCTCGAGGGCGGCTTGAACGAGGTCGGCGTCTGAACGTAGACTGCGCCGGGAATCGACCAGGATCGAAGACATGAGGCCTTGAGGATGTACCACGGACGACCTCGATTGGCCCCACTGCGGTCAGTTCATGTCACCCTCACTACATGTCCTCGCCCAACCCTTGCTCCTCGCCGGGAGGAGCAGAATCGTCTTCCTCGCCCCCTCCCCCGTGCGACGTATATGGAACCGCGGTGAATACGTCGGCCTCCCGTATATCAGCCTTGAGATCTGAACTGCGTCAGCAATGTGGAATATGAAGGTGAAAACGAAGCTTGTACATGTGCGTGTGCGAGAGCGAGGCGAGAAATCGAAAAGAGTCAACGGCAATAAAATGGAATGAATTCCTCATGCCAATCGTCTGCGTCGCATTTGAAATTGTATGTAGACGATATCTTGTTACTGCGGGAGTCACTCCGCCTGTCTTATATAAAGGTTATACTCGCACTCTACGCCTGCCCGCGAAAGCCCGATAAGACGCTCTTTTCGAGGAGGTCGACTTTAGAAAGGCTTATAGGAGCACCGGTAGAGCGTCCCCGCTTCCTCAGAGAACCTTGGGCCGTGTCTGAAGAACTATGCTTGGAGCGAGTCGGCACATCTAGGAGACGGGAGATGCGTCGCCAGGTCAGAAGCCAGAGCTAGTACGGGATGTTGAACAGGACGTACCTAGAACTCGCATCCGCTGCGATCGGTCCATGCTGCGTCCATCCCTGCACCCGGCCTGTCAAGGCGCATTCCACCGGTACCTCTTCCAGCTCGATCTCCCCACCATTGAAGTCGCGCCCATTTTCCGTATGTATCTCCGGAGAAGCACCAGAGCGTTCATTCGTCAGCGCACTAGCCTCCGAACCGAGCACGTGTACGATGGACTGCCAAGGTTGCGGCGTAACACCGCATACCTGGACGACTCGAGCGTTGCTTCCTTTCCCCGAGCCGCAGGAATAACATGCGCCTAAAATCTGAAAGGAGTCGTGAGGAAGACAAGTTTGCGCGACTCGTCCCTCTTACGACGCTTCATAGCGCTCTAGGGTGGCTTGTGCGGGGTCGGCGTATGAACGCGGACTGCGCGCGGGGATCAGCCGGGATCAAACACACGAAGACTTGAGGACGTACCATGGATGCTTTCAATGGGGAGAACTCGCATTCACTGCCGTCAGTTCATCTCTCCCTCACACACGTCCTCGCCCAAGCCTCTTCCCGCACGAACAAGCATAATCATCTTCCTTGCCCCCTCCCCGTCCGACGCAGCAAGCACGGTCCCCCATTTATCGGTTGCTTCAAGCGTTGAGAGACACGAACATATGTTGGGACGTCCATCTTCTGGTGCGTCGTAGTACCTAGTAGATCGGGCACACGAGGTCCGCGTTTGAGATCTGAGATTTGAGAACTGAAAGCAGACTGCGCACGGGCATTAGCTGGAGTGAAAACGCAAACCCTGAGGCCGGGGATCTTACGCCACTTTATTAGGTTAAACCTAATTTGCAAGTATGGAATTCTTCAAATCTTGTTGCATATATCCCATGTATACATACTAATAATGTACTCTACAAAGTCTGACGGTGTTCGGCGGTCCCGTTTGTGAGCAATGAGGCATACAAATTGTGTCTGACCGTCATGACCGTCATGGGCGCTTGATTGACGGTCAGTGACAGTTATGACCCACGCCATGCTAGGGACATCTGAAGGACATCGCAGGCTGTGTCTACCACGCTGCACACTGGTGAGTACTCCTCCAGTGACTGTTGTGACTCTCCATGACCGGCAAGTTGACCGTCAAGTTGACCGTCATGACCGTCAGCCTGACCGTCAGCCTGACCGTCAAGTTGACCGTCATGACCATCAGCCTGACCGTCAAGTAAGCGCCGATGACCGTCAGTCTGACCGTCAAGTAAGCGCCGATGACCGTCAGTCTGACCGTCAAGTAAGCGCCAATGACCGTCATGACCGTCAGCCTGACCGTCAAGTAAGCGCCGATGACCGTCAGCCTGACCGTCAAGTAAGCGCCAATGACCGTCAAGTAAGCGCCGATGACCGTCAGAGGTTCTCACGCATTCTCCATTGTCTGAGGTTCCTCTCCATTAAAATGAATGTATTCAGCAACATATTCTGCGCATATTTCCCTGAACCGACCCCTGAGATCACTTGCTCAGTTGCACCGGAATTCCCGAGCAAATAAGCGCCCGTTGACCGTCAATCTGGGCGCCTAATGACTCCGGAAAACCGGAGCCTATCCACTGCGTCCTGGCGCAGGCAAGAAAGAACCAAATCTGCTCAGAGGGATGAATATAAAGAACAAAGTACAAAATATAAAGCTATAATTGTTAAAGCAAGACATGTTCTTCTAATACAGCCGTCACCGTACTATACAAGACATCGCTCTTATCGTTCACAGTGTTTGTGAATAAGCAGGCACCCATCCATGGCTCTATCTCGCTCACCCAGAAGGAGTATTGGCCATTTTCAGTCCTGAAGACACCAATATCCAGCCTAGCAAAAAGCCGAAGGTCGGACCAAAGGTTCCTTTCCCCCGCACCAACCTTCTTCCAATCTTCTTCCTGCCTCGTGATAAACTTGTAGAGGATATTGGTGGCGAAGCTACGAAGTCGCTCAAAGCCATGGGAACCCAACCAGAATGGGACATTGCTATCCAACATGTCGAACACCTCCTGATTGGATATCATGGACGCCGTTCGTTGATTGTCCCCATCGCCAGCACTGAGAAAATAATGCGTGAACAAAAGATAGCAACTCAGAGGTGTCTCACTCACCGTAGCTTTTCCAACGGGATGATGCTTACAGGCTCCATGGACACCATTTGGGACCCACCCGCACGCGTACCAACCGTGTAGATCAACTCGCCTCCAGCAAAAAAGCACCTCACCTCACCCTTCTGCTGCATCTCCTGGATGAGCGGTTGAATGAAGTAGTGAGGTCTTGGAATGGTCGCGTTCGCTGTTTGCCACATCTTTTTCGTCTTCTTCATGTCGTCCTTCACCTTTTTCAAGACTTGCCTTGCCGTGTTGTTATCATCCACCTTCCAGACATGGCTTGAGCTTGCCCCCATAGTTCGCTTGATCACAATGGAATTGAGATCGACGTTCATCTGGCGCAGTTCCTCCATGTCATTGAAGCCCAATACTGCCGGGAATTTGCCAAGGGCGTCCATGAGGCCAACAGAGCAGTGAGCGACAGACCAAAGAATATTCCTTTTGTCTGATAACCACCATAGCTGGAATGGGTCGGGAAAAAAGACAACGGATTGGCTCAAATGTCTCAACCCATTCAAGTAAGGAGCCAAGTCCTTTGCCGGCATGGCGTTCGGGCTGTAGGTGGGATCTCTGAATGAACGTGAGCCACGGAACCACCGCAGGAAAGAGATCGACTCACAGAGGATCGAGAATGAAGTCCATTCCCCCGCAAATCAGGTCGAAGGACTGGAGTTGAATCCAACCCGGAGTCTTGGAT